AATCAACAGATTGTAGCGGGTAAGCCAGTTGTGTCCTAGGACTAGGGAACATGATCCATCCAGCGATGTGACAAAGAAAGTCGTGGGGGTGATGTTTCCGGAAGTGAAGTGGAGGGGAATATCAACGGCGTGGGTTATGATTGAGTTGGTGCTACCGTCGAATAGGCGTAGTTGTAGGGGTTTAATCTGGTATGTCTTCAAGGCCAACTTCTTTACGAATGTGTCATCGATGAAGCAGTCCAAAGACCCGGAATCTACAAGTGCGGGTATGTTCTCATAGGAGCGGAAAAGTTTATTTTGTGTCCTAGTATTGGATGGGGGAGAAACAAGAGGAGAAAAAGAAGAGAAGCGGAGAGAGGTGGATCGATTTACGGAAGTAGTCGGAGGGGGAGGAGGAGAGAGTGGTACATCAGCAACACTATCTACAACAGGTAGAACATTAACCGAAGGGTCAACATTGAGAGGAGAAAATAGACCATTTGAAAGAGAAAAGGAAACGGGAATGTGGAGGGAGGACGAGTCGGAAATGGAAGACGTGTTTAAACGCACTTCTTTGAGCGCACGGAAGGAAGGATCGCAACCCCCGGTCCATGCGGAGTCCACGGGGGTGCGGACTAATTTTTTGCTTCTGCGGAAGCGGATCCTTGCTCCTTGGTCTGGGCCGAACAGGCCTTAGAAGCACGAGAAGAAGACTTGGGACAATCCTTGACCATATGGCCAGACTGACCGCAGAACATACAAAGTTTCTCGTTGAGATGACGCTTACACTCTTGTGACGTGAGCTTGCCATTGTCTCCGAGTTTAGAAGAGAGGTCCGGTTTTGCGGAGCTAGCCTCGGACTTTTTATTGTCCTTCGGAGACCTACTACCAGAAGCGGAGTTGAAAGAGGAGGAGGAAGGGACGGGGTCCGAGCAAGAAGCGGCGGTGGACTTGTCAAAAACGTTAGAGGAAGAGGGTTTCGCATGACGTGTAACTTCCGATTTACGCTCCCAATAGCGCGCATCGAGAGTTTGGGACAAGGTGCGAAGTTCAGAGAGAGTAGAGGGTTTACCTACTCTAGCAATATCGTCCTTGATACGTTCCGGTAATCCGTTGTAGAAAAAACGACAAAGCACGGCTTCTCCGTAACCGTGAAGTTGGGATGCGTGTCGATTGAACTCAACGACGTATTTGTTGATGTGGTGCCCATCCTTCATGTCCAGGGTCATCAGTTGAACCTCGGCGTCGCCCACAGGATCGTGAGGACCGAAGTTAGTTTGAAGTTCATTAACGAACTCTTGATAGTTGTTCATCCATCGCGGACGTAGCGTGGAATTCTGGTCGAATAACAGGTCCGGTTCGAACCAATTGAGGGCCATTCCCTTGAGGTAGGACTGCGCAAATATGACTTTAGCACGGTCGCTAGCAAAAGCGAGGGGACGGTCCTGGAAATTGAGCTCGCATTGGACCAAGAATACTCGAAGTTCTTGGGGATCCTTTCCGTCAAACTGTTCGGGTTCGCGGACCTTGGTCCGGAGAGCAGAAGATGGTCGTCATCATCGTCGTCCGGTGTGACGAGCCAGACTGGCAATGGCTTGGGCCAACTGTGCAATGGCCACGTTGGAGGTGGGTTCGGCATCATCGGTGGTTGGGACAGTGGGGATGGGAGGATCAGCAGGGGGAGGATCGACGAAGTCAGGTACCTCGGAACCGAGTCCAAAGAAGTGGACAGGGTCTATGGGTTGTTCCGTGGTGTCTCCGAAGTCGGAGTCTGCAACTGGTGATTGATCCCTAACGGGGCGTATGATCGGAGTCGATGGGAGAGGGGTTTCAAGGTTAGAAAAGCTTCGAAACTCAACTGGGTTTCTCGCCAATCGACTAGGGCCAGGCTGAGAGGGTTCTGGGGAAGGTGAGGTGGAGTTGGGAACTAATGTGCATAATTGCGAACGAGTGCGAAGGACTTTTGGTGCCATACAAGACGTGTACTAGTCAGGGAGTAGTAAAATACTGTCAGAGACCGGGTTCGAGACGAAGGGATGTCTCCGTAATGGAGGGCTTCGGCCTCAGCGACTTCTGCCAAGAGCGCTGTGCCTAGTGACACGTCCGTGCCCTAACTTACTGACTGGCGAATAGAACCTAGGGGGGTAACTCTAGTTGATTTTACTACTGGGGTGTAACCTATGTACAAGCGGGATATATATATAAGGTTACAGCGAAGACGGGTCCGCAATTGGCGGAGCTGGACGGAGCGGAGCTAATGGGGTTAATCATTAGCTGACTGAATATTACCGACAAGTCGGGTTGTGGGGTTAGTGGAGAGGCAGGCGTTAACCCAGAAACGGGAAGGAGGGATAAGCCCGAAGGTAGGCTCTGCAGGGCAGGCGATTGTATTGCCCAGCGGAGGCGGGGGTGTGCTAGCGGACGTCGGAGCTGTCCGGAAGTCTTCGGGGCTCCGTACTTAGGGAGGCATAGGTAATAAATTGAAATGAGGGGGTGGTGACCATCGAGGGGTGCCGAGAGGATTGCGGAATATGGGAGCTCCGAGGTTAATGAAGGAGGAGCGGGGTTAGACCCGAGGGAACGGAGGGACCAGAAGTCGATGGCCAGGGATGGATATGACACAGTACATACTTTACATTGTATATTCACACTCTCTAGGTTTTTGTTGGGACATGGATTACAGTTTCATGAGTTATCAATGGAACATTTGCAAGGCCATGTTTTGGCCAAATCTGATTACATAAGTGGTACACAGACACAACCTGAGTTGCATGACCAGCCTCGACACCATCAGATCACATGTCCATGTGCCATTTTGTGGCCAATACATTAGTCCCAGACTTGTACCCAGTTGGAGGAGCTCCATGGATGCGCAAAATAATAGCTCTTTATGTAATGTTCTCACATTCTGTACTCAATACAAAAGGTTACATGCTATGGAGTTAAACACATAGCCGATCACCTACTCCGGAAATTTGAATGCAACACTTCACTCCTCCGACTGGGGCAAAATGTAGTATGGCTGTGCTCCGGCACTGTCCAGCCTCTGTCTTCCCATGGCAAACAAGCTTGCTTCAAAGCTCTAATCATCACACCCCTCCCCAAGCCATCACGGAAAAAATCCAAAACAAATGTAGTAGTTACCCCACCCAACCCAACCCAATTCATCTGCTTCTTGCTCATATGTGCTAAAATTATGTTGGAATCTTGTATTGCGTGCTCAAAATAATATTCTTTTTCACCTCATCGGCCAATTTCTTGGGGTGAGGATACTGTAGTGATCAACACCAGAGCAGGATTGGTGAAAGGTTGCTTACTATTTTGGGGACAGTAACGTTCCGTTCCCCCGTTCACCTCAGGCCTCAGTTAGTCCATCTAAACATAAGCTTTGATGAGCTGTATATTCAACAGGGTAGAGGTAAAAGGCTACCGGGCCTTTACAACTACTCCGAGGTATATATATGTAATTTACATATCTCGGCACAAATAAATAAAGAAATAACCACATCACTATAATCGGAATTATAGTGAAGTAAGGTTAATCCCTTACAATTGGACTATGATTAGGTAGTTCTACCATGTTTTTCCCTTGACTGGGCTCAATAATGACAAAGTGCTGAGTGCGCAATACAAGATTCCAACATAATTTTAGCACATATTATGGGCAAGAAGCAGATGAATCGGGTTGGGTTGGGCTGGGCTGGGTTAATTTTGGGTGGGGGTAACTACTACATTTGTTTTGGATTTTTTCTGTGATGGCTTGGGGAGGGGTGTGATGATTAGAGCTTTGAAGCGAGCTTGTTTGCCGTGGGAAGACAGAGACCGGACAGTGCCGGAGCACAGCCATACTACATTTCGGAGGAGCGAAGTGTCGCGTCCAAATTTCCGGAGTAGGTGATCGGCTATGTGTTTAACGTGATCTTTTGTATTGAATACAGGACGTGAGAACATTGCGTAAAGAGCTATTATTTTGCGCGTCCACGGCGCTCCTCCGACTGGGTACGAGTCTGCATTACAGCAAGCCAAAGAAAAATCGGCGCGGCCGATTTGGATGAATGGCCAGTTAGATCATGTGATTGACCCTATTTAGGAAATTGGAGGTCGACCATCATTTATTTGCTACCATTTTTGGAAGATCACATGATCCGCACGGCCATTCATCCAAATCGGGCGCGCCGATTTTTCTTTGGCTTGCTGTAGTCCCTGAGAACAGAGACCGTGGGTGTCTGACATTTGACCATGTGACCAGGTGGTCTGACGCTGGTCAGCCCAACCCTGATTTCTGATCCCCCAGGCGAGCGTGAGCCCCACACTAGGGAAGTACCCGATCGTGCGTAAAACGAGGGGTTCCACCAGGAAACCACAAACTCTTTGGTCCTCGACGCGGGCTCTTGCCGCAGGCTAAATATCTAGAAGTCAACAACAGACCTTTAATTCTAGGGGTAGACACATTGAATGCTCAACCCCTCGTGCTGCTCTTTCCGTTCGTCAATTGAGCTTACGATGCTCTCCGGGGCCCCAGTCGCAGACTCGCAGTAGCTAGCACCTGAAATGGTATCATGCCATCGTTCTTCCCGACATCCACCACCACCACCTCCTCCCCCAACACTGCTCCAAATGTGAAAGAAAGGCGGATAGAACACATGTAGGGCGACGAACTTGAAAGGTGTGGGTCGTTGACGTCGATTCTGGGCGTTCGGCCAGAAGGCATTCGACCGGCAACCCGACCACCTCATACCTCTAGCGCACACGAGGCTATGGGGCAGGGAGGCGTAACGTCTGGTCTTTGGTGGTTTATACTGGAGGCTTGGTCATCTTTCCATGGAGTTGTTTTATTATTTTTCGTTTCACTTATCTTACCAATTTCGTCCGGTTCCTGATTTTTTTGATGTAGACACGTACATGTGCCCCTGGTGTCGCTCTCAATCGCCCCTCACTCCTCTCTGTTTGCCAATTCGAATCTGTGATGCCCTCCTGGGCCCCGGCCGCAACTCCTGAAATGGTATTACGCCATTGTTAATCCTCACATCAACCCCAGCACTGCTCTAAATGTCTGAGGATGGAGGCAACCATATTGGTACGCTGAGGGAAATCCCGGGCCGCAGGCCCTTTCGTGGCTTGCCATCGATGTCGATTCTGGGCGTTCGGTCGGGAGAATTCGACGGGCAATATTGGAAGTTCTTGTTAGTATCGAGTCGCTTTGTTGACCCCGCGTCGCGCGACGTCTGCTGGACCCATTTGGATTCGAGGCTCAGTTCCTTGTGCTGCTACCTCCTGGGTAGGATCGCATTTGCCCAGACTCTTAGATGGACGTGGCATCTGGACGATGGAAATTCAAGCAAGGTAACGTTACAGAACTTTTTCACGATTTCTACGTGAGTGGCAATCTCCAAAATTCTAGAACACAAATGAGGTGTGCCGGCGTTGCTGCTACATGCTTCGGCTACTTCCCCCTCCTACTTGCACAAGTAGGACTCGCACCAGATGCGGTCACTCCATACGCAATTTCCGTGTGTCTTGCTTTGGCACGAACTCTCCGCTCCGTTTCCGCCATTGATTTCACAGCAGTTTCCGCCTCCCCCGTCCGAGCTGATCCACGTTTCGCTGTTATGAATGTTAATCGTTGCACCGCAAAGCGTAGCGGTCATAGTTGGCCCATATGGAATTCCCTGATTGGAGAATATGCCTGCCGCCTTGTCACAGGTGTCTGTATGAGCAAAATAGTAAGCAGCAGCAGGTTCCATTTCAGGCTTCGGTTCATGGTTCGAGGGGATGATAACCCCAGTTTCGAATGACCCTGATCCAACACACTGGACTACGCCAGCATGGAAGTCGGCTGCGACAATGGGAAGGACCAAAGTGATTGGTGCGAAAATGCTCGAGAGTCGCATTGTGAATTTGGAGGACTTGTGCTGCTGGCGAATTGCCTTGACTTCTTCGCGACCGTCTTATATCCTTTCATACTGGACATGTTCTACATGGTCTTTCATGCTATGAGTATCGCCCTTACTCACTCCGTCTCCTTCCGAATGCCGGGGAAAGGTGATACCTACCGCAATCGCGCCCAGTGGCTGAACAACCTTTGGCTAGAGGCCCAAACCGCATGGTTGTGTAACACACCAAGCCTCTAGCATCAGATGGGGAAAAATAGCTGTGTCCCAGAGGGCAGGACTCTTTCCCCCAACCTAGATGTTTCCGATACCCCTTCGTATTCTTTACAATCCCATAATTTTGTGATGCTGATACGGACCAACTTTTGGTTGGCATGTAACATAGAGCATCCCACCGTTCACTGCCTTCAGCCGCACCAATCCAACTGCAAATCACTTCTGAAGCATGCGACGTTCTTTCTGAGCGTTCCATGCTTCGAACGGTGCACAGTAGCCCTCAAAAAAATCCGCCCACCAGATTTGGAGTAGAGTGCGGGCTTCGCATCGCTGTCACTGCCTGCACAACATTAGATCAATGCATTGTTATAACAACAAAACCGTCCTTATTCCATTTACAAAGAATGCTACTGTACAGGACAAGACGGTAGGCAGGACTCCTGCCTATGACTTCGTAACAATGTATAGAAGGAGATGGAATACCCCTCCCGTTCCCCGCTCAGCGTGAGCGTGTGAGCGTATTCGTAGGAGAAGCTGCGACCTATGGGTGCAACCTGATGCAACATTCCCAGGGATGTCGCTGGTGGACCGTGTTGCCTTCCCCCGTAGCCATGGGCAAGCCTGACGTCAACCCTTCCCGCGATCGGTAGGCAGGGGTCCAGCCTCTGCAGGATACATATGCGATCGGAGCGGTTGCACACGCGTCTTCGATGCTGAACCATGCGGTTGCAGGTGACGCTTTTTTTTTTTGTCCATTAAGGTCTCGCAATTCCGAAGATACGTTGACACTTTGACACCTGCACGTCTGGTTCTTCTTTTGGGTTTCTCGCTTCTGAAGCGGGTGGATATTCGCCGAACTCAATCAAAAGGAATGTTACTGATGCGACTCGCAACGTGGCTTCCTGGAGATCGCGACTTAATCTGTTTTGACCGTGAAAATTCATCCCCTACATCAAATAAACGGAATACATCTTCCGGGCGCGAGTCCACGACATAATCTCTACACATACATTGGCGACACCAAAGAAAAAGAGAAATTTGGTACTCGGCCGGATAGTCATGTCATCTCGTCGCAGCCTTGCGAGGACGAGAGCAAGCAAATGAGCTGCTGTTCGAAGTCACTATAGCTTGAATCCCACCTGGGTAGCCCAATCAACCATCAGCCAACCACTCCCAACACCGGTGATATCACATCGTAACGTACCTCCTTCAAAGTCTCCCCAACAGTCTGCCGTTTGAAAAACTTCTCGCCTGGGTTCAACAATTCGTTATGGTTGTCCGAATAATCGGTTAGGCCATCGGCAGTGAGTAACCTTCCAAGGCCGGTGAAGGAAGGCTCTGTGGCGAAATCTTGCACGAGTTGTTCCTTGGGGATGACATTCTTGACGAGTTCTCTTCCTAAGACTTGTTCGAGCTCTGCGACGTATTCATCCCAGGGTCTAGAGGAAAGCCAACAAGGATGGATGAATGTTTTTTTATCGATGCGCCAAAATGAGCCCCCGTTGTTCATCGTACCTATTATCGTCCCAAACGCGAACCTTATCTGGGAACTTCGCTGGGTCCTGAGAAGCGAGGATGACGGCTCGAAGTGTATACTGCACAATGTGCTTTTTGCATGTGAAGACGCCCTTACGCTTGCCGGAATCAGGAATATTCACTGCGTTCGGCGCAGTCCAGCACCCTAATCGTAAGCGTGAGCCACCTGCTGGAGTCCCTACGATCCTGGTGGCTCACCAAAGATAGGCGCAAGAATTAACTCGGAAAACAACCCGACGACGAAGACAACCGTTTTAAGCCCAGCCTGTCTAGCTTCTTCAACATGTTTGGTCTTAACATTGAGGGCTGGGAAGGGGTATGGACTGATGTCCAAGTCGACGCCCCACTCTGATGGAAAGTACACCTTTACTTTTGACGCGAGGGCTAGATATGGATATGAGACACGCGTGAGGAGTGAGGTGAGCAAACTATAGTATATCCATGGAATGATGGGGGTGGGGGCGCTGATCGAAACTCACCGGCTTGAAGTAAGTTGTCCTGAGCAACCTTCGTCCACGTTCCCATCCCCAAAGTGCTTACCAACACATCCACGCCTTCCAACGCGCTCTCCAACGATGCAGGATTAGCATAATCAACTTGCACTATGGCCACTTTATTCGACGCAATAGACTTGAGTTCGTCCTTTGGGGTCGAGCTGGTCAGGACCTTGAACGAGGCGAATTGACCCTCATTGGCAGCCTTGGCGAAAACAGGAACGATGTCCCGCCCGAGGTACCCAGTCGAGCCTAGCACCCCATGTCACACACGGCCACAGGGTCATCTCAATAACAAGTATGGTGTATGGGGGATGTAACCCTCACCGACTAACGCAACGACTGGCCCGACGTTCGCGCTGCTCACATCGCTGCTACGACCACTATTCCCGCCTTTCCCCCCAGGTGCTTGCGCACCGATGAACGTAGTTTCTGAAAGAACAGAATTTTGAACGATGAAAAAGTCGAAGGCGAAGAAGAAGAATTGCTTGAGGATGACGGCGTGCAATGGATGGGTGCGGAATATTTATACAACTATATATAGCATTGAGAGCGCATCGGCGTTTCTGTAGGGTCAACTGAGGACATTATACACCAGCTTCGGGGATGCTTAGAAGTGGGCGAATCTGCCGACGGTGCTGATTCTCCGCCTATTCAATCAAATTGGTAGATAATTGGGATATTCCACAGGAACATATATTACTTAACGGATAACGTGGCCCTCCGAAATTGAAAGGAGCTGGAGCACCGGGAACCCGGCAACCGCAGCGGTGGAGGATGGTTCTTTAACGGTAATTTAATCTACGTCACACTGGCCCCATAGAACACAGTTCAGCTCAAGGTCACACAAAAGAATAGGCTTGCGCCACCGATATGTATATAACCGTATAAATATGTTCCATTCCTAGATGTGAGCAACCGCAAGGGCAACGCACGAGGCGTGAGTAAAATGGGAACCCGGAGAAATTGAAAGATAGAATCAAGGAAGAAAATCACATCCTCGCCGAGCAGACGCGAGGACGTGCGTGCACACTCCTATTTAGAACACCACTTGTCAATAATAATGTGACAAAAAATGTTATAAAATGCAAAAGATGCAGAAGCTGGAAAAGTTTGAGAAAAGGGAACGATTTATATAACAAGTATTAATTGACGTTCAACTAGATCACCTGATCAGGTAAAACTGACAGTTGCAAATTCCAGTTTTCGCGGCCTTAAACGAGGATCACGGCACCCAGCATGGCACCACCGAGAGCAGCGAGCGAGGCGGCGTTCCAGCCCAGAGCAATGTCCATCCTGGGAGTCGCCGCACTCTTACGAGTAGATGTAGGCGTCGTCGACGTTGAGAGTGTTGAAATTTGCAGTGAAGTGATAGATTCTGACGACGAAGTTCCAGTGGAAGTGCTGTGAAGGCTCGAGCTCGTACTTGATTCAGTACTCGAAGAATTAGTTTTCCTATGAACAAATTCGGAGTTCAGTAACATGAACATTGCGTTGCGAAAAAAATAAGTAAATGGAGGACGTACAAAGTCGTAGACAGAATCGTGGACGTGCGGGATCCAGAAACCGAGCCAGTGCTCGTCGAAGTAACAGAACTTGAGGTTGGGTTGTTGGTAATCGCGAACAAAGGGCTTTGCGCGTAAACCGTGTTAATGTTATCGACCTTCACCAACTTGATCTAAAAAAAGGAACGATTGAGATGTACAAGAACCACTCTAGTATAACGTCAGATAGGTTACCCAGTAATTATTTCCGGGAGGAACAACCGGAAGCTGAACGCTGAGGGAGCCAGTATTAGGGACAACGTTGTTAGCGATAGCAATGGCTGCAATCAAACATTGCTCATTCAGAGGTTGGTCATTCTAACCAGTGCAGCAAACTTACGTCCGCTCTTGAGAGGTCCAGTCCTGATACCATCATTCCCAAGCTCGCAACTGAAACTGTAGAGCCCCAAAAATGAGGTGTTACGGGCTGAAGTGACCATGGCAACAACTGGGCATCTCGTACTTGGGGTCAGTGGCATTCCAAATCCAAGAAATCAGAACAGTGGTGTTTCCAACCCATCCTGCACCGGTAGGCTGAGTAACTTCAAGAGTAGCTGACACGAGGGCCGGGAGGAGGGCAGCAAGAGCAACGAGACGGGTGAACATCATGTTTCGTTTGAGTTGAAAAGAGAGCTATTAAGGTGAAGCGTTAAAGGAGTTGAGGGGCGGGACAAACGACCTGAAGAGGGGGGGGAAGTGGCTTACAGCGTATGGAAAAGAGTGTGAGGGCCTTGAAAAGGACTTTTTACGTGTAGCAGTTGGGGCAAGCAAACTTCTGATTTGCATCCGGTGTGTGTGATGACGTGAATAAACTTATTCCCGCAAAACGCGTTTTCGACAATTCTGGGACCATCAGCTCAGTTGGAGACGTGTATATACATAGATACGCGCGTATGTACATAATCTATTTTCGTACAAGGAAATACACATAGCAACAATTGATGTCCACCAGTCACCTCGACAAACTCCCCACCGCAAACTCGACCATCATAAGACAGCAATTTGCCGGAAGTCTGCAACAGAGGAGAAGGCACGTCCTTACGGACACCTCCATCTACGCTCTACTTGGCACAAGTGGTCGAGTAAAAAATGTTCTGACAACTTGCAATTTGACTTGAGAGCGATGAAAGAAGAAAAGTCCCCACGCTGCGGATGGAACATCTATATATAGTTGATTCGGCTGCTTCCGTTCCCTTGAAACTCTTGAGGATTTAAACTTCAGGGACGTCCTTCTAAGGACCTGCTATTTTAGCTGCTCTTTGTGAGAGTGCGGGCTGGTGTTGAGTGCGAGCCCGAACCCCATTTGTCGCGCTCAGTTTCGATTAAAAGTTATAGTGACCATAGTCAGACAAGTTTTAGCAACTGTTCCACTATATCCAACTTCCAAATGAGTGTCAATGATGTTACCGCATACATAGTGATCTGGAAATCATCCGAAAAAATAAATGTTCGATGCGCCACACAATTTGCAGCATCTTCCTTTCGGTGATACATGCAAGCCCAACCGGGCTGGTGATAAAGCGGGCTCCAGCTTGAGAATGCCGATGCGCCTCTCATCATTACGTCTCAACAAACTGTACAAGTGGTCGCTGGTCGTGCTCGCGAATGGCGGTGAGGACAGCCCGCTCTTTGAGTTCGATCAGTACATCGCATTATTGTCGGCAAATGCGGTGATGTAGGAAGGGCCGTGCAGCGACACCAAGTTCACCAGTGGGTTAGGTTAGCATACCCAAGATTTCTGTAAGATATCTATTCATGACTTCGATCTTTGAGCTTCGTAGAACGGTTCAGGCCGAGGTGACATCGGCCAATGTAAGCTGCGGGCGCCGGGGGGAGCCCAGCCAGACCGGAACAAAGTGGAATACATTCTCAGACTGTACCCACAATCATGCCGCCCCGAGTGGACGGATCCGAGGGTCACTCCAAGACATACAGGGAAACTTCGGCGGACAGGACTGCATCCCATCCCTGGGTGTGCATGCGGAAGGCACGTGTGCTAATCCAGCACTAACCAGCTGACAATAATATGTGGGCACCGTGACAACGATATCAAATATTGATGCAGCCACGAGACTCCCTTTGGGCCTCCCATCCCCTCCCCAACGACAAACCCCAGTGTGCACCCACCAAAAAAAGAAAAGAAAAGAAATCATTTCGGCAATGTCCGCCTCCTGCAGATCTCCATGAGGCAGCTAGCTTCTGCGGCATGCATCAATGTGCAGGGTAGGAGTGAGTTACACCCTTTCTAAAATTTCACTGGCACGTTAGAACTCCAAAGGTGACCTCCACACCGCCTCCCTGAAATCATCGAAAACCGTTGACACTAACCTCCAGATAACGGCAGAAACGGTATTTGCACGAACTGTGGCGGTGTTGGCATCCGTCCGCGGCAGTGGGCACTTTCCCACGGATGCCAAGTTTGTGAAGGGTCGAAAGTTCGCAGCAAAACTTCCGCGCGTGACTCATACAACGCGTTGAGGATGGGGCCGGCAATGTGTTCGGTATTTGCCGGTCCGATATGCAAACCTTGCCCCTATATTGACTACTTGAGTGTATTTGTGCCCTCTCGAGGCATTCACCTGCGCCTTGTTGGATTTTTTATTTCATTGGTTTGCTTGGCGCGAAAATTAAACTTCGTTCAAGTGAGCTGTGCGGTAACGAGCCCCCAACGGACCTAATAAACTCTTGTGTAACCGATCTCGGACACTTCGGCCAAAACGTGCTCAAAACGTGCTTGTTCTCCTGGGATTCCCCAGCAGACATGCTTCCTTCCGTGTTGTTCTCCCTTGCGGTCTTCATTCAGACTTGCGCGTTTGCCTATGCGGGTGGAACCACATCCTTCGCGTCCGTGCTCTGATATCATTCTCTCTTCCATGTAGTCTCAACAGCAGTTGATGGAAACGACGACCGGAGATGCTCCGTTTTCCGTAGACCTTTCCGCCCTTGAAAGTGCAGTATATTGTCCCAATGGCATCCGCAAAGCTGCTGGAGGTGAATGACTGGAACGCCTTCTGACTTTATGGACACGTGAACTTCCCTTTCCTTAAGGCGTTGTGCTTCTTGTTCATGGAACCGGTTCAACCGGATATGAATCATGGGCGAACGGCCCATATGGAGTGTCAGTATATTATTCCACATTTCTAGTGGAAAAATCCTATTTACATCGATTTCCTCAGGTACCTTCCTTGGGCTGCTCCCGGATTCGATGTCTGTTGGTACGAACTCGATTCACACAATTCATCTAGGACACTCACAGAAACGCTCACACAGGGTGGATCTTCCCAGAAAGTAAAGGAAATTCTCTGCCAGAGTTCCTACCTCTAACTTCGCAAGCATGAAGTTCACTTATCGATGCACAAGTTTCTGCTGAGTATGTCTTGAGTGAGTTCGCTTGACTCGAGCCTGACTTGATTCTTTCCTCCAAGGTATATCGCCTACAATATCCCCCTATTAGCGGCGAAGAGCTCCACAGGAAAGGTGTCGATCATTGGCCACTCAGTACGTCGGTAGTCTTCTTTAGGGTACATATCCTTTATGTGTTATTACTATAGCAAGGGGCAGGTTTAAACCCTCAATGTTAGTTTAGCCGTTTTCCGAAGATGGATTAAACGGTTTATTCCCATGCTTCAGGGGCACTAGATTTTTGGCCATCTATTCGTCAATATGTCTCCGACTACATCGTAAGTGTTACATAGCAGGAATGAAGCTATACCCTTTTTCCTCACCTTTCAAAATCCATTCAGGCACTCGCAGGAGACTTTCACGGCACACTGGAAGGCCCGGTTTCTTGCTTATGTCAGTGGGTTTTGCTGCCTGACACTTTCACCCGGGGGAACTATTACTATTGCTTATCCCGTATTCCTATGAGCAGCCCAGGATTTACTGCATAGCGGCTGTTATCCGTCCGTCGCACAACAGACAGCGGGCTCTAAGTATTTGGAAGCCCAAAATGAGCGTGGTGGTTCAGCATTGGTGACCACGACTAGGTATGCCAATTGGTCGACACTAGAATAGACTGCACACCAAGTCTGAAAATGCGCTCATATTGCTAGTATCTACACCCGATATGGTAAAGAACATCTGCTCTGGTAGGAGACCTTTTCGCGGATATTCATGGCCGAATCCTCCATAGATGATGTTATTCAACCCGAGGTCGTTAATCCCACTTCTGTGCTTCCTGGAGCTGCAAACCTCGCTTTACAAGGCAAGCCAACTGATTCTGTGAAAGAATTACGTGTATCTCATTTTCTGTGTTGATCCTGCATACACACAGACCTTAACGTGTGTGGTCCTCTGCACAAAGTTGATCACTGTAAGCGTCATTGATTCTGTCAGTACCCAGCTAAATAAAATTTCCCTGTGGTTGTATCACGCGTTCTGTCATGTAGTTACTATTCTCTTCGACCCTGCAGCCTATGCTCTCGCATATGACGCTCTCACTCATGACGGACCGGCTTCAACCTCTCGTTTTAACGCGATCAAATATTGCAGTTCTTTTGTAAACAACACTGCCCTGAACCCGGCGCGCGGTCCTGATGAAGTGCGAAGCTTTGTTCTGGGCAGTTTGAGGACTGGAGGTCTTTCGAATGTTACGAAAGTCAAACATGAGCCCCTCCTTAAAGTAAGCATGCTCGTAGGGAAGCATGATGATTGCACATCCTCATCCCTCTCCAAGGAATACGTTTGTGATCAAGGGCAAGCAACCGTATGCAACTTGTGAATTTACTCGCACGAGGGAGTGCTCGTCTGGTCAAGGACAGGATAATTTTCACCGGACGTCCTAATTCTCGCTACTTCCGTGTGCCGTTTCTTCAGAAACCTATATCGCTAAAAAGGCCCTCCAAATTTGATCAGGGGTCTCGCCCCTTTCGCTAAAACTCTATGGTGGCCATCATGTTATTACGGCAGCAACTAACTGCGATTATTGGTAGCACCAGTATGCATAGACCCCGGGTGTGCTGACGCAACTGGGATCATGAGGATGACGCCAGATCGAATTTTTGTTGTTGCCCCTCAGAAGTCCGCAACAGCGTTGAAAACTGTCTTGTGCGCCGCTCTTCTCTCGGTTCATCGAAGTGTGCAACCCAGTTGCACTTGCTTAATTCCCAGGAGGACAACATGCTGTCGTGACTACTGTTCCTGAGAGATGCTTTTCGTGCACTTAACGGGCATCCCTACGGCCCCCTAAGCCAGCTGCTGAGGAAGTTGGATATGAGGTATCTCTGACCGTCCAGCGTGCTCAAAGGCACCAACCATTTATGGTTGAACGACCTGAATCGGCTGAGATGGCGGTTCCTTTTTTTTTTGGTTGAACCCTCGCAATATTAACGTATAGGAGGCCTTTGGCTGCCTGTCCTCTGTCTTGATACCATCTATCCTCTGCATGTTCTCTCCTGCGAAGAAGTTATCGTTGGAGATATTGGTTCGGAGATATGTGCATGCAAATTCCCAAGACAAAATAGACTGTTGTTATGAGTTAACCTGGGCGCTCAGCGGCAACACTCGAGTAAACTGTATATTACATATGTTTAACTACAATATTTTTCACTATCAGTACTACAACGGGCCTATGCTACAGGGTGAACAACGCACGGACGCGTGGGAGAGGCGGTGTCGGGTCGTGCAGTAGCAAACCTAGTAGCGGGGAGAAAGGGGAATCCGATGAAAAAATTCCCATCGGTTACAAGCGTGAAAGGCCTCCAGCCTTGTCCAAGTCCAAAGCAAAAACAGTGCAGATCCCACACCACTTGTTCGACTTTCAAACCATATATCCTCAAAATTCGAGACCCAGCTAACCAATCGCACGGAAAACAAAACTAATAAACTTCGATCCAAGTTTCGTGAATCTTTTCGTTATCGCCCCAATGTCTAGGGCGGTAGCCACGTTTGTGCTTCATACGCTCACGCACGGACCAATGGTAACTGGGCTTTGAGCGATTAGTCAAAAACTCCACCCAGCGTTTCGACAAAGCATCTGTGTGTTGGGGTACTGCGCCTCGATGAATGTCGCGAGGATTGAATAAGTTGCATCTGAAGCATTTTCGAGAGGTCACCAAACTCGTCAGTCAGGCAATGCGGTGTGAAACGTTGAAATCCAAAACCCAACGTACCGAAGCTTGGACTCCCACAAGAACGTGTGCTTGTTCTGCACATGCCTCATAAGGGGCGCCAACTCAAGCACCCACCACCACAACATTGTTACGATCGCGCTAAAAGTAATGCGATCCCACCTCCACAACTCGTCGTATGATTCAGCTTTCAAGTCCCTCTCGAAGAAATCCAAGTCATATTTGACACCAGACTTAAACTCCTTGGATCGAAGAAAGTTAGCCCGTCGAGGATGCCTACCCAGCACTTTTTTATCAGCGTCCGTTGGTTTGACTAGTACATCGCTTGGCGCTATCCTGCTGGGGTCTGTATTCCCACCAACAAGAGGGGAAGGAGGTCTCCCCGATGTGGGAAGAGTAGAGGACCGGCGATCGGCTGGATTCTGTGCGCGCCTCAAATACCTGTTCTCGAGGTCATCGTCAAGGGTGATATTGAAGTCACTACCATCGTCGTTTGTGTATATGATGGGAGGTAAGTAGATACCATAGCGGGCCAGGCGGACAGATCGCCAGCGAATATTGAGGTTATATTTCAAATCCGCCTCATAGAACTCGCGGATCATCCATCGAAGAGGGATGTTGGCAAGTGAAGGCGAGTACCTTGGTTCGTTCGGGCCCAGCTTGTCGATCTCATTCCAGGGTTTGTCGTCCGGTACGTTTCCGCCGCCGACATCTAGTAGGATTAGGAAGTGGGACACGAGTTTTGACGGGACAGAGTTGAAATACCATACCGCAGTGTCCACCTGCAAACCAAACCTCCCTCAAGTCAGGCGGAAACTGTTCTTCTGGAATCAGGGTCGTGGGTGGTTCATGATCGCCATAGTTGATTAATCCGAGACGGTTCAATATATCATGTGGCCACCACTCGATGAACCATTTGAAGAAAATGCCGACAAAAATATCTCTCAACGCCAATACCCAGTCGATCGTGGCCTGAATACCCTCAGTGTCTGGCGCAATGGCATCTTCTGCAGCTTGTTTCGTGACCCAGTTTCCATTTTTGCATTGTTTTTTTGCTCCCGTAAGCCTCCACGGCGAAGGAATAAACCTTTATAACCAGCACAGACGCAGAATCGGCAATCATGCATCAAGCTTCACGCTGAAGCGCACTTACTTGGCTCGTCTCTCATCCAGAGCCAGTGCATGCCTAAAAACTTTGATGGAACTATTGCTTTGGGAGAAGGGCAACGCGCGCGGCACAAGAATGCCAACAGATGCAACAGTATCCCAAACTCCGAGGAAGTCAACAGTGACGGCACGACAGAAGTCACGTTTGTAGTTCCGGCTGGAGAAGAGGGGATTAGGCATGGCTTGAGACATTGACACATGAAGGGTTGGTGCTTACCCGGGATCGCTACTGACAACACTACCTCTACCCAAGTTCTGGTAAAGCTTGTAGGCAAATTGGACTTGCTCGGGCATCGAGGGTGGCAAAAGCCCGACCTATTCGCACGCCGGATCAGGCAAACACGTCCTCACACTACCGATTAATATATATTCGTACCGCATGTAGCATCCCAGCTAGAGCTCTAGCAGTATATGCACCTCTGGAAAAGCCAAAAATGCAAATTTTGTCACCCTGATTCCAATTCGACTGAAGAAATCGATATCCTCCACAGACCTGCCGCAGATAGATCAGAATTGAACCAGGAAATGCCCACCTAGGACTTACATGGTCATCAAGGTGCAACGCGACGCCTTGATCGATGGTTTTAGATATCCACTGGCCAATAGATGTGCTGAATCGAGTCGAAGTGTATGTCCCAATGCCAGTCTGGCGACGCACAGGCCTCTCAGTGATCAGAATAAACACGGACGGTATGATTCTAACCTGATAGTACACTAACTGTTTCGGGTGGGATTTCTCGAGGCACGAGAAGAGACGAACGATGTTCTGCAGGGCAATTGCAGTCAGTTGAAATCATGTGCGCTCCATAAATCTTACAGTGTTCGTATCATCATACTCATTCGCCGTCCCATCGAAGCAGAGGATCAATGTACGGCCTAGATGGACCTTGGGTGTTTCCAACTCTTCCTCGTCTGTTATCTGGTTGATGAGTACGGACGAGAGTCCTTCCTGGATATCGAGAGCTATAGGGAAAGTAGCCATCTTCAGGATGTCTCGTTGAGGGGGGGGGAGGGGCTAGGGACAAGGGTGTGGGGTTCGAATCTAGTCATTTATGTAGACAGGCTGGACAAATCCCTCCAATTCGGCGCAATACATTTGATGGAATCTGTGACAGGAAGTGGGAGCGGCACTTTGCTAATCGGCTCTGATGCTGTCCGTTGGTCCAGACAGCGAAGCGCTTGATGGCCAAACTCCCCCCCTTAATCTCGGGACTTTCGGGCCGACTTAATCATACTAATTGAATAGCGCTGGTCACGACCAGCGCTAAATCATGAAAATAGCAAACAACCGAGAAAGAAAATTGGATGGGGTAACATGTTACAACAAAGCGGTATTTTACCCAGGAGATTCTAGCCCATGTAGAACACTCGGGTGGTGCATGAACTAGATGCCTTCCGGAATTTCCGGCCACAGTGCTTGCTCTGTGTTGATCGAGTGGACGTGAACGTGATGACTAATTCGGTGCCTGATCAATACGTCACCGCGTGACATGGGAAATTCTAAGCGGCACAAAGATCCAGAAATAACATATTGGCAGATGGGTAGTTATCCGTACATCCTCGGATACATGCAGTCTAATCAGCCGGTACAGGTGAGCGAGGACGCACGCAGTCAAACAACGCAATGAGAGGGAGCGGATGCAGAATCTGAAAAACCAACGCACAGCGCAACACAGACAGGCAGTCGGAAGTGCGCACGTAAGTCACCAGAGGGATGAAAGGAATGGGTCATAGGCCACACAAAGGGGCAAGCCCCAAATTTGCAGTGGTGAGCACCCGCAGAATCCCATTGGCGCTGCAAAAACACAGCATGACACAGCACCACTCACGTCGCATGGTACCGGCATGCTGGCAGGGAGGGCTTGGGGATTAGGGTAGTTGGTCCGCTTAGAATGCCGCGCGTGATTAGAGGTGGACATTCGGATACAACTTGCAGGAACACACTATTTCGTATGGCGCCGTTGGCAGCACAGGAGAGTAGTCTTCCAAATATCCTGAGATCGACAGACTTGATCAAGATCATGAGAAAGAATACTGTTCACATTTTCCTCGCATTCATGATCGATAGCTCCATGGTGACTCACCATAAATGGGAACAAGGCGAACAGCGGCTCGAAAGTGATAGTTGAAGGTGAATTCAGTTTCGACCCTAATGAAGATGTAAAATTTAAGCGCGTATTGCGATATTTACGTATTCAAATAATTCTAGTAAAATTTACAACCCAAGGTAAGGATGATATATATGTTTGAGGGTGAGGGTGTGGAGGCGAAAGCTGCTTATGTAAGCGTCGATCACCAACCCCTTTTTTTCGGCGGGCGGGATGCCTGAAGGTTTTGTTCCAAAGGGTGACGATGATGGGTGCCTCTATATGAAGAGAATTGCCACCACGGGGAAATGCGTTACCACACTGGCGAGATGTGCGTGACCGCGGAGGGTCCGGTTATACCACAAAAACCCCGTTGCACTTCGGCCAATTCTCAGGGAGGCTCAGTTCGTTTTCCAGGGTGCTGCTCCAGGTGTAGAACGATCCATATGGGGAGAGCTCTGTTACGGTATTTCTTTTTGTTCGTGAGGTTCCTGTTCTGGTTCAGTTTTTCATTCATGGGGGTTCTGATCATGGTTTTGTTCTCACCAGCCCTCTTGGTTGAGTTTTATGCAACCGCTTACGGACTTGATGCGTGGAAAATGCGTGGAGATGATTTCAAAGCAATTAGTTACCATAGAAGTCGAGCTTGGACTTTGAACGTGAATCAATTCCTTCACGCTGTCCAATCATTTGCCAGGATCGAGAATAGAGATTTTAACACAATGTCCGTCAGTTCGGTCAAATGGAAAGCTTCCCAACTTGTTCACTTAATATCTAGAGGGCTAGAATTGCCCCGGGGTCCCCCTTCATCAAGCCCCCCCCTCAACACTGACAAAGTCTCTTTGTCTCTCCTGCACCCACTGAAAAAATATGCCATCCTATGTATTCCACGTCTTTCTCCCAGAAAACAATGGCCTCAACCCGCCCAAACTCGTTGCTACGAAAAATAAGAATGGCTGCTGGATTTGCAGGTTCCGCAAGAAAGCCTGTAAAAAACACAGCGAGACAGACCCAGGATACGACCCAGCGGACCATCGCTGCTACGATTGCAAGAAATTCAACATTGTTTGTTGTGGCCAGGGAGAAGACCGCCCTTCGGTACGTTCTTAATCTACCTACCCCCTACCTCCCTTGCCTTACGTTGCCGTTTTCCAGGGCCCTGGCATCTGCTCCGCTGTACGCAAAAGGACCCACGAATGGATTTCGCTCAAATTAAATAGGCGCTCTGGTGTTCCCCCACTTGACCTCTCTTATCTCTGGACAAAACAGTCGGTGGCTTCGTCATCCCCTCCGACGCCTCCACCTGAGAGCATTGACTCCATCTCGGAGTCCACTGGATACTTTACACCTCCAGAGTCTCCCGACCAGTCCGCTGTCGCCCTCTGCCGCTGAGCCTTTTGACCCCACTCTTTCCGGCGCAACCCTTCTCACCCCCTCTCCAGAGTGCAGGGGCAGCTTCACACCCCTCCCGAGTACAATACCGCTCTGTTTGACGTGCCTTCCTTGCAATCCTCACAATCCTTCGCAACGTCGGCCCTTGGCCTCCACCCTTGTCGCCTTCTCTCAATTACAGTCCGGATAACCACTACTCCTTCTGAACCATCCTTTCAAGTCGTTTATCCAGTCTTTCCGGGATGAGCTTCGATCACCTCGTCTCACTCAAGTCTTGCAGACTGCCACATCACTTCGCACGCACCTCCTACTGAGAACGCCGTTCCAGAATCATCTTCATACCCAAGTTGCGCGACCTCCAGCCCCGAGAGTGAATCGACTATTCAAACCCCCCTTCCTTTTGGTTTGGCCCCAAGTGCGTATTTTCATTCCGTGTTAAACCATTTAGCTAACGCGGTCGTGCCACAACAGCCTAGCTACTCGGTGAAACCCGCTATCTGGATTGTTGCAAGTATTTTGTCCTGCAACCTTACTTGCAAATCCCAACTCTCTTTGCCTCCAGGAAGTTTCGACGCAAGTTATTCCACACTTTGGGGACTTGGCCTCTTGCTATTATTGCGGTGATGTATTGCGTGCGACGGACGTCCGCGTTGTATTTTTTGTGCTTTGGTTCTGGTGACAAAGGCAAGCATCTTTGTTATTCCGATTGTTGACACCTCATGCGGGGAATTGCGTCCCTCCGCCTAGCCTAGCCTAGCCTCGTCTAGCCTCGTCTAGCCTCGTCCAGCCTAGCCTAGTCTCGTCTAGTCTCGTCTCGTCTAGTCTAGTCTATTCTTTACTGACCAGGTGTCACTCGCTGGAATTGGACAGGTAAGTTTACCAGCGGTGCACTTTCCCTCTAATTCTAGGACATTTCCGAGGTAAGTTAATTGAGTGTTCACAATGGCGAAAACCAATTGCTCATGTAGTCTTCACTGCGTTCCTTAGAGTGCTAGGGTAGCACCACCTTAGATAGTCGCCGGTGCGAAGTCGTTTCATTACCTCCAATACCGCTTACATCTTTGCAGGTGATCGGATTGGCATTGTCTAGTCTAGTCTAGTCCAGTCCAGTCTCGCCTCGTCTCGCCTCGCCTAGTCTAGTCTAGTCTGGTCTAGTCTATTTTCGCATTGTCCTTTGGCGTGAGAAGGCGTGTGATATTGATTTAACTAGCAAGGGAAGAGCATGAAAAGTGAAGCGTGAAGTTAACTGATTTCTTGAATCGTCTAGCCTAGCCCAGCCTAGTCTCGTCTCGTCTCGTCTCGTCTCGTCTCGTCTAGTCTAGTCTAGTCTCGTCTATCATTTTTTTAACAGATTCGTGACCATTCGCGTGGTTAATCCATCTCGAAAGTGAGCCACGAGCCACTGTCCGAAAAGTCAGGTATGGAACACCCTATCTCGTTAGTCGAGTTTTCAGAGACATGGGCAACATGACGTCGATGTTGTCCATTTGCCTTTCCGAGGGTGCCAAGTTGTCCACACCACCCTTTTCCGCGGGAACTAACGGCGAAGAGATCCTCTTACCGGATACGTGGATTGATAAAGCAAACTTTGAAGACCATTGCTTTACCTTGTCTCCCGTCCGTCCCAGACCTGCCCGGGTTCCTCCCAATGCCCCAACACCTCATTCTTGTGCTTTATTTGCGATAGTTCTATGTGGTCACTTGATCATTATCTCACTCTGTCACAGATCGCACGCACTTCGAAGTATTCCTTTTGCTTGCTGACAGTATTCATTAGGCTGCGAGTTCGACTGCTCAACGACTGCAGGTTTGTCATCAGTGATCCGTGTTTTGGCTTTTGAGATGGGACATGCATTCTTGTTTGTTATGAGGACCGGGATGCAAAGTAATACGTTCGTTTGTTACTGACTAGATGTCGATCAGGACCTGGAATATCAGGAAAAGTTGTCTGTCAATCAGTTCATGGGAGCGGCCAGCTTTCTTTTTTCAAGGTTTGTTCAATATATGCATCCTGCTTCCCTTGTTACGCCGCTCTTTCTTGTCTAAAGGTCACCTCCCTGTTGGGAGCCGGAGTGCTAAACAGGACTCCTTCAGCAGCAATGACAGACCTGGTTAGTTTTTCCACGCTCGACAAACGCTAGGAGTGTGACGTTCGTGTATGCAAAGGAGCTATTTCATCCGCGGAAGCCAGCCATGGACAACCGGGTACGGCGGAGGCTAGATAAGGATGTAGCCGTTGATTGAGGGCCAGATCCAGGGACGAGCAGTGTTCCTTAACCCCTCATCCACTGGTGAGCCTCAACAGAGTGAATGGGGTGAACCCCAAGCCAGGCGGCGTTCTTTGACCTGTAACCCGCCCGATTCCTTTAAGAATCATATTCGACACCACATTATGGTACGTTTCTCCTGATGATGTAGGTCTTTTTAGCCAGGATTCTGATGCTGGGAGTGATTTAGTGGGGATTGGGCGGGGTCGTCGAGCCCATGGAATTCTTCTGGTCAGATTGGCGGCGGTTGTGCTACTCGCACTGGTTATCCTACTTGTACCGATTACATTTGTGCAAAAGAGGGGATTTTGATGTTTGTAAGTAATACTTTTCTTGTTCCCCGGTCTACAAATTGAATTGTTTCCATTGTAGACTGGGAAGTTAGGAGTGTTAAGTTTTGCCAATAGCACCTCATGGGTCTCGACGGTCTCGATGTGCACTTTATTAATTCATTTAAGGGAAGGGCAGATATGGAGGTGGTTTGCGCTCGCACTGCATTGTCTTTTATGCTTTCACTCCTACTCATTAATCTTGCATGAGGTGACAAGGTAGCCGCGTCTCATCTAGTTGATTAAGAGATGTCGATGAACAACACTTTCCGAGCACAACAACAGAATAAATAATATAAAATAGTCGTTCCGGCTCACTGGCTGTCGAGGCAGCGAAGTTCCAAGTACTCCCCATCTCGGAGTCTTTCCATATTTCCCTTGATAAGGTGCACATCGGTAGAGCCAGGTGATTCGTCGGTAAGTGGAAGGGTGTGTATCCCAATGGGACTTTCCTCCCCGGCTGAGGTGTTCGTTCTGCTATTTCTGGGGGAATCGAACGTAGTGAACTGGACGTGCGAGAAACTTGAAGGGGAGCGCCGATTCGCATCTCTGCGTCGCTGCATTTTCTGAGCAACTCCTTCAAGCCTGTACGCTGACGTTTTTGAGATGCAAGAACCGCAGGGTCAAACGACCGCTTCGTCGGTTTGAGACCGGTTACGGATGCGGGGGGCGAGTTCGCAGCAGCGTCGTTTCTAGATAGATCATGGGAAGATCGGAAAGTAGCGTCCGAACCGATGGAAGTAGTAGACAAGGCACGTCGCGAGACGCCTTCCTTGGAGGGAGATGAGACATGGTCCTTCGAGGGTCGAGTTGACACGATCTCGTCAAGAGAAGTTTGACTTCCTCCACTGAGAATCTGGGACTGGGACTGAACTCGGGGTGAAACGCCGTTGGAAATAGGTTGAAGAGGGCCGAGAGAGGAAGGACTGCTAGGCCTCGTATTCGAATGAGCATCTATATCACATTGCGGGTTGTGAGACGGTTCCTTGGACGGGCTTTTTCTAGCACGCGCAAGTTCTTGAAGAATATCATCATCTGTGCCTGCGTCAGAGGCTAATAATGAAGCTTGATGAGGTAGCTTGTCTTTCTGGCCGGATGTAGAGCGAGGTTGGTTTTCCACGGACGTGCGTGAGTTATGTTCCTGCGATTCCCTCTCGCCCCTTGGCCGAGCAGGCGTACCAACCCCCGTCCCTTTCGGGGATTGAGCGGTGCGAAACTGTCGATTGCAGCCGGTTATGGACTCCTTCGACTGGATTGATCTGGCTTGCCATTGGGAGGGCTTTGCGGGGGATGCCCCGTGAGGCAAGGTGTTGTTTAGAGGTAAGTTGCTTGAACAATGGTTTGCTGGGCAAACGAGCGCGTTTTCAGACCGAGTTGACGGGCAGACCCCATGGGGTTGCAGCCGAGTCGTCTGCCACGAGGTGTCGTGGGAGACTCCTCCCGCAATGGGGTTGCTAAATCTCTCAGCGGCACTCCCTCCACCAAGGAAACACTCGAGCTGTTCCATGACACGCCATTTGCGTCCCTCATGACTGGCTGATGACGTGCTAAGTGCACTCTTTTCCCAGTGGGGAAATAATGAACCTAAATTGACGCCCTTGGGAAGCTCGACATTCTGAACCGAGGTGGGAGTGAACACCCCATCTAACTGCGGCGACCTGCCTCCTCTTGAAGCCCAAGCCTGGGAATCCAAATCATCCTGTATGAGACCATCCCCCCGGTCCTGCAGCATGTCGGTCCATGCAGAATACCCGTTAGCCTGCATATCTTCCTTGACCTTTTCTGCGGCCCCGGGGCTCATGCAATGGCCGAACGCCATCGGGATACATGCCCAATCAGCGCCATGATATTGTGGAAGAACAGTATTTGGAACAATTCGCTTCGGTCGGAAGAGTGAGACAAATCGCTGTAATTCCGGGAGGCCCGAATGCCGAGCGAGAGGCACGATCTGCCACAAAGCGGTCATCAACATGTAGCAGAAGTTTGAGATAAGTTTCACTGACTAGGCTACGAATCAACTCTCCGTTGATAAGTTTCTCCTTCGTGTCAGAGTACCAAGAGTGCCAAGTGCCAAGTGAGCACTCTACCGCATTCACATAGACTACGTCGGCATCATCTGAAGGCACATGGTCACAGCGATTGAAACGCTCGCATGCGTGGAAACGGGTCGACGAGGAATCAAGAGTTATGATGGCCCGAAGCATAGGGTCGGATTGAAGCAACGAGAATATCACTAGTTTGTATCTATCTACGTGAATCTGCACGAAAAACTCATCAATGCTCTTTCAAGACGGAATTGAGGAAGCTTTACCTTCGCACCAAAAGCTTTGGAAATTTCTTTCAATATATCTTCATACCCCCACGTCCAAGCGTTGATGAAGAATCGCGTCGTTCGAGGGTATTTGCTCATTAACTTGACAAGGCCAGAAGTGGCAGCCCTCTATATACGGAGATGCCATTACACGGCTACCCTCGGCCCACATTGTCAAAGAAATACCTTCGATGGTGCATCTATGGTGCTTAAAAGGCAGGCAGTGTCCAAGTAGATGGCTTCAAGAATGGGCTGCGGCGCTTTCGCCACAGACGGATCCGAAAGATGGCGGAAGTCCAAGCGCGAGTCTACCGCAAGGTACGGAGCAAGAAAAGGGTTTTTCTTGATTTCTTCCAGAAAACTCTGTTCAGCACGGAAGTCTCCAGTGTGAAGAATTGCACCTTTGGAGCCCTCAATAAGATACCTGTCCTCTTTTCAACCGATAGGTCGTTAGCAATCTAAGGAAGGGCTTACATGACGGCTCCAGGACAATGATTCGCATCGATAGCCGTGACAGTAACCTCTTCATCACCTTTGAGAAGAAAGCGTTCTGGCGAGTTAAGTGGTATCGGCCGCTAGAGTGAATAAGCTGAGCTGCATAAGGAGGAAGATGCATGAATATTCCATACCAGTAGGTCCCTCGATATCCCGCGTCCGTCGCGCCCATTCGTTTGCAAATGAGCCCACGGTCTCACCACATGCGGGGTGTGGCCCCGATCATACGCGATCCGGTCGGGTCCTTTTTCAGCTCTTAACAGCATATTCTTCGAGTCAAGGGAGCATACAACGGGCTGTCCGAAGCTTGGGTTCTCCAAACCAGAGATATGGTCGGAATGCACATGTGTGAGCAAGTGGAGGTGAGTGACCTCGTTTTCCTCGCCATGTGGTGTCGCGGACGCGTCGACGCGTATATCAGTGTAGGGAGGCACCCTCCCATGATATGGCGCACCAGGGGGCATCCTTAGGCGGAACTTACACGATAACTCATCTCACAACGGCGAAAATCGTTCAAAGTGTCAAACAGATAACAACATAGAATTCTCACGTTAGGATACTTGTAGCCGAACTATGTAGTGCAACAATATAACATTGTGACCAAATTGCCAATAATTCCTGAACCCAAGGGGCCAAGAAGAGATTACGATGCATAGCTACATATATAGACACACAAGGGACAAGACATGACAATTTTCTGACCATGAACCTAGGTCTTACCATTCATTCGCCTACAAGGGAAGATAAACCACAGAAAAGCAGAACCACCGGCGACCAAGACATCATCCAATGGACGTGAAATTTCAGAAGCGGTCACGCCTGTCACGTCGATCATCGTAGCTAAATGGCACGACAGTTCACAAGGAGCACAGAAGGGACAGAACAAGCAAAAACTGACCGTCTCTCTCTGCGATCATCAAACCTCCTCTCCTCCGGGCGGCGGTCATCATTTCGATCATACCTCTCGTATCTTCCACCGTACGCACGCCTGGCAATGATTGAGAACAGTGGGAAGGAAATGAATGTGTGACAGACCTGTCATCGCGCCGGTTGTCATGCCGAGCATAGCGGGAATCGTAGGGACGCGGATCATAGGGACGCTCGTCTAGAGGTGCATCAGTAATGTGAAGACATCGCTTAATTACAACACCTACATTCAGCCCTCTTGGGAGGACCAAAATACTTTCCAGGAGTAGGTGTGCGAGCTCTACCACGGCGGGCCTGGTGGAACAGTCAAGCATGCAGGATCGACATCAAGAACGAAACAAACCTTCTCCACACGAATAGTTTTTCCAAACAGCTCTGTGTTACTCAGAGCCGCCGATGCCGCATCCGCGCCTTCTACAGACTCCATGGTGACAAACCCAAAACCACGGCTTTCGCGGGTATGGGGGTCGTGCATAATTGCAGCTCTCTCCACCTGCGTGAATGTTAATAGCAATTGACACAATAGACAGACACACGTCAACCTTTCCGTATTTGCTGAAGATTGCCTCGAGCTCGCGATTGTCAACCTTCGAGTCGAGCCCAGAGACATGAAGATTGTTGCCAGGATTGCTGGAACCATCCATCCTTCACAAGTCAGTGGCAGTGCGTACACACGGATGCTCCAGACTTGCCTTCCACGGTCCACGCGAACAGGGCTGCGACTGCGGCTTCGCTGCCCCCCACGAATGCCATTCTTCATATCTTTATCCCCTCCATTAGGGGATGGTGATGGACTGCGCGCAGCATTACCCCATCCTTCATCTGTTTGTTGAGGCTCTACCGTAGTCGTATTTTGTTGCCAGGCTGGAAGGAGGTGTTAGGTGTTGGACGAGACGCAGATGACGAGGCGCACAGCGCCAAAAGGAGAGGTGATGATGGGCGAAAAAATCAGAGCACACTGTCGTACGGTGCTGCAATGGCACTGTTGGGGTGAAAAACGTGCAAAGAGTTGGAGGCCGTGAGCCGCAGATGAGGTTTGTCAGCAGATGCTGGAAACGTCGTCTGCCGGGAATGACAAGGTGCAGGCGGTGGTACCAAAAGTAGAGACGTGTTGAAGCCGTAGTTCATGCTGTCGGCGAACGTACCGTCGCTCATCTTGAGGTCAATACGGTCGATGCTGAAGGTTGGAGAAATTCGTCGTCAACTTTTTTTCGATGTCGGGGAATTCCGGTCAGGAAATTGCCGGGGAGTTGTTCTCAAGGTCCCAAGATCCACACACATCTCAGTCCTCCATGTCACGCAGGGTATTAGCTGTGGTGCTGCCGTCTTCAAAGGCATTTCGGGCTGCTGCACGTCCCACCTTTACGGGCTCTCGTGCATTTTCCACCAGGTCGCAGGTCCGTTCATCTGGCCAGCATGATGTCGAGACATTCGAGTCTTTCACCGAGCGCTATACCAACTTTTTCCAATCGGCTGAAGACCTCTTCGAGCTTCAGCGTGGGTTAAATAATTGCTTTGCTTATGATCTTGTCCCTGCGCCAAGCGTCATCGAAGCTGCTCTCCGTGCGGCCAGGCGTGTGGATGACTATTCGACGGCCGTCAGGATATTCGAAGGAATCAAAGAGAAGGTTGAGAACAAGAGCCAATACGAGGCTTATCTCAACGAACTCGGTGGTGTCAAGGAGGAGCTGGGTGCGTCTTTTTTTGTCCAATTCTGTTGCATTTATTCTCACGCACGGGGGTGTACCCAGGCATTGACACAAAAGAGGAGCTCTATGGGTTGTAACGTGCGTCGGGAGGATAGCTAGGTTCGGCCCCTTGTCGTCGTAAAAAGACGTATACTTACCGTTTCTCCTAGAAAAAAATGTACTATTCTCTGAATTACCCAATGGACAATCTTTGGCATACTTGTTCATATAATACCTCACCAGTCTGCTGGCTCATCGCTTATCAATGACTTGTTCCCCGTTCTGGGCTGTTCCGCCTTTTGCTGAGGCCTTTGTTGCAGAGGATCGCTTCAGCCGCTTTGTTTCCATTAGAAGCCCTGTCACTCCGGAGCTGGCGATCAGTAACTTTGCAGAGAACCCGGTTGTATTTTTCTTTGAAGATCCTCAAGTCTTCGCGAAGCTACAGCGAAACTACCTCTACGCATTAAAATTTACATAAGGTTTCCGATTGCCAACCGCTCCCCCACACAATTTTACTTAGGTTTAAAGTTACATGACATCCACTTGAGATTTCACGGCCCCACTGTCCCGGTGGGTGAATCTGTCTCTCTGCTGGCGGTTCTCACGCCCTGAACGAAGCATTCGGACCGCATGATCCCGCTCGCTCACTTGACAAGCATCCTACATAACTGATTTGTGCCGAAGTAGTACCAGATGAACTGAGCTGACACCGCAGGGAGCAGGCGAGAGAAGCCACGAGTCGGCCTAGCTTGTCAATGTATTCCAGGGTATGACCTTCGTGTGCAAGAGCCGAATTTGACAGAGTTCTGCGGCTCCATGGCTCCGCTGTCACTTTTCTCGGTCTTTGGGATTCGAAGCAGATGAGCTTCGATTTACAGTTGCCGAAATTGCCTCTCACCCTTCCATCATATCGCCGGAACCATACGCCACCGAAAACAGCAAGATCTTGGTATTTCGATGTGGGGTCCCTTACTGTAATAGGCATTCAACTCCGTCATCAAGAACATATGTCGATCATACGCCCACCTGCCTGCTTTTCTCCTGAGGGTGGTCTGACAAATTTTCCGCTGTCGGAATGATCTCCAGAGAAGTGTCTACATGACCTATTCAAACACATTAGCCATAAATATGAGCAAGTTTTCGGGACTACTCCCCTCCAGCTCACTGTGAACGCAGTCTGCAACACTCCATCGAACGCTGCGTCAACATTTGACGAAGATGGTTAAGATTTTTTGTCTGGTGCTTCCATTTGTCGCTCTTGCGGCTTCGGCTTCGGCGTCGGCGTTGCCCAATACATTGAACTCGGTTTCCGTAAGTAGCTGTCCTCCATTTTGCGAATCAGGACAACTTTTTCATGGCTTCTGGTAGTTGATCAAGGAAAGGGTAAATGCTTGTACTTTTACCTGTGGCTTGGCTCTATAGTCTAATCCCCATCGAACTTAGGACACGAAGGGTATTTGTATGGGCAATGTAGAAGGTATTGCACTTGGGGGGTGCTTGGGGAATCTTGAGAGTCTTGACGGAACCTGCTTTGCCAAATTCCTCGCCGTGAAGCTTTTGTGCCATGGGAATGGGCATGACCTTGACGGGTCTTGTGCGGCTGCAATTGAAGCAATAAATGTCTGGTGTGGAGGCTGCGTCAAGCCTTTCACGCCCCCTACGATTATTTGCAGTGAGACGCTTCCGCCCATTACTACTTAAATGCCTGTACCACAAGTCTTGCATGCTGCCCATGTCGATCCCCAAAGATATCCAGCATCGACATATCATTAATGTATACTCAGTGACCAGCTCGTTATAGTCGTTAGCAGAAAGTTCACAATTAGGCCATACCAACGGCAACAGGGACGCGTAAAAAGCTATGTTACATGGGTGGAAGTTCTACAATGAGGATTAGGAGGTTGTATGCATCAATCAGATTCACTATCATCGTAGCTACACGAACGCATCAGTTTATATGGATCTCACTGCTTGTCCTAAACTCACACTTCATCGTCATCTTCATCGTCATCGTCATCGTGGGCAACATAGCCCGTGGGACTATTTGGTTCGTAAGGGTGATGGTATTGGTCATTGTCGGCAATGAGTCCGTCTCTGCAAGCCGTAAGGAAGTGCTATAAGCAGGGGCGATGCGGGGGCATTGAAGCAGAAGCAACTCACCCATCCTCTGATTCGGAATAGAAGATTGGAGCTCCAGTGTCCTCATCAGACGACTCGTACTGAATCGCTGGATCATTCGAATCAGACATTGCATCATCTCCTGCTCTGTAAGGCCTTCGAGCTCGCGAGGGGCCAGGAAGGAAATCATCTTCCCCATACATTTCTCTAGAGGAAAGTGGATGAGAATGAAAGCCGGAATGCCAACGAAATAAACTTACATATCCCGTTCGTGAGTATCACTGCTTTCACTATCTCGAGGGGACCTGAAGCAACTATCAGTGACAAAGGCGAATGATTGACGCAAATAGCTAACGATCCAAGGTTTCGCCTGTCGCGCTGGTATGACCCCCGCCCCGAAACGCTAGCGCCCCGAAATCTCCAACTGTTACAATGTTCGGAATCGGACAGATGATCTCTTTGGTCTTCTGAATCTTCGCCACTGCCAACCGTCACATTCACGCGTGTTCGACGACGGCCCCTTAAAGAACCAGGGATTTGCACCGAGATGTCGTCACTACCATCGGTGTCAGAAGATACAGAACATGCAGGTTGCCGACGCCTGTTAGGCACGTATGGTGGATCATCATCATCGTCCTCGTCCTCACTAGTAACTTCCACACGATAACGATGCCGCCTGCTGTGCGTCTGATTGTTGTCCAGCTCGTGACCGCTTTCCTCGCGGACGGCCAAGGTTGGTGCATCGTGAAATTCTTCGTCAGCCTCACTATCATCCGTGTAATTACGCATAACAGGATGGGTGTCTTCTTGATCCCCGTCATCTATGAATGACGGCTCGTATTCATCGATATCCGTTGCGACGTCAAAGAATGAATTGAAGAACAGTTCCTCGCCTTCATCATCACTGGGAAGTTGATCAACGCCCAGATATAACCGTCCACAACCTGTACACATGCCGTCGAAAATTTCATGCATGCAGTCCCGACATCTAGGGACACCTCCATCCTCGTCATCATACATAACGTCGGGATGCTCAGCCCGTTCGCGCTCAGAAGATGGAGCGAGAGGGGGAAATATTCCTTCCCAAACATCCTTGACTTCCAGTGTACCAAACTGGTCACGCTGGGAAGCGTCCTCTTCGGGGTGAGTGTAGGAGGATGGGTCAAGCGAAGGAATAATGGTTGATACCGCGGACTTGATGAGATACACAGATACTGGGCGGGTTTTGACTTCGGTTCGACAGTAGGGGCACGTTTTCTTTCGCAGATGCGGGACAATCGGCTCCTCGGAATCACAATTGGTAGTAAACCAGCCCTTCAAGCATCCTTCACAAAGAACATGTCCGCAGGGTGTAACTCTGAATGGCGTGAGTTCGAGGATCTCGATCCCATGTACATAAAATGGGGAACGCACAAATACGGCTTCCAGAGCATCTCCAGGCATATTTGGCATTGGAGGGCATTTTGAAGAGATGACAAAACATTTTCATGCTTGTTAAGAAGCTAATACAATGCTCATCATAAGGGAGCCAAGTGCCATTTTACACTGATGAGCTTACTTCATTCTTCAGTGCTAATTCCTTTTGAAGTCGTTGTATCTCAGCATCTTTGTCCACAAACTTTGAATCATGTTCCACGCCCTCAGAGGATAGGGTAAATGAGTCTGTGGATGCCAAAACCGCTGGTGGTGGGCCGGTGCTGGTCCCAACGTGGCCACCTCGCGCTTTCCCTTTACTTCGCTTCCGCTTTTTCGATTGCTTTGTAACCTCGGAGTTGGTAGTTTCTCTCTCCTTCCCCTTGTGGCTAGGCTTTACTATAGGCGAGATCGTGATAAGGGGTTCTTCTACCCCCGACCACTTGCGTTTACGAGAAACAGGCGTCTCTTCCTGAGCATCTGACGACCGGGAAGCATTGAGGTTTTGATGTTTCTTTTTCTTTCTGAGCACACGGTTCTGAAGTATTGGTGAGTCCGATTTCGGCATTCCCGCTACAATGAACAGGCGGAGTTCGAACAAGCGCTAGTCAGGCGGCGCTTGCCGCACGAATTACTCACAGCAGGATTTTTCCACAAGCAGGTGCCCAACCGCCGCGCCCACTACACTTTCAACCGAAATATCATATCCCTGCTGTGAGGTGCAAATGCAACTGAAGGATTCACCGGCTGCACGCGTACCAACTGATTTCCAACAAAACTGCTGTTAACGTCGACATACAGCAGTTTGGAAGCAAGCTGGCTTAGCCCCACAACAGACGTACTGTGTGGCTTCTAAACCTGGGCCTTGTTGTGCATCAATAGGGGACAGATTTTTGCTTCCTTCTGCCTGGCTTCAATCGATGTTGCTTGTCTTTCTGTGGCCTTCGTCCTTGATTGCATGACCCACCACTGTTTTATACCAAATTAGGGCCTTCCTAGCTACATCTGGAATCCGATCTCTGACCGTGCCTGCCGCACGCGCACCTCGGCTTGAAATAGGTCATTCCGTTTGGCATTTCATGAAAGCTCATGTGGAATATCTGACCTGTGCAGCATGGAACCTTGGACGAACCAACAAAGGCGACTCCTAGGTTTTATAGAGGCTGCTACTCTTTGGACATGCCTTTGCTGCATCTCAGCAGAGCTGGCTGAATACATTGCAAATAATGCAATAAATCGGCATCCCGACACAGGATGCGGGTTATAGAGCGAGGGGTAGCGTGAGCAACCTAACCATTCGAGTTCACATCATGAGGTGCCTTCGCGTCCGCTGAAAATACATAGTCATTGGCATAGCAGGGACCGTTGGAAACAGTTCTACTCGGTTTTGGGGTTCTCTCGGTCGAAGTGATGGACCCTTCCCTCCCCTTTGTGCCTGACTTTCAGCATTACCGCGACCTCAATCCAAGTTTTTCCCTACTTGAACATTGCACGGACGAGCTTCCGGCTCATGGCCCTAGTATGATGAGGTTTAAGGATGCTTCTCGGCTAGATGTCCTTGCGTTGAGACGACTCGAATCTCCTAAAGTTGAAGCGTTGTGTAAGACCCAGTGGAAAGTCACTATATCGACCCTTCTCCACACTCGCCGTTTCGCAGCATACACGCCTCTCCTAAAAATGTTGTCCCAAATATTTGATCCCCTTGAACCAATCAGTGAGCATGCGAAAATGGCAAACGTGTTGTCCATTTTATCCCTATCGATGTCCGAACATTATCGGTAGTAAGTCCCCACTCAACAAACATTCCTGACTACTCGCTTCACAGTCCCACATTGCTGCTTTGGTCCACTCGAAAACAGCCGATGCGCAGGATCATTGATTCTTGAAGAACTCTTTTTGGCATCCCGTGATGGAAGGTCGAGGCATGGGTTTAGACCTAGCAAAGGCACATTCGTTAGTATCGCTGAATGAGGGTGCGGATGAGAGGACAAGAAGCGAATAATCGGGGAATAGGATGAAATAGTAGCTAACCTACTTTGTCAGCGGCGTTCACATCTGTAACAACAGAAGGGCCGTTCAAACGTGTCTCTCAAGAAATTCATGATTTCGTCCTTGTCGTATATGTCGTTAGATTATCAATGACTCCATCGAGAACTTGACCCACAGCCCACTCCAACCAAGGTTCAGTGGCGACTTTGTAATCAGCGTCGAAGTTCCCCCCAAAGGACAAAGGCGTTTACTCCAATCATCAGCGCCAGGACCATAATTGAAGAATGGAAACGAAACTCGTGAGCTGCGGATGACGTATATCGAGGACATTGAATCTCTAGGAGAGAGAAGGCTTACATGCTCATCGAGTTTCTTTGGGCTTGGGGACTGGGAAAGAATTTGATGTTTCTTACCCAAGTATAGGCCTGAAGACCTTGATTAAAGCGTCTGGATCGACGGGTTTGTCTTCGGGCGGCATGTAAGGGAACGAGGCACTATAGAACATGAGTATGGTGTTCAACAAGTATCTCTCCATCCACAGCAACCAATAGGGGCGGGGGGAAGACGTACAGGACTAGTCCAAGCGCTCCGTCTGGGTGGTAGCCACAGAACCTCGCCGCGAGGGGAGACCCTATATAACGTCCCGGATCAGAAAAATCGGCTTGAACAGTCCCTTGAATGCCGTTCCTGTTCTATGTCCACTCACCATAGTCATGACCCACAGTTACCACCTTTTGAATTCCTTCTTCTAACATCGAAACCAACTCGACTAGCTGTTTCTTATACCCATGTTCCTGTTCCTTCAAGTCCTCCGGTTTACCTGCTTGACCATATCCCTTCAGTTCGGGCAAGATGACACCGTACCCTTAGGAAGTGAGTGGCGGAACAAAACTGTGGTAGGAGAGTGCGCCTAGTTATAGGTGTAGGGGCAGCGAAAGTTGATCCCAACGTATGGAAGATGAGGAAAGAAGGGTACAGGACGGCCGAAAGTGAGGCACGAACCAGTTGGAAACTCATGGCAGAGAGAAAGATTTGTTGAACTCTGACTCGGATCGAATAGAGAGATAATGGCATTCGACGCCGTTAAATATGTTCTAGGCTGAGTCCAAAATCGGTGGTCCATCGCTATTTTGGCGACCACTAGGGTTGACCGGTTGGTATTTAGTGGTTTCTTCTGTTGTGATGAGGAGAACAGCCAACTCTGAGACGAAGCCAATACTTAGGCTCTTAATTTCCCCCTTAAAATCTGAGTAGACTCAGCGCGTAGGTGTATGTACTAGTACGTAGACATGCGCTGAATCATGCGCTGTGTAAGTACGCACGATTGGAAAGTGGTGGAAGGTATGTTCTAGCCTTTGTTTACAGCATATTTATGTGAAGAAGCGGAAAGGGGGCTGATATAGGGCAATGCGAAGCACAGATGGTTTTTGGTCTGAGGGTTGACGGCGATGGTGAGCGATAAATGGGAAGCTTATATGTACCCAGAGACTTCATACACGCAGCTACTGCTATAGTCCGCGAGAGATAGAAAGATTAGCTGACTAAAGTCAGCACCCAATCCGGTCAACGGAAGTTGCACCACCCCAGCACTTATTTACCGACGCATCGACAGCAAATTTTAAGCCATTCAACCATGTAGTACGGTAGGGACCGTATAAAGCGAAGAACAAGGCTGCGTTTCTCCACGAGCGGAAACAAGTGCCCAAATACTGACAGGCTGTCGCGAGCGCCCAAGTTGAGAGTGGCTGAATTGAAGAAGATACCGAAAGTAAGCTTCTCTTTTCCACTCCACGGAGTCATCGCTTCGGATCTCAAACAGAGCCAGCTCCACAGACGCACGCGGTTATCTATCGGGGCGGTCACCCACCATTGAAATACAGTGCTCGAAAGTTTTTTGCCAAGATGCCATCCGTCCCTCCATGGGGGGCCGACCCTCGCTACAGGTTCCGTTACCTCGACCATGCATCCCGAGCCCCCTCCCCGAGACGCATTGCCAAGCCATGTGCTCTAGCTAAGGATGTCACTACAGAGAAACTCCCTGGAAAAAGTTGACACATCCTTCGCCCCATCGCCTTCCGTCGCCGCATTGGAATACCATTCGGAAACGCAGTTAATGCGCGACGGAAATCTCAGGGAATATACTATCCACGTACGTAGCCCCCATATGGTGAGGGTTCAGGGTCGCGCGGATGAAAATCACGCACGTCCGCAAGCAATTGGAAGTCATCGCTAGGCATACCGCAAGTGGCAGCAAGGGATATATCGATACGCGTAACACACCGATGGCAAGAATTTAGGCAGATCTGCATCTGATTTAACACGAGATGATATGTGCGGCTATTCCTACACCTCTTCTTGGGCCAAATTTGAACGCAACGAGAATCCCCTTCCTTGGACGTGGAGGAAGAGGTCCCAGGAGAAACGATCTATGCATACTTCAGTATATCCCCAGGGCCAGGTCCGACAGGATCATCGGAACCAGCGAGGTTGCACTGGTGGAACTTCCTGACTTGGTCATCGCGGAACGCGCCAACGACGGTGTGAATCAGTCCACGATTGTGGAACAATACAAGATCGTCCTCCTCCCTTGGTGTCAAAGTCGTACGTGCAGTGAATATTCTAATTGATACTCGATAGTACTTACCAATCATGGGGATAAACGAATTGAGGTGAGATGGTGGGGCGTTGGATTCGATAGACGAGGTCTCGTACTTCCTTCAGATCCTTCAAATGTGCACCCTCTGGATACAGCACGCTAGAACCCGCAGAGGCTCGCTTCGCTGCGGGAATAGGGTCGATAATGAGCTCCTGGATAGCACTAGGATGAACCTGGACATGAAGATCGCTAGTCCGTGGATTCTTCCAAACCTGGAAGGGGCCATGTCTGTCCAATGATATCTATAGGAGTACAGTGCGCATACCATAGGGAAAGTCTTGACTTTGCTCTCTTCCCATTCTGGTAACTCGCTAAGCGGAAGCTCAAGCCCCTCAGTTTCGATTCCCAAGCCGGTAGAACGACTGTGTGCAGGCGCCATCCAGACGTATGGATGCGGGGCATAACGCACTTTGGTTCGAACAGCGAGAGACTTTTCCTCGGGTGAGAGAAGATTGAACGTGGTCCGAGTCGAAATGACTGCATTCATGGGTTTTTAGGCCTTATTTTTCATTCAGGAAGATAGCACTTACAGGCTGTCGTTCCGAGAGGGACGTCCAATTCATCTCCGGTTCCATCGTCATAGCGGACAGTCTGACGCGGGCCTTTTGGTACAGTGAGGCCGTAAAGCGTCGTCACCCGGGGACTAAAACAGAATACAGATAAGTCAAGCTTCTCTCGGAGAACGTTAGGACTCACGGAGAGAGATCGTAAAGGGCTGCATCGATGTGCCTGCAAAATGACAATGACGTCATGCCCTTCGCTTCAGACACTGAGGCTTGCCCCCAACCCACCAGCGATAGAAACGAGTGAATTCGAGGTCATCTTCTTCAGGTATACGGGTTTTATGAAACGTTTTATGATGAGGATGCTTAAGTTTCGCCTAACGATGTCAACGCAATTTATATCAGCAGTTGCGACTCGATCGGGAAGTATTCCCTGCTCGTACCTCGGCGAGCCCCTCGTGGTTGTACACAGTCCCATTCCCAATGAGCTGCACTTGGGGAATACGAGGGATTGTCTTCAGGTCAGGATGCAATATCGATCTCATGTTATTTCCTGTCTTGTTGTTCCCATGTCCATAACTCTCGCACGTTGGATCGAAGGCCTGTGGAGAGTTGTACATTCGAGGCAGTCGGGATGCTCGTCATCGATACATCAAGCATACCTTAGTTAGAGCGTATTGCTGCTCGGGAGTAAGTCTGGCATTTTTGAAGAGAAGAACGGAATGCTACGAATAAATTCACAATGACCATGTCAGAGGGGATTGGGAACAGGGTCCTGCAATGGATGTTGCCTTGTATAGAAGCTCTTCAATTTCCTTGAATGTTTCTGTGTCTATGTTACCAGGGTCAACACCGCGAACTTCGCGGCCGAACTCCGAGAAGTAAGCGGGGTTGGCTGAAGCAGGCAAAGGCAACGGTACGAGTTCGATCGCCATTTGTGTCGGATCAACAGATGCTAACTAGAGCTGGGTTTACAAACCACCCCGCTACGCATCAACTTGGCTGCAAGTGGACAGGGGCTGCCAGTGCAATTCACAAGCAGTCCTATTTAATGGAACAGCACTTGCGGGAATCACCGGGCTCACAACGCCAGGATAGTCAGTCTGTCGCCCCACTATCGGATAGCAAATTGGTGCCTTACGGGACTGGATCCGCTCGGTCTCATTCTCATTTGATATATCTAGGTGGCCCCAGCACCCCATGACGAGACGGTACGGATCTAGGAAGCGGCGAATGCTAGTGGGGAAGAATTCAAGGTCCTCCAAAGGCACGCCGATGGGTCCCCGGTTTCATTCTCGTCCCATAGAACCAGGGTAGCTTCAGTATCCAATAATATGACAATATGAATCTGGGATGCAGCGCCCGGGGAAGCACGCCAGTTTGGTCCTCTCAGTCCCCTCCACATATTCGATGAATCCGGGATTGCCGTACCATCTTGTGACACAACAGTGGACATATGGGACGGGGAAGAACTCAAGGGCCTCCGAGGGTGTGCCAGCTTATTTCACTTGGTCTCATTCTCATCTGGTGAATCCACACTAGTTTTAGCACACAATGATGAGACAGTACCAACCTGAGATGCGGTAACTGGGGAAGAATTCAAGGTCCGCTCGATCTCAGATTCCATCAGCAACAAGCCCACCCAGTACTCATCTTCTAACCCGATTACCGTTCCTATTGAGCGCTCGTTTGCCGAAGTCAAGCATGACAGGACAAACCACGTCCCCCTTCATGCGGTACCCCTCATTTTATTACTCCCACTCATGTGGGCGACCATTTGGGAAATGATGGGCAAGCCCTTACTCAGTTACCGTCCATTTGGAAGGTGGGCATGTCCACATCATCAAGACATCCGGGTGCCGAAGAAGAGCTATTGTTGTGTTTAACATACAACAACGGTTGAATAAATAAGATACAGTGAGTGGATTGCCCTTGCGATCGGTAATTTTTTCTTTCCACTTTAATGACTAAACTATTTCGCGTTGCCCCCCTACCCCGATCTCCCCCTCAAGCATTCCCCTGCTGAATCGAACCAAACGCACGCAAAAGCGGAGGCATAAACTGGACGTATATAATAGCATAGGATTCCTTCGTCGATCACCCGATACTGAAGCAAGATGGCACTGGCATGGCTAGTTCTCTTTCCTTCGAAACCCAGCGAGAGCAAAGCCAGATCCACCCCTTACATTTTAATTTTCCTTCCATGTCATGGCGAGATTTACGGGGAAACAAGCTGCTTCTTGGAAACGATTTGTACATATGCCTTCCTCACCTTCTTTTTTTTTTTCCCTTGCAATCTCTAATATTCTGTCAGTGTCAATAGAAGTGCATGAAATACAATATTGATGTTTTTGGAAAACGGAAACATCATGCCACGTCATGCATGTCAATACGGCTGAGGCGGGACGATGGCTAACAGGATTAATCCAATCGCGTGCCCGACAGCAGCTGTTTAGAAGAAAAACAAACAAACAAACCCAAACAAAGTATTTACATCGCTACACTGCAACATAACAAGGTAAGGGAGGAGGGGAGGGGATTCGCTGCCTTTGTGAACAAAACATCATTCATCAATCCAAATTGACCGTCTTGATGAGCTCCACGGCTTTAGCGGACCGAGGTGTAAACGTAGCTCCATACTCCGTAGGGTGCCTAAATATTATCAGTTTGTTTTTTTTCTCGGCATTACAAACCCAAGGGGGCACAGTTGCGGAACAACTTACATCACCAATCCAGTCGTCCACCCAATCTGTGGCTCGATATCCTTCTCTTTCTCATCCTTCGCCTTCCCAATACTAAAGCAATGCAACGTACACGCGATGCTCATAAACACCGTCGCACTCGCTACATCCTTCCCAGGACAGCTTCTTCTCCCAAACCCAAACGCGTAACTATGTGGGTCCGTAGGAGGGTTCTCCACTAGGAATCGTTCGGGTTTGAACGTAAAGGGATCTTCGTATTCCTTTGGATCCCTCATGATTGCCCAAATGTTAGAGATGACAGTTGCTCCACCTGGAATGAGCATCCCGTCGTAAATATCATCTTGGATGAGGGCGTGTGGGACCCCAAGAGGGGTAGCGGTGTTCCATCGGAGTGTTTCCTTGAGTATGGCATCGATGTATGGAAGGGAAGGACGATCGTCCCATGTGGGTAGGCGTTCTGAACCTACAATGGAATTAAGCTCAGCCTGGGCTTTGAGTTGAATCTCTGGATGGATCGTCATGGCAAGGATAAAGGAAGCGATCGTAGCTGCCGTCGTGTCCGAGCCCGCTAGGAAAGGGAAAAACGTGAACAAGGGAAGGAAGAATTTGGTGTGATAGGAGAAAGTTGATCCACAACGAACCTCCATAGAGAATAGCAGCAGTACTTTTGATCAGATTTTCTTCCGCCTGCGCAGTAAGACCAGTAATCGTCCCTCTAGCCTCAAGAAGGGTGGAAGTGAACGAAGGTTCAGCGGTACCCTCGGCCTATCCCGGAAGATGGTGCGTTTCCCGAAAATCAATTCCCAGAAATCGGCGCGATAACAGCCGCAATGAGCAACATACCATCTTCCGTTTCACAAACCCGAACAACTCCTCACGTATTCTCACGCTCAGTGATCGACCCGCGAGAATGAATTGGCGGGTTTCGGCCTTCCAAAATGTGAGCCTGCGATCGCGGCGTTTTTCGTTTTGGTGGTGCAGAATGATCCGAAGAAGTGTATTTGAATTGAAGTATATATTTCGGAAATTCTAGATCAGATGGGTGGTCGTAACACAGCAGGGATTTACCTACGGGACCCTCTTCACTGTGTAAACCAGAATTATATGGCAAAAATGGTCAGCTGGGGGAAAGAGGGGAAAGAGGAAAGGGAAGAACTCACGAATAGGCAAGTAATCCACAAAATAACCCCCTCCCACCGCACGCCCGAACGAATCAGTGGCTGCTTCCACAAGGGGAAGGACCGGGTCTTCCTCCTTCAACTCATACCCATACGCCACCTTCAAGATGATACCACTGCTCGTCCTTTTAACATGTTCTCTAAACTGCTCTGGTTTTTCAAGCAACCGGGCAAGATATTTATGAACGGCATCCTCCTGAATGGGCCAGTACGTCTTGGCCGTACGCGAGTTGAGCGCCGAGTTGAGAAGCTTGCGCGCACGGCGGAAAGTGTCTCCGTAGGGCGCGAGAAGTGTGCTTGAGGAATAGCCCATGACATCGGCCATATGAGAGTGAGGGCGGGAGGAATATATGGCGGATCGTTTATCGAGGAGGTCGATAGCTGCTTTGGCACTGTTTAAGACGATGATGGGCCGCGAGAACGCGGTGAGGTATACAACGTCTCCTATTAGTTTTGTGGAAGGGGCGGATTAATGGCCGGTGCGTTTCATTCGCCCGATACGAATCAAGGGAAACGTTGACGTTGTCAGAAGATGCGAAATCGGAAATATAGTGAGAGTCGCACCCACCATACTCTTTACCCCACTCTGCAAACTTGAGCTCTTTATGAGAGGAAGGAATGTCCTTCGCGTTACCAAGAAAGAGCTTTGGCTTTGGCCCAGGAGGTAAGGGTTTGGATCGCTTTGGTTTGTTGCGGAAGACATAGAGGGCTACCAGAAACGGCGCAATGATGCAAACAAGGAGCAAGTTCGCCATTGGTAGGATAGATAAGTTTAGGGTTTATTCGATGGCGCGACGGAAACAAAACGAAGGCAGAGAGAACACCATAGAGCCTCTTTGACAGCGCTTTTTATGAGGGGATGTTCAGCTTGTGCATGGCACGATAGCTCTGTACAGCCACTCATCAGGGATCGCACACAGGTCAAACGTCCGGTTAAGGCGGACAATCGACTCTGCTGACAAATGGCTCAAAATACCGCAACTGAAGCGAAATCGTCTTCCTCGAAGGCGCACATTATTTACCTGTAGCCGATAAGGCGTTACTATGAGTAGCCAACGCTGGATAGATGAGGATGTTTCCTGCAAGCCTCTCACATTGCACTAACCAAGTGATGAGCCTGCACCGGTTCAGGTTGAACCCGTCTTGTCGTTTGACCGTGAGAAAGGCTTCAATATCATTCTGCGACAATTGAATGCTGGGACGTCCAAACCCCTGACAACCCAACTATAACATGCCAGTACTGTTATAGGTAACGATAAGCGGACAACTTTGATGGGGCTATTGCGTGCAAGCGGGGTGGGAGTCCGGAACGCATTGCGATGCTCGGAACTTCGAACTCAAGTCCCGAGTCGTTCAATCTGATTCGTCTCTTTCGCTCGTCGTATCACGGCCGGATCTTCGCTCTGTGTTGGCACAGGTACTCTTTCTCTAGGCAGGGGCCAGTCTCTACTTTCTCTCCGACCAACTTCGGGACCGCCTGATAAATATATCTTGGCTTCGCACTGATCCGGTCTTAGGATGCGCCCCCCGAGCAGCCAATATATTCCCACTTGTATATATAAGCATGGCCCAAAGTCATCGCTGTCACTCCGCCAAAGGTAAAAACATGGATCCGAGAAGGTGAACCACGGAAGGGGGAGTGAGGATAAGGAAAGAGAATCCGACATATGACAATGCATTTGAATGCATGGTGAGGGACAATAGAAAGTATTTGAAGCAAATAGCTTCATCGTCAATCATTCTGGAACATGAGTTCATGAGTATTTATAACGTCGCAGAGATTGGAAAAGCCAAGGCGGTGAGTGACCACGCACTGTTGCCATGTGGATACACATCACCGAGTGCTGATTGCCGGTACATGCTTGGTCATACCTAAGTGCTGAGACTGAGCCTAGACATGTAGCGAGTGTACCTTGCAAGACTCGAGTTGAAGTCATACATATAGAGCGAAGATGACACTATACTGGTACTGACCATGACTTGATTTTGGGGGAAGATACTCAGTCCGCAAAAGCCGGATGTCGGGTATTTAAACAGGCGACAACCAAATGGATTTGAAATGCACAACAAGATGGTTGCTCAAGAGTGAAACGACCATCTCAAAGATAGCATGTCCTACTAGTACTACTCTGCATCGGGTCTTGTAAAATTTTCGGTCCCGAATTGAATGCCTTTGATGGCAAGGTCCTCTATTATTGCCAATTCCTTAAAAACCCAGGGTCCTCAAATTCCTCACTTATACAGTGTACATGACCCACCTCTCATTCTCAGCCCCTTCTCGTGCAACTCATTGACTTCGCAATGTCTGGTGGTCTTCCACTGCGTTTCAGACACCTTTTAAATACAAGCGATCTTCACCGTGTGGCAGTTTGAAGTGAACAATAGATCATCGGGACTGTCCTGAGTGCTATTCGGGCTTGGGCTTCATATGCCCACTCTACATCTCACGCTTTCTTCCGTTTCCGTTCGTCTTCTGTTGTTCATGGTTGTCCCTGTCGTCATATACGCTCTGTATGCGTGAGTGGCGGGCTCTGCTGCATCGGGCGGCGAGGCATCCACTTCTGACTTCATGCTGGCACGTTTCGGACTTGAGCTGAATATATTATATCCCACGTGGAGATACTGATACTTAGCATCCAATCGTACCATTGGCGCCAAAGCAATACGTAGAGCGTACGTGGTGCAATACACGTGTACGGAAGTGGTATCTTCGCACACCAACATGCGGGCGCCGACGGTGCCGACGTTATGTTTTATCATGCCCCGAATTCTGATTACAAAACTGCGGAACAACGATCTCTTGTTGAGGTTCCACCAATAAATGTATGATTGCCGCTGATTGATACCAACCCCCCAAGTCTCTTAAGTCATCGAGCACTGCATAACAGCGGCAATCATTCCATGCTCGTTAATCAGCAGAATGCGGCTGCAACGCTAACACCTAAACCCGAGTGAGCCCCGCTCGCCAGCATGATGGTCGAGATACCAAGAAAGTGCCACACCCTCAACACCGTGAGCAGTCGCGGCGTAGGTCACTATCTCGACGTCAAACATTAACATGACCAAATCGTTAAGACTCTATTGGGAACTCCGGGGTGGGGCACCGTAGCCCCTAAAATCAGAAATTCAGTAGGAACAGGCTAAAAATTATACCGATTCAACACTTTCAAATGTCATCGTTTTGAATCGTACACGCAGCCACCGCGCACCCTCCACCATCATGGCATACTCTCCTGAGACCTGATAATGCCGCAAGGGTGCCCTTCTCATTCTCAAGAAGCTGTTAACCTGTGGAGTCGCAGATTCCCATTCACATGTAAAGACATCGCTCATGAGTGAGCCGAGGTTGAACAAGCGAATCAAGAGTGGCAAAATGGTTATATTTACTACATGTATTACATTTTAGATGTGCTGCGTACGGTGTTTGAATGTGTGTCGCTTCACTCGTGGACCTTAAGATGTGCCTGGGGATGTGATTAATGAGTGTCATTGGGGTTCGAGCTCGATGGCAACAGCGGAGGGGGAGGGGGAGGGGAGGGGAAGGTCTCTGTTCCATTCGTAGGAGCCGAATGGGTCTCCCTTTCTCCTGAATACACCACAGCATGAGTGTTCGCAGTCATGGGAGAGAGAGGACACACGCTTACGTCTGGCATTCCATGGGGTGATCTTAATGCGACCGCGGGATATCGGTTGTTGTTGTTGTTGTTTATTCTGGATATTTAACCTGCAAACTGTAGGCTGCTCGTGAGAGCGCCAAGGGCAGGGGTCGAGATAAATACACAAAAATAAGGTGAGAAAATAAAGAAATAAGTCCGATTCGGGTGTCCTTAATCTCTCTGATAAGGCGTTGCCCAAATGCTGCTCCACTTTTGAGTTGTCGTGTTGGGTTGACCGTTTTTAGGTGTCGGTGCGGGATATCGGTTCCACCAACTGCTTTGAATTCGAAGCCTCAAGAAGCATCCGAACGTGGTGTGCCACTCTCACGGCCACGATAACCTTTAGATTTGGTCGACGTGTCGAGACGCGCTGATCATCAATGATGCCTTCGATGACAATGTCTCTGATGATTGGGTCAGGGTCAGGGTTAGGAAATGTATGGTCTCTTGCCTCCTACTTTGGTTTCGTGGTCCCTAGGTGACGCATCAACGTCTCCCGCAAGGTGTCCTCCCTGCCAGCTCGAAATCCATTGTATGATGCCGCAATTTTAATGCTTCGATGCGCTGGCATTATTCTCAGTTTGTACGGATAGGTAGAGAAGTGCGGTGAATTGGCTGAAGGATACAGTAGTGGGGGGAAGGTTCTGGTTCAGCCAGAGGCATTCTGGAGTTTTTATGTGGCTCTGGATATTCCGAATGCCATACGTCATCATCTTGGATTTCATTTTACTCGGTGCAACGGAGGTGTAGTACGGAGGTGTAGTGACCAATTAAAAAGGAGGAATGATTAACCCAAGTATTTACATACACACACCTGCCTGACGCGTTCCGGCGGTACTAGGACATGTCCAGTCGAGATTGTTGGTCATAGTCGCTATACTGTCGGTTAGATCACAGAGCTGGGCTACTATCCTCGTACCGCAGCGGCACAATGAAGGACGGAGCCTCCCATCACCTCGTCTGTCGAGTCCTTGAAAGGCACTAGAGCACCGGCAACTTGTCCTTCTCCGTCCGTGTCGGGTTCACTTTAGCCATATATGGATGGAGATATGGTGAAATGACACACCACCTATCACCTATACGTCATTGACCACCTCAAGTTATTTCCCTTGGCGAGTTTACGTCAATGACAGGAGAGGAATAGACCTCCATACGCAGTTAACTTCCATGGCTTAGATCATGAAAGAAGGATAAGAGCACAAGGCATTACATTGATGAGAGGAGGACTCTGCCTAAACATGAAGCCAACCCAGTCGGGAGAGCGGCTGGAGGGAGTTGACCGAACAACCTTCCGCACCGTCCAATTCAACATACGGTTCGTGTATTGTTGATGTGTGTTCCAAATTGTACCAACTGTCCTCCCTCTGATTACGCGCAGCATCCTAAGTGGGCCCGACTCGACCTCAGTACACGTTGACTACCCTGATCCCTGTCTGCGTGCTGCATTCTTTGATGTTGGAGCAACTTTGACACGCGATGTGCGGCTGACATTGCTCCAAGTTCGGGAACAGCATACTCTCCAGTAAGCTTCCCGAGAACGAGGCAACCAGACAGGTGGGTGGTCCCCATGAGTTGCCGAAGCGCTGCTCAATGGCCATGTGTTGATAGATTTCATATTAGATTGTATGGACATCAGCTCAACTGCATAACAGCGAACGCGCATCCACCAATAATAGCTAGCCCCTTATTTCGTAGCTGAGATCAACTGGCAAGACTACGAAGGGTGAGTTCATTCAGAAGCCCCTCTGGAGCATGGACAGCCGTAACAGTGCAAACATTCCACTAAGGGAAGCGTCTCTGGAACCAGACGCGTTGCGATCTGCTTGGTAGTCAACATGCGCTAGAAGTTCAGCAAGACCATGAGCATACCCAGTGCGAAGCAAACAAACTGTCGTGTCTGCCGGGGGCTGAGTATTGGCTCGCTCAACTCTCCTGCTTTAGAAGTCCTCTAACAGGAATGTAATAGATCTGGCAAAAGGAATTTCTCAATGGAGCAAACTCCCGCACCCATCAAAGTAAATGTAATCAAACCAAAAAGAATATCTCAACAAAGTGAACAGTCGCACCCAGGCTCGCACCCAGTCGGAGTCGGTCGTGGAGTAACATGCAATTTGCTCTTTTCGCGCAAAAAAAAAAAGCAAACCACATATTATTGCGCGTCCACGATCGACTCCGACTGGGTACGAGTCTGTGTCGCACCTGTGAAAGAATGGGTCCGAAAGGAATCTCTTGACGGAGCGAACCCCTGCACCTGTCAAGGTAAGAACGAGGCAACCAGACGGGTGGTCCCTCACGAGTTGCCGAAGCGCTGCTCAATGGCCACATGTGTTGATAGATATCGTATTAAAGCATGGAGATCAGCTCAACTGCATAACAGCGAACGCGCATCCACCAATAATATCCAGCCCCTTGTATTGTAGCTCAACTGTCGGAGACTACGAAGGGTGAGATCATTCAGAAGCCCCTCTGGTGCATGGACAGCTGTAACAGTGCAAACATTCCATCGAGGGAAGCGTCTCTAGAACCAGACGCGTTGCGGTCTGCTTGGTAGTCAACATATCCCAGAGGTTCAGCAAGACCATGAGCATACCCAGCCCGGAGCAAACAAACTGTCGTGCCTGCCAGGAGCGGAGTACTGGCTCGCTCAACTCTTTTGTTCTTGTAAGTCCTTTAGCACCAAGACCTTGTACATGCAATTTGCCGAACCCAAAGACTGAGTGAAACACGTCCACATCAGCCATTTTCGCACTTTCGCGAAAGGTATGCACTATTCTGCAGTCAGTCAGTCGTGGTTTCACTGAGTTCGAATGTACGTGGAACAACTTAACTGTGAACGCAGTGATTGCCACCAGTCCCTACTACTAATTTAAGCCTATCTAGAAGATATCTACCGAATGTTGAATGACATTCTTCGCAATAATTCCCCCCATATACATCATATCACGTTGCACTTGCGACCCGTCCAAGTACCTCAAATTAATATTATATTGCTACATGTCTGCAAATATATTTCGCCATTGCGCTTGGGCTCTAAGTGCTGCCTGCAATTGAGTCACTCGGAATGTATATAAGCGTAATGTGAGCTGAGAGCACGATATCTAATGACACTGTGATATCGTGCTCAGAGGTCGGGCTGCCATGCCGCGATTCTAACAAGACCACCCTCCGCCTCCACGTACACAAGGTATCACCAAGTCGTCAGTCCTTCAGCCGCCCAGCGGTGCAGATCTGATTGTTCTTGCGTGAGTTCCGAGCCAAGTGTCTCCATGCCAAGCGCGGTGAAGCTCGCGTAGAGGCACATGCACATCGCTTCCATGGAAGAGACAGAGGAAAGATCACGAATTGGAACAGCCTGAAGAGGATCAACATATTGTTTATGGCGCCTTCAACGGATTGAGATCTAAAGTCGAGTTTATGAACAGCCGTGAACAACGAAAGTCTTGAAATGGTAACACAAGTCCCGAATCTAGATAAGGCGCCTCGACACACCCGGTTACTTAGGTCATAGCCATGATAAGGGAGGCCTAAAAGCCGATTTGAGTCAGGGAATGCCTTAGGGTTAGTAGCAATGCCCACACAGCCCTCCGGTATCGCTTCTTTCTTATATTCCGTGTAGATTCTACCGACCTTGGTGACTAGCTCCCACGATGTCGCACTCTATAGTCATGCTCGCCTTTAATTCACCAGCTTCAATCTAGACTAGGGTTTCGGAGCAATCTTAGCGCGAGCACGCTGACATTGAGCATAGCAGAGAATTATCGAGTAAAGGGCGTCGCGGGGGGCTCGCCAGTGGCCGTGCTTGTGTCCTGGGGGTAAGCGTCGGGAGGTGGCAAGGAAGGGGACTTGAAGGGGCCATAAACCTCCCTAGGAGATAGTTGGTATGCTGTTGCGTCCGGGTCCTCGTTGGGGAGGACACGGTGTGTCATCGCTTGACTTTAGAGGATCTTGTTCCCTTCAGCAGTCCTGAGTATGGGGTGTTACTGAGTCATTACCATTCATGTTATAAGATATCAAGTACAGTGATGCACAGTTCTAACTATCGTTGTAACAGGAAGAAGCTCGAGCTTGAAGACTAGCAAGTGAGGAGGAAGAAGTCACAACCACTGCGAATTAAACGACTTGGCTAATATCGACAACAATTGGGACTGCCGTCTGGCCTTGGAGGAGAAATCGAGTCCCATCCTTGCTGGACCGGAGGCGGTAGAGGTTCGTGGCATCGGAGGGCACTCTATCACCATACCAGGCCCCTAGATGGTTGATGCCACTTGCCCTGAAATCAACCGGTGGGTACTGCCGGGGGACAGTGAATTCTGTTCTGCCGTCAAACCATATCGGTAGCTCCTCGCTTATGTTTCCAGTCCAAAGCAATGGGGTTCTCCCTGTGACAGATGAATAGACGTCGAGGCCTTCGTGCATGCTTGGTGAAAGGTCTAGAAATGGGTGCTTGATCCAGTGCCCATCAGAGTCATGCGCTGCATCCGCCCCGGAAAGATGAACATCCGCCGTATCACCTTCTGCCAAGGGAGTGAGTCGAGTGGATACAGGGTCAGGGATGAGATATGAGCGAGTGGTGGGGACGGTGGGGTTCATAATCCAAGAACTGAAATTCGTAACGCGGTAACACGCAATGAATTCGCCTGACTCCGTTGACCAGGTGAAAGCACTGACTCCATCAAAAGCGCCAATATATCGTGCTACGGGAGAAAAACCAAGCGTGCGACGATGAGGAACAGCCAGCCAAGAACTTGGGTGGAAAGACGGAGTAGAAGGGTCGGGAGAAGCAAGGAGCTGAACGTGCGGGTCGTCTGATACCGATATAAGTGTCATATTGTCGTACCAATGCTTTTCAATCTTCCGTGGGACTCGTACAATGAATAACCCGTTATCTGATGCTAGAGTTGCAGCAGGGAAGGGGCCATTGGGGAGGGTACCAAGATTTACGGGGGTCCTACCATGGCTAAGGATGGCAACGTTTCCCTCATTATCCTCGGAAACGACCCGGTGGCTGCCATGGACAAATTCGATCCAGATAGGGTGGTTGGGTGGATCAAGCTGGAATCGGGAGATAGTGCGCTGATGGTCGATGCCGGCGAGCTCAATTATACCGCTACCAAAACCAAGGGCTACACAATCACCATCGGGGGAGAGTGCCGCACACGTCACAATACCATTGCGAACATCGGGATCGTTGAATTGGGCTTCGTAGTTAATCTCCTCAGCACCCCATCTATCGACCTTCCTCGGCAAATTAGGTAGCTTTGTCTCCATGACCATTCGAGCGTTAAGAGAATCCTCACTCAATGGAATTGTGTGCCCAGAGAACTTGCCAGAAATGGTGAAGATCTGGACAGGATCAGAGAGATAGCCGTATAGTTTGTAGAAGGGTGATGAAGACGGGGTGAAAGGAAGCAACGATCGATAAAGGTTCGATGGTTCATAGTAAGGAAGGGCACTGTTCCGATGGCGAATTGGAATTATGCACAATTCCTCTATCTTTTCTTGAGCTTCTCTCAGAAGTTTGAATGAATCGCAATTCTATTGAAGTGGCATAATGTTATTGAAATATGCACAGTATGTATCTATGAATGATTTTCACTTACGTTGAATGGACGAAATTCCGCAGGCAACACAAAGTCAAACTGGGCCAGGAGCATAAACGTCACCAAATTTCGCACAAGGAAGGTATTAAACTCGTTCTGCAAATCGTTGTCCTGCGCAAAGAGTTGTGAAGGGTCTAAGTGTCGAAATAAGTATTTGATGGCATATTGGAGATGTTGAGGGTGATGATAGGGACGATGAAACTCCCGAAAATCCTTCCATTTCTGCTCATCTCCTAAGGGGGGGGTGGTAGGCATCCCAAATACATCCGGTGTACTGTTGTTGAGAAATCGAAGGAGCGGTAGTCCAAGGAAATACCCTTTCACATCTTTGAAAAAGAATACTCTGTCATTTTCATTACCAATTGGGTCCCCTGTTATGAATTCCTTCATCGTTGCATGATAGAATATGACGCTTTTCGCATCCACTGGAGGATTTCCTGAGGAACGTTCCGAGCGACTTACTTGGGAGAGATCGACAAGCGAGCTAATAGGTTCCAATATTGCCAGGACCTCCTCCTCGGACATTCCTAACAGTTGCGACATAGAAAACACACTTAGTGGCTCGTGTGCCGCAATAATCGTGCCGACCACTTGGAAATACTTCTTGGCTGTCTGTGGACGGACTCCGGATGAATCAACCACATAGGCTCGGCGAAGTACACGTAAATACTCCGAGTTGACGTCAACGGGGGCGTTAGTAAGATCGCGGAAGTATTTAAACTCAGACTCAAGTGTTGCACCACGACGAGTTTGAAGGCAGACGTCTCGGACTCGTGTCGAGGCAATGACAGGCAGTTCACGACAAGCAAAAGCAAAAGCATCCAGATCTTCCCCTGATGGTTTCCACAAAGACTCTTCAATACGATTCCGAAGGCCTTCCTCCACGATGCGACGGACCGTGTGGAACTTCTCGCCTTTAGCAAGCGCATCCACATCTTCACATGGTATGACAAGACCCCGACTCCGAGCTCTGCCCCAGGCTGATGTAACCGATGACTCTGGTCGACAGCTGACCAACACCGCAAATGCAGCTGGTAGCTCATCAAGGATAAGTACGAGCTTCATCAAGCACTCGAGTTCCTCCTGAGTCCCACACTCATCCAGCCCGTCCAAGACGATGCCGAAGCGTCCGTCGCCCGAAGACAATATGCTCTTGAGTTCGTGCATGGGGTCGATGATCCAAGCTTTCATTTGTTTCTCCAGTACAGAATCGGGAACGATCTTCAACGACAACGGCTGTCGAAGGTGACTGACAAGCAGGCCCTCGTACTCGGCATTAAACGAAGCAAGTTGGCGTGCAAGGGTAGAGGGAAAGTATTTGATCGAATCGAGCCCTGTTCCCTTTTGATTTTTGTCCCAGAAAAACGATGCTGCCAAGTGATTCCGTTTGTCAAGAGTCGAAGCAACACTCGTTGATATGGCGGTCTTTCCAGTGCCCGGAGAACCGCGCAACCAGACAAACCGGTGCTCCCGCTCCTTCAGGCGATCAAGAATGGATCTTTGAATCTCAACACGTGTGCTTTCTAAGCATTCGGACCTGCTGATCACGGAGGAATACTGCGCATCCACTTTATGGAGTTTCAAAAGCTCATCTAAAATGCCATTGAGTGTCAAGCGGTGAACATCAAGCGAGAATAACAAACAGTCCACCGATAACCGGATTGTGTGGAGGAGATTTAGCGTTGTGGCAGCGGTCTACGGGCACCCCGTCAGCCGTAGAGCAGTATGAACGCCAATGAAACGAACCGTAAAACGAGAGATAGCATCACCGATGCAAGACTTTACGGAGCTTACTTCCTGCGTTATCTCAGTCGCACGGATTACCCTCTTGGCAAGCTTTTGGCGTTTGAGTGCTTCAATTCGTTCCAGTAGTCCTTGTAGGGCTCTATGACCAGGCGTTGAGATTCAGATGAGAGAACGATGAAATCACTATGTTCATACGAGTTGAACTGTTGAATTACGTCGCTGATTTCATGTGGGACTTGGCCAGTCCACAATTGGAGCGGTCTAAAGATTGTTTCGTGAGCCTTCCGAACTTCATCGCCCAATCCCTTAAGATTTTCGTCGTTGTCGTCAACGCTCTACATGGAGGGTGGGATTAAATATGAAGGTCACATCATTAGATGACAGATTACCTCGTAAACTTGGAGCCATGTTAGAAGTATATTTGGTATCTGATCAAGATTCGCAATGGGGACGAACCTGAGGGCAGAGGCAGCGGTTTGGAGGACGAGCCTTGTTGCAGCGATGGTTGTTTTCTTTCTGTCGCCAGTAGGAACGGCTGACGATGATGGAATTCGCTCCATTAATGACGAAATATCCAAGTCCACGCCTGTGCGCCCTAGTTGTAGGTGGCCCGCAGTATTATCATGAGTGACGCGCTCTATAGGTGTATCACGAGGGATATTGTTGGTGGCTCCGAGGTGAGGAGACAACGGTAGCGATTTGTTAGGGGGCCCAGAGAGGGGAGATTGATCAACACGACTGGAACCGGAGCTTGAGCTTCTGCGGAACAGCCCAGATAGAGTGTGTCGAAAAAACGTCTGCGAATCTCCACCAGTTTGCGTGGTGGTAGTGGGAAGGTGGAGAAGAGATCCGTCAGATTCATCACGATCTCCGCTAACCGGAGTGATCTGGATGTCGGGAAAAGGGGAGGTCAAGGCCTGAGAGGGACTGCTTAGGGGCTTGGAGGAATGTCGTCGCTTTGACAGCCGGGAGAAAAGCCGAGAGGACTTGGATCTGTCAGCCATCACACAATAGTACTAGTAGTCGCAAAGATCGTGATGAACTGTGAGTATCACCGAGCCTAGGGAGGTGACCAGCCTCTCTTTAGCAGCTCTTTAGACCGAGCCGTTCATGTGTCGCCAGGTAAATCTTAATTGATTAGTTCTCTCGCCCACTTGTTAGACAAAGCCGGAGGCGATTCCTTTTGTCACGTTTCTTTTCTTCCCCTCACCTCAGTTGTCAGACCTGAACCCCATCATCGCTAGTCCTCCGAGGGAGTGCCACCCAAATGTTCAAGGTTGGTACCAAAGCTTAAAAAACTTGCACTGCCTTAGCTAGTATTTCACGGGCGATTTATAGTATGGAAATCGACTTTTGAGTAATCGGTGCGTGTGTTCTGGATATTTAGCCTGTAGACTTCAGGCTGCTCAGACTCGTACCCAGTTCCAGGACTGGTTATCGGTTTTCACAACCATCGCCCCTTTATGGCCATCTCTCTACCTCTGCAGTGACCCCGCCATTCTGGGGAGTGTTCTGGACACACAATTCCGTTGAGCGAGGATTTACTCAACGCGCGAACGGTCAAAATTGCCAAAGAAAGCCGATAGGTGGGGTGCGCAAGAGGTCAATTAGGAAGCCCAATCATTGTGAGATGTGCAGCATGGTAGTTCTAGTAACGGTATCATCAAGCTCACCGACATAGACCATGAGCGCACTATTTCCCGATTCCAGCTTGATCCGCCCTGCCTAGATTTGTTCGTGGTAGCTGCTGTACCGATTAAGATTTCCTTGCATGGAGCCAAGCATCCTCCCGGCATTGGTTGATGCACTCATGGAATCGCCATCCGACACCCACCTATGGCCCAGTGATCAGCGTTGTTAAGACTGGCAGAGATCTTGCCACTTTGAGGACTGGGGATGCTGCGAGCACGAGGAGCCGCGTTCCGAACACATTGACTTCGTTCGGCATGAAGATCTGCACTTGAAATTTCTAAGCGGAACCAGCAGGTCTTTCGTCATTGTCATCCCGTTTATTTGGCCCTCTTTAAGGTCAAATGCCTTTCGCCTTACCGACGATGTTCGATGCTAATTTCTGCTCAATCACAGGGTAAGCTCGATCTTTCCTGGGAATCCTTATGGGTAGATAAAGCACTCCTGAACGTTACTATTTCTTCCTTTTGACATCCGGATCCCGGAAGTGTGCTACCGGGTACTGATTTGGCTCGTAAGATTGCTCTGTGCGTTGACTCCTACACGTAGGGACTGGATAATTAGCAATCACGATGCTGCAATACACACACAACGTCCTACTCGCAACCCTAACTACACAGCCAACAATGTGACATCGCGAGAGCTACAGATGTTCCACCAAAGGGGGGCGTATAACTTCATGACAATCTATATATATTCATGTGCGAGATCACGATGGGATATTTAGGGCGACAAGTAATGAAGAGAGATATTGCCCATCGGATTTAGCTAGCTGATCTGGGTGTGTAGTGTTGGAGATATCGGATCGACACCCGAGAGGTGGGCGATGAAGTGGAGCGGTAGATCATGTAGTTCGGGAATTGATGCCTCACTTAACGTACTAAAATATCGCACGGGATATTCTGCTACAACAACTCCAGAGTAGCCAAGTGTGCTTCCGTTATTACGTTGTTGTACCACAGCTAGGAGAATTGCGAATAAGGAATGGGGCCAATCAACCGTCAGTTTTCAGCCTGCAACTGATCGGGGCGTTTGTTCGGGGATCGATAGATACAACCAGCTTCCGAAAATAAGCACAGGCGCCCACATACCCTTCGCGTCCGCGGTAGTCCTTCACGTATAAACCAAGAGGTTTTGAATCGATTTTGTCCGCCAAGAGATCAATCTTATTGGGGTATTGGATCCAGCAAGAATCTCTATGGGTGTGCAGAAAGAGAGCAGCAGGCTAGCCATTGAGGAACTGGAGAGCCATCTGGAGTTACATATCGAGAGCCACCGATTCAGCCATTCCACTCTGGGTAGGGGTCAGGTTCAGGCGAACAACACGCATGACGTCAAGGGAGGACTAATTCCCTACGGACCTGGTCATAATCACTGAGAGCAACAAAGAAAGCAATGACGCCCAAGTCTTCGAAGAAGTGAAGCCATTTCCGCATTTCCGACCGTTGACCCCCGACATCAAAAACCCGGTGCGTCAGGTCGACGGAAAATGATACGTCGAATTCAGCCCAAAGCGTAGATCTGTCGGCAGGTGGCCACGAGTAGATAGAGATCCGTGGAAGCTCATCAAAGTAACTGACTGGAAAAAATTAGGCTATTTTCAATGAGTATCTGGATCAGTGGATGACGTACTCGGGGGTCAAGTCATCGCGCCGAAACTCATTATGGTTTCTTGGGGTTCGGGATCCTTCGTGAGCGCCGTAATTGCCTCATATTTATATCTCCTTTGGCAATGTCGAGGAGGTAACACTCATAGGAGCCCCATAATGTATTCACGATGGCCTTTATTATCTGGGTGAAGTGAAGAATAACAACTTCCTGGGTAAAGTGTCCTAATTTGCCTAAGGAACGCAGACTGTGTCGGAGTATGAGCGGCTTAGGCTTAGTCAAGGAGCGAGCTCAGATCGCTAGCTTGCCACTGTCTGTGTAGGGAATCCAGTTGAGATGCGTTGGTGTGTAGATGAACCAGCCTTGGCCCCGGTCTCGTTTGAATGAACCCCCAACTCCATGCTGGCAAACAGGCCTCATATGTCAGACATGGCTTCATCTCCTTGCTACGCAAACTATCCCAGGCAAATTAACTTGTAGCCCCTGAGAAGTGCCCTGGTTTGCCACTCATGCCAACACGATTCATATATTGTTGATGTGTGTTCCAAATTGTACCTACTGTCCTCCCTCCAATTACGCGCAGCGTCCTAAGCGGGCCCAACCCAATCTCAGTACACGCTAACTACCCTGGTCCCTGTCTGTGTGCTGCATTCTTTGATGTTGGAGCAACTTTGACACGCGATGTGCGGCTGACATTGCTCCAAGTTCGGGAACAGCATACTCTCCAGTAAGCTTCCCAAGAACGAGGCAACCAGACAGGTGGGTAGTCCCCATGAGTTGCCGAAGCGCTGCTCAATGGCCATGTGTTGATAGATTTCATATTAAATTGTATGGACATCAGCTCAACTGCATAACAGCGAACGCGTATCCACCAATAATAGCTAGCCCCTTATTTCGTAGCTGAGATCAACTGGCAAGACTACGAAGGGTGAGATCATTCAGAAGCCCCTCTGGAGCATGGACAGCCGTAACAGTGCAAACATTCCACCGAGGGAAGCGTCTCTGGAACCAGGCGCGTTGCGGTCTGCTTGGTAGTCAACATGCGCTAGAAGTTCAGCAAGACCATGAGCATACCCAGTGCGGAGCAAACAAACTGTCGTGTCTGCCAGGGGCTGAGTATTGGCTCGCTCAACTCTCCTGCTTTAGAAGTCCTCTAACAGGAATGAAATAGATCTAGCAAAAGGAATTTCTCAATGGAGCAAACTCCCGCACCCATCAAGGTAAATGTAATAAAACCAAAAGGAATATCTTAACAAAGTGAACAGTCGCACCCAGGCTCGTACCCAGTCGGAGTCGGTCGTAGAGTAACATGCAATTTGCTCTTTTCGCGCAAAAAAAAAAGCAAACCACATATTATTGCGCGTCCACGATCGACTCCGACTGGGTACGAGTCTGTGTCGCACCTGTGAAAGAATGGGTCCGAAAGGAATCTCTTGACAGAGCGAACCCCTGCACCTGTCAAGGTAAGAACAAGGCAACCAGACGGGTGGTCCCTCACGAGTTGCCGAAGCGCTGCTCAATGGCCATGTGTTGATAGATTTCATATTAAATTGTATGGACATCAGCTCAACTGCATAACAGCGAACGCGCATCCACCAATAATAGCTAGCCCCTTATTTCGTAGCTGAGATCAACTGGCAAGACTATGAAGGGTGAGATCATTCAGAAGCCCCTCTGGAGCATGGACAGCCGTACCAGTGCAAACACTCCGCCGAGGGAGGTGTCTCTAGAACCAGACGCGTTGCAATCTGCTTGGTAGTCAACATATCCCAGAGGTTCAGCAAGCATACCCAGCGCGGAGCAAACAAACTGTCGTGTCTGCCAGGGGCTGAGTATTGGCTCGCTCAACTCTTTTGTTCTTGTAAGTCCTTTAGCACCAAGACCTTGTACATGCAATTTGCCGAACCCAAAGGTTGAGTGAAACACGTCCACATCAGCCATTTTCGCACTTTCGCGAAAGATATGCACCATTCTGCAGTCAGTCAGTCGTGGTTTCACTGAGTTCGAATGTACGTGGAACAACTCAACTGTGAACGCAGTGACTGCCATCAGTTCCTACTACTAATTTAAGCCTATCTACCACAGGTAATTGAATGGCATTCTTTGCAATAATCCTCTATATCTGTCCCTGTCGGTATGCTGCTTCTTTGATGTTGGAGCAACATTGACACGCGATGTGTGGCTGACATTGCTCCAAGTTCGGGAACAGCATACCCCCCAGTAAACTTCCCAAGAACGAGGCAACCAGACAGGTGGTCCCCCACGAGTTGCCAAAGCCTGCTCAATAGCCATGGGTTGATAAACATCAGATTAAATTGTATGAACATCAGCTCAACTGCATAACAGCGAACGCGCATCCATCAATAATAGCTAGTCTTATGTTGTAGCTCAGCTGTTGGAGACTACGAAGGGTGAGATCATTCAGAAGCCCCTCTGGAGCATGGACAGCTGTAACAGTGCAAACATTCCACTAAGGGAAGCGTCTCTGGAACCAGACGCCTTGCAATCTGTTTGGTAGTCAACGTATTCCAGAGGTTCAGCAAGACCATGAGCATACCCAGTGCGGAACAAACAGACGGCGTGCTTGCGCAGTCCTGAATATTGGCTCGCTCAACTCTTTTGTTCTTGCAAGTCCTTTAGCACAAAGGTCTGGTGCATGCAATTCACCAAACTCAAAGACTGAGTGAGACATGTCCACATCAGCCATTTTCGCACTTTCGCGAAAGGTATGCACCATTCTGCAGTCAGTCAGTCGTGGTTTCACTGAGTTCGAATGTACGTGGAACAACTCAACTGTGAACGCAGTGACTGCCATCAGTTCCTACTACTAATTCAAGTCTATCTACCACATGTTGAATGGCATTCTTTGCAATAATCCCCCCCGTATGCATCATATCACATTGCACTTGTTGGAATCAAGCACGATGCATGTATTTACACATGTTTGCACCGATGTTTTTATTCTAGTGGTCTACTCTCATCTGGTCCGACCCCGGCCCCATTGTGGCCTCATCCCTATGGTTTTCTATGGCACTTGCGACCCGTCCAAGCACCATAGGTTATATGTTTGTAGATATATTTTATTTTATTTTGTTATTGCGTTTGCGCTTTAAGTGCTGCCTGCGATTGAGCGCTGAGGATTAGGCTAATTATTGGCTACACACGTAATTCTGTGACACATGTATGTAACATATGAATATGAACGTTGTGTGGACGAGGACTGCGATGAAAACAGTGGCTCTCACCCCAGTCTCGTAGAGGAGATATATTTGAGGGACAAAAATTCTCCACTTTATCGCTCAGCGGCCAGGCTATCAAGCAAAGGATAAAGATTAAATTTCTGCCTATCGTTCCTTTCCCCATTGCCACTCGGATGCCGAGATTATCGTTAATATTCCAACGTCATCGACGTCCTGATGCAAGTCTCATGGAAGCACAGTGAGTCTTGATTTCCCTCCGCAAGTGCAACGTGATATGATGCATACGGGAGGAAGAATGCCATGTGGTAGATAGGCTTAAATTAGTAGGAACTAATGGCAGTCACTGCGTTCACAGTTGAGTTGTTCCACGTACATTCGAACTCAGTGAAACCACGACTGACTGACTGCAGAATGGTGCATACCTTTCGCGAAAGTGCGAAAATGGCTGATGTGGACGTGTTTCACTCAACCTTTGGGTTCGGCAAATTGCATGTACAAGGTCTTGGTGCTAAAGGACTTACAAGAACAAAAGAGTTGAGCGAGCCAATACTCAGCCCCTGGCAGACACGACAGTTTGTTTGCTCCGCGCTGGGTATGCTCATGGTCTTGCTGAACCTCTGGGATATGTTGACTACCAAGCAGATTGCAACGCGTCTGGTTCTAGAGACACCTCCCTCAGCGGAGTGTTTGCACTGGTACGGCTGTCCATGCTCCAGAGGGGCTTCTGAATGATCTCACCCTTCATAGTCTTGCCAGTTGATCTCAGCTACGAAATAAGGGGCTAGCTATTATTGGTGGATGCGCGTTCGCTGTTATGCAGTTGAGCTGATGTCCATACAATTTAATATGAAATCTATCAACACATGGCCATTGAGCAGCGCTTCGGCAACTCGTGAGGGACCACCCGTCTGGTTGCCTTGTTCTTACCTTGACAGGTGCAGGGGTTCGCTCCGTCAAGAGATTCCTTTTGGACCCATTCTTTCACAGGTGCGACACAGACTCGTACCCAGTCGGAGTCGATCGTGGATGTGCAATAATATGTGGTTTGCTTTTTTTTTGCGCGAAAAGAGCAAATTGCATGTTACTCTACGACCGACTCCGACTGGGTACGAGCCTGGGTGCGACTGTTCACTTTGTTGAGATATTCCTTTTGGTTTGATTACATTTACCTTGATCGGTGCGGGAGTTTGCTTCATTAAGATATTTCTTTTGTCAGATCCATTTCATTCCTGTTAGAGGACTTCTAAAACAGGAGAGTTGAGCGAGCCAATACTCAGCCCCCGGCAGACACGACAGTTTGTTTGCTCCGCACTGGGTATGCTCATGGTCTTGCTGAACTTCTAGCGCATGTTGACTACCAAGCAGACCGCAATGCGTCTGGTTCCAGAGACGCTTCCCTCGGTGGAATGTTTGCACTGTTACGGCTGTCCATGCTCCAGAGGGGCTTCTGAATGATCTCACCCTTCGTAGTCTTGCCAGTTGATCTCAGCTACGAAATAAGGGGCTAGCTATTATTGGTGGATACGCGTTCGCTGTTATGCAGTTGAGCTGATGTCCATACAATTTAATATGAAATCTATCAACACATGGCCATTGAGCAGCGCTTCGGCAACTCATGGGGACCACCCACCTGTCTGGTTGCCTCGTTCTTGGGAAGCTTACTGGAGAGTATGCTGTTCCCGAACTTGGAGCAATGTCAGCCGCACATCGCGTGTCAAAGTTGCTCCAACATCAAAGAATGCAGCACACAGACAGGGACCAGGGTAGTTGGCGTGTACTGAGGTTGGGTTGGGCCCGCTTAGGACGCTGCGCGTAATTGGAGGGAGGACAGTAGGTACAATTTGGAACACACATCAACGATACATGAACCGTGTTGGCATGAGTGGCAAACCAGGGCACTTCACGCTACAAGTTTGCCTGGGACGGTTTGTGTAGCAACGCTGTGAGGAAACGAAGCCATGCCTGGCATGGAGGCCTCAGAGATTCATTCAAACGAGAGGACCTGTGGCAATTCGAATTCAATTCACGGCATGCTGCATGAATCGATCTTCGGGAAAATAGTCCTTTCTCATGATGACACATGCAGAGCGTATACTGTTATCGTTTTCGGCATACTTTTGAATCTTGACGACATGTTTTCACGGCGGAAGGTTGGTTGGCGTGGACTGAAACACTTCAACAACACTGATTCAGTGAATTCCAGTGCGGCTCGAGGCACATCTATGTATGAGCTGACAGTCTCCAGGCCATTCTGAGCCGCATGGATAGGTGTAAGCATTGTCATCCCTCATCTCTGGACGTGCTTTTTATGAAGAATCTGGACTCGAACTTTCCGCTGTTGACTTTGAACGATCCGGATCTTCAAGTTGAGCTATTTTCGAAATCTCTTCCTCTTTCAGGCCTGCCTACCACCGAGAAACCAGGATTAGACCCATCAGCCATGCATCATAGCGCCGTTCCACCCGATGACTGCAGGACATCCAGGAGTGTGACGATCTCATGGTGGCAGACCCGTCGATTATTTCGCGAGCCCATCGACTCATGACCAAGCAGGGTGTACCCATGAACTGCGATGGTGAGCCGATCGTTGAATTAAGATGTTTACCAAAATCGAATGATGTTGTCCAAGGGCAATGAGTTGGGGGAGGGTTGGGACGACCAGTGAGCTCACCCACGTATTTAGCGCCCGTGTTGACTCGAATCAATCCCCACAAGCCTGTGAAAGCAGAACAAAAAAAAACAGCATTCTTTAGTCGTTTCTAAAATTCAACATTGTTTATGGCCCTCGCATGAGTCTGCCTAGCTGCGAGCAACGATGACTCGGTCCCAGACTTCCCGAATAACTTCCTCTGCCCAGACAATTATCGGATTCTCCTGGCTTTGGAAGGTTGAAGGTCACTCAGATTCAGGCTTCAGACGGCGTACAGAGGATGTTCATCCAGTTTCTTGCACTTTGGTCAAGCTGGGGATGTTCAAATGGTTCAAGTCAAATATGATTACTCGTGGAACAGCTGTTAAATGTAGAGCTAAACAGCGTTTTTTTGGGATAGAGACGAGGCCCGTTGGACGATAGGTGATTGGACGCCTGACAGTCGTCTATATAGGCTGAATGAAGGAGCAAATCTTCCGGTCGTCCCTCTCGGCGAGTGTTCGAACGACCCGGATATCCGGATGCCGCGGAGTTTGATATTCAATTGTGGAATCGATACGCCTTTGGAGGAGCATGGGAGCAATTGATACCTTTGGCTATGAAAAATGAGGGGCATTCGCTATTCGACAGCTGTGTGACTATCACCACTCAAATTTGGTGTTGTCGTGCAGGCCCGTGCAGCCCTACCCGGTAGAGAGGAATGGCCGAATGGAAATGCACTGGGGGATTGGTTTCCGAATGGGTGGATAGTAGCTAGGTGGAAGAATGAATAATCGGAATGACTAGTATGAAACGGGAATACGACCCTAGATCGATATATAGACATTATCAAATGCTTGCTGACATGAGATTTTGACCCCCGCGGAAAGTTGAAACCTTGTACTAGCAGAATGGATGCCTCGCAATTATCATAGCGCGCAAGAATTGTACATCGGCGTGGATGTGATGATATTCCTATTCTTGTCATTGACGTAAACTCGCGAAGGGAAATGGTCAATGACGTATACTGACAGGTGCGTCATTTCACCACGTCTCCATCCATATATGGCTAAAGTGAATCCGACGCGGACGGAGAAGGACAAGTGCCGGTGCTCTGGTGTCTTTCAAGGGCTCGACAGACGAGGTGATGGAGGCTATTGAGCCGCTGCGGTACGAGAGTGGTGGCCAGCTCTGCGCTCTAACTGATGATATAGCGACTACGAACAACGATCTCGACTGGACAGTCATGGTTGGCCGGCAGATTTGTGCATGTAAATACTTGTTTTCAGGCATTCAACTGGGCAACTACACTTCCGTACTACACCTCCGTGCACTGAGTAAAATGAAATCCAAGATGATGACGTATGGCATCTCGAACTACATATAACTGAACACCTCTGGCTGAACCAGAGCCTTCCCCCACGATCCAATTCACCACAGATCATCACAGTACACTACCTGTCTGCACAAACCGAACCATGCCCGCTCATAAGAACATCAGACTCGCGGTATCGTTCCGTGGATTTCGGATGGGCTCCGAAAATGCCTTGCAGGAGACATTGATGCGTCGCCTGGGGTCAGAAAACCCAAAGTAGGAGGCAAGAAACCGTACGTCATCCCAAGGCTGACCCAATCATCAGAGACATAACGATCGAAGCCGTTGTTGACGATCGCCACGATCATCACATCTCGACACGCGCGAATTTAAAGGCTATCGTCGTTGTTAGGATCCCCTACCATGCACAACTGCTTCTTAGAGCGTCAAGTTCGAATGATTTGGTAGACCCAGGATCCCGCGACCACATCAGGATCGTCCCCTGGACTGCTGGACGTAAGCGTGTCTCCTCTCTCTCCCATGACCGTGAAGACTCATGCTGCGGTGTATTCAGGAGAAAGGGTCGCCCATTCGGGTCCCGCAGAGCAGCTCACCTCACCTCCCCCCACCGCCACTGAGCCCGCCCCCCTCTCGAGCTCGGTGATGACGAGTGAAGCCCAGACATCCGATCCGGAGCAGAAAGGTAAGGCGCCATTCCTCTTTCATCAACGTTTACGCCCATGCCGGTGTTGATTCTTTCACCCCCGCCGCTGTGACAGGGTCCCCCCCCCGCGAACTCGGTGACGAAGCACAACCCAGAAGGTTTCCAGGAGAGCGCAATGGCTCTTGAATCAGACCTCGAGGATGAGATAGAAGTCCTCTTGCAAGTGTTTCCACGCCACGATGTTGCGGGCTTAGCAAAGGCGGTATGCGCAGCCTTTCAGAAGCGGAAGAAAGAAGACGATTTGGCGACGGCGGGACCCCCAACGAAGCGAGCGCGTCTGGATGGTGGGGGCTCACTCATTTCCGGCCTCCACGGCACCCGCCAGAGCCGTTATTCAGCGTCGCGCCAGAGTGCGCACGACACTCTCGATCGGCTATTCAAGTCAGGTGTCCCGGTTGATTTGGTCAATTTGCATCTCGAACATCTCGAAACGACGGCGAGGTTCACGGGCATTCTGCAGGATGACATTAGGCCCATCACGTCGGTTTAACCATGATTGAACCGACGCACAGTAGACACAACCACAGCACATCACCCTTCTTTGACACATATAGTAAATGTAACCATTTTGTCACTCTTGATTCGCTTTGGTAAACTCGGCAACTGCCATCAGCTATAACAAGCCTCTATATCTACCGCATCAATGGCATTCTTCGCAATAGTTTCCCCCGTATGCATAGCATCACGTTGCACTTGCAGCCCGTCCCAGTACCACAAGTTAATATCATTACATGTGCCCAAAAACCTATATCTACATAATTACCCCTCCGGATACACGTAATTTTATTTTCGCCATTTGTGATAATTGCGCCCTAAGTGTTGACACAACTTACGAATATAAACGTTCTGTGAGGGCAGCGGCTCTCACCTCAGTTTCGCAGGGGAGATATATATGAGGGAAAGTAGGAAGAAAGATTTCTGCCCATTTTTCTTCGCCTCGGTGCCAACTCGGATGCCAGTCTGATGGCAGTGCAATGGGTCTTCGGTATCATAACTTCGCTCGTATTCGGAACACACGTCATGAACCGTGCCGGCATGCAGAGGTAAACGAGGGATTTTCTCTCACGTCTTGCCAATAAGAATTGTATCCAACGAATTAGAGGATCCTCGTTCCGAAGCTAGAGACGTCGTTCGGGCTACCAGTTATTAGAATTTCAGGTCCGGTATACGTGAACTACAATTTAATGTTAATGACTACCTAGCGTGAAAGTGCTGGAGGCAACTAACAAGAAAGATATCTCACCTCGGTCTCGCTGTATATGAACTATGGAATGGCCTAAACAAGAAAATTTCCGCTCTGTAAGCGGAGCGCTCGCCGGGCAGCGCACAAATATGGTAATTGCTATAAACGGTAACGCTACGCCACACCCTCAACAACAGAGGCCAATAACTGGACGTTAACATTGACAACCGTGTTTTCGTGTAATTAGGAGCTTAGCTGGTTTATCAGAAACACAGTCAAAATGCTAGCGCGAATGGCTTAAGGATTATACCGACCAGCCTCCCGAACTATACGAGTCACGCTTTCGAACGCCCTCGTTTTTAAACCATACACCCCAGCACGCGCACCCGCCACAATAATAGCATACTCTCCGGAGACCTGGTATGCCGCGAGGGGATGGTAAGGGGTGAGCCGATCACGAGTTTGGGAGAGGACATCAAGGTAACGCTGCCTTGACCATGATGATATCGGCCCCTTCGGCTATGTCGCATGCCTATTGGGAGAACATAATATTTGTGAGATACTATGATAGGAGGGCAAGAGACAGGACCCACAATTGCACGTTGTGCTAGGCCGTGAGCACCTGATAGCATTTTAAATTGCCAAAATGATGGAGTACTTCCTGCGGCGTCGTCCCATGCATTAGGGATATTGGCTCAGCAGACGAAACGCATCGAAATGACCAAGACAAACTGGGTCCATTGACGAACTGGATCAACCTGACTCGATCATAGTTACGGTCCGTCAAGTCAGAAGTCGGGAATAATGCAGAGATAACTAGTGCCTATGGGTTGACAGCGCACGACCGCTGCCATGCTACCCCTCGAGTGAGGCATCACGAGAATCGCACAAGCAACTGGACTAAAGTCCTCTGGTCCGGGGGCTCCAGAGCCGGGAGCACCTGGAGCGCCAGTCCGATTTTTATGACCTATCGGTGCAGGTTTACGTTATATAGCAACTATGCTTCCGCAAACGCCGAGAACACAAGTCACGCAACATCGTTTTACGTTATATCATGTGGTTGTTGCCAAACAGATCGTGCAATCAAGTACAGTATGACGGCGAATAGCAGTGGCTGCATATTAGTATGCAGCCAATCTGTTGACTAGTGTTTGGGTCGAAGGTTTTTTCTTCGCCTCCTGCTCCTTTCATCCTTGGTTCATCCCTTTTCCAGCTCCTAGCGCTCCCTAGGTTCGGAAAGCTGCGTGGCTGAACGACCCTCGCTGGTGGCATCAGGGCTTAGGGGGCGCTTTCTGGAGGGGGTAGGGAGGAAGGGGTTGGGTTGGCCTCCCCTTTCTTGCCTTCTCCCTGGGCCCGTGCTCAGGCCTTTGGCTTATTTGCCTCGGCCCTAGTCTGGCACCCTGGACAGGTGTCCCTATTACTCGCCCCTTCCCATGGTGGGTAACCATCGGCTGCTTGCCTTCGTTTCTTTGGCGACTTGTTTTCCTCACTCATGCATCGCTACCATGTGCCTTCAAAAGCGTTACCTACCACCTTCCCCTTTCACCTCCTCCGTGTGTTTACTGGCTCGTTGGGAATTCAGAGGCTCTGACGTTCGGTCCGGGTCATCGCTGTGCTGCTTTTGGTGCTGGTCTGCTCACACACCCGTTAGGTACATTTCATGTATAAATGCGCATGGACCCTGCCTCCGGTCAATCGCGATGCGTCGCCGCTGCGTAGTGAATTGCCCTGTAGGGGATCCCCTTGTTATAACAACTCCCTCTGGCGTCGTCATGCTCTCAGCACCCAGCGTATGAGTAGATTTGGTTCGGCCGTGACCAGATTTGAGCTTTGCAGCGTTTGGTTGCCTTATTGCTTTGGACGGACCAACGAGGTCAGCTTGTACGTCTTACCTGAGCTGCAGCATAGTGGAGTTGGCCTAATTCATTCGTCTATTCGTCTATTCCCTTCAGTCGATGGACGTTCGCTTCCCTCGTGCGTATCTCATCTTCGCGATGGGCTAGAGGCTGCTTCCTTCCTACCTCGTTCGGTTCTAGACTGCCGATGGCTGATGTCGTTCGGAGCATCACTGGCCGAATTCAGTCTTCAGCCCTGGTCCAATCGTACGCCCAATAACGCTGAAGCCTTCCGATCTCAGCTCCATCGTGCACTGAACCGGTCCCATCTAATTCCATCTCAGTTTTTCTGGCCCCTTGAATTCATTAGTGGATGAGTTTAACGAGTCTATTCTTTCCTTTTACTCAGTAGTTCACTTCCGCTACCATTCCGTCACGGATGATGAGGGAACATGGAAGGGCTGTCACTGCACCGCTTCCCTTGGTTATTCAGCGCTCATGACGTCGACTGAAGCTCCAAATCATGCATTGAAATCGAAACCGGGGGCCGTGCGTTCTCTGCTCCAAAACCTTTCCGAAGGGTTTGTCAAAAACCAATGCATGCCCATCGTCAGCTGTCGTTCACGTCAGGGTTCTGAACCGAGGCAACTGGCCCGATGTACCCTCATCTCGTTCCCCACATCAACTTTGACTTCCCGCACCCGTTGTTCTACACGTTGCAAACAACCCCGTTTGAGATCGGCATGCTCCGCTACGTTCCACCTTTGTCAAGGGCTGACTCGGCCACGTTCTTTGCAAGCACTCCACAGCCAAGTAGTCCCCCTTCACAAACGAACACTCACACAGAATCATGATAGACGACGGGTCCGACTCGGTCATTTGCTGACACACATTTCTTCTCAACCGATGATAGCTCCGACAGCGAAGCCAGTTTGCTGCCTTCGTTCTTGTCCCCCTGCACGTCGGCAAGGCGAAAGGCATTTAGCCTTAAAGAGGGCCAAATAAATGGGATGACAACGACGAAAGGCCTGGTGGTTCCGCTTGGAAATTCCAAGTGCGGATTTTCATGCCGAACGAAGTCAATCTGTTCGGAATGTGGCTCCTCGTGCTTGCAGCATCCCCAGTCCTCAAAGTGGCAAGATATCTGCCAGTCTCAACACTGGGCCATAGGTGGGTGTAGGACAGCGATTCCATGAGTGCATCAACCAATGTCGGGAGGATGCTCGGCTCCCTGCAAAGAAATCTTAATCGGCACAGCAGCTACCACGGACAAATCTAGGCAGGGCGGATCAAGCTGGAATCGGGAAATAGTGTGCTCATGGTCTATGTCGGTGAGCTTGATGATACCGTTACCAGAACTACACATCTCACAATGATTAGGCTTCGTATTTTGGTCTCCTGCGCACCCCACCTATCAACTTTCTTTGGTAATTTTGACCGTTCGCGCGTTGAGTAAATCCTCGTTCAACGGAATTGTGTGTCCAGAACACTCCCCAGTATGGTGGGGTCACTGCAGAAGTAGAGAGAGGGCCATAAAGGGGCGATGGTTGTGAAAACCGATATGGGAATCCTTAAGGCTGTGGGTAGATAAAGCACTCCTGAACGTATTTCTTCCGCGGATCCCGGAAGCGTGCCAACAGGGAGTCTTCCCGCATCTCCAGCAGCTTTCGCGAGTGATCCAAGTTGGATTGTTGGGGTCTCTCCTCCCCTTCGTCCTCGCTCTTCGAAGTTCGCCAAGATTGTACATGCCGTCGGGGTGGTTCTGACGAGGATCGTTTGCAAGGTGCGCATGCAAGGAGAGAGGGAGTGAATGAGATGCATGGCGATCGTTCTATCTTCAATGCGCCCCTGGTTGCCAGTGATCTCCCTGTTGACGTGGTGAGCGAGGTTTACGAGGTCTGTCCGATAGTCTGCTGTGGATTCATGGTTATTAATTTTGGTGTTATCATATTTCTGTCTTGCGTAGAATTCCGCGGAGGCACCAGAGTATCCATACGCACTCTTCAGCGCTTTGAATAGAGTGGCAGCGGGACTTTTGAAGTGACGGAAGACTGCCTGTTGAGCGGGTTCGCTGAGAGCGAGCCAGATTCTTCTGCGTGTGTTTCTATCACCTACCACCCAGCCCTCATGTTCGTCTTTGGATGGGGGGGCGCAGTGGTATTCTTTCCCTCAATGTAGTTCCATGTGTGGTCCAAGGCTAATTCCAGGGGTCTATTCGTATTCCTGTCATTGACGTAAACGATGTGGTCAATGACGTATAGGCGATAGGTCATTTCCGTCCATATATGGCTAAAGTGAACCCAACGCGGACGGAGACACCAGCTTAAATCCTAAACAGCAAAACTTCGGTTCAACCGAGGCCCGAAAATTCAGTTGAGAAAGTAGCCTTCCCAATTAGCCGAGGCATTGACGTTTACTAAAAACTGCATGCAATAGACAGTTCGGAAAGGCTCTAGGATGCGTGAAATATGGTTACTGTTTGGTCCCCTTTCGTCTGGAATGTGACGGCCATGGTCAAGTATCATTGGCACTGATATTCTATTGATTGTGGAATTAAAGGAAGGACAAGTTAGTGTCTTTCAAGGGCTTGACAGATGGATCATTGAGCCAGCACTACCGGAACATGTCGGGGTTGGCTGACGGATTTGTGTACGTAAATACTTGTTTTTAGGCATTTAACACCGAGTAAAATGAAATCCAAGATGATGACGTATGCTGTTCGGAACTGCATAAAATCCCCTGAATCGCTCTGGCTGAACCAGAGCCTTCCCCCACCATCTTTCAGTGAACAATACATGGGACGATCCTGATGGGGCTGCGGGTTCTTGGTCCGCCAAGTCACTCGAAAATGACGCCTTAAGAAGAACTTGGGCGTGATAGGGGACCCTCACGACGATGATGGCCTTTAGATTTGGGCGTGTTGAAACGTGGTGGTTGCGCCGATCGTCAATAACACCTTCGATCACTATGTCTCTGATGATTGGGTCAGGTTGGTAGATTGTACAGTCTCTTGCCTCCTACTTTAAATTATTTGTACCCAGGCGACGTATCAACGTCCTCCGCGCCACCATGAAATCCATTGAAGGAAGCTGCCAGTCTTATGTTTTTCGCCGGGACCACTGAACGTAAGCGCGTCTCCTCTCTCTCCCATGACTGCGAAGACTCATGCTGCGGTGTGTAATCAGGAGAAAAGGTTGCCCATTCGCCTCGCCTCGCCCTGTCCCAAACCCACTGCTAGCCGTTCCCGCCCTCTCTCGAGCTTGGTGGTGGCGGGTGAGGCTTGGGCGTCTGAGCAGCAAGGTAAGGCACCATTCCTCTTTCTTTCATGTTTATGCCCATGCGCCGTTGTGACAGGGCTCCCCGCGAACTCGGTGACGAAGAATAATCCAGAAGGTTCTCTTGCAAGTTTTTCCACGGGTATGCGCAGCCTTTCAGAAGCGGAAGATGGATGATGATTCGGCTATGGTGGGACCCTCAACGAAGCGGGAGCGTCTGGATGCCTCTGGCTGAACCGGAGCCTTCCCCCACTATTCTTCTAGAATGTCAGTGCAACGAAGCACAGCTTCTTACCGTGGATTTTGGAGTGGCATGGAGGATACATTGTAGGATATATTGATGCGTCACCTGGGTAAGTAGGAGGCAAGATACCATACATAGTCGCAAGGCTGACCCAATCAACAGAGACATAGTGATCGAAACCATTATTGGCGATCGGCACAATCACGACATCTCGACACGCCTAAATTTCAAGACTACCACTACCGTGAGGGCCCCGTACCACCCACAAGTACTCCTGAAGGCGCCAAATTCGACTGACCCGGCTCCCGCAGCCACATCAAGATCATCCCATGGAATGTTGGACGTAAGCATGTCTCCTCTCTTTCTGATGACTGCTCGACTCATGCTGCGGTGTATTCAGGAGAAAGGGTCATCCATTCGGGTCCCGAGCCCCTCCACTCCCCTCCCCCTCGGTATGCGCAGCCTTTCCGGCATCCGTGGCACCCGTCAGAGCTGTTACTCAGCGTCGCGCCCGAGTGGGCATGACACCCTCAATTGGCTGTTCGAGTCGGGTGTCCCGGTTGATTTGCATCTCGAAACGGCGGCGAGGTTCACGGGCATTCTGTAGGATGACATTAGGCCCATCACATCGATTTTATCCCCAGTCGCATCTCAAGGAACATGATCGCACACTCAAGCACAGTGGACACAACCACAGCACATCACCTTTCTTTGACACATATAGTAAATATAACCATTTTGTCACTCTTGGTAAACTCGGCAACCGCCATCAGTTCCTACTATCTACCGCATAAATGGCATTCTTCGCAATAGTTTCCCCCGTATGCATAATATCACGTTGCGCTTGCAGCCCGTCCCAGTACCACAAGTTAATATACCCAAAAACCTATATCTACCTAATTAGTCAATTATTTTCGCCATTGCGCCCTGGGCGTTACCTGCAATTGAGCGTTGAGGATCAGATTAATTGACTGCGCCTATGTATGTATGATTCTATACGTAACACAACTTACGAATATGAACGTTCTGTGAGGGCAGCGGCTTTCACCTCAGTCTCGTAGTAGAGGAGATATATGAGGGAAGGTAGGCAGGCTACCAGCCTCTATTGGAATAGAGTGGGAAGGTAGTAGGTCCAAAAACTGTCCTTTTTATACGCAACCATCGCTCAGCGGTGACGCTATCGAACAAGGGATAACAAGTCAAAGAGAGTTCTGCTCAATGAGTCTTCGATTTCCGGAACACACGTCATGAACCGTGCCGGCATGCAGAGGTAAACGAAGGATTTTCTCTCACGTCTTACCAATAGAATTGTATCCAACGAATTAGAGGATCCTCGTTCCGAAGCTAGAGACGTCGTTCGGGCTACTAGTTATTAGAATTTTAGGTCTGGTATACGTGAACTACATTTGATGTCGGTGACTACCTAGCGTAAAAGCGCTGGGCTTCATGGAGGCATTTAATAAGAAAGATACATATCATGTAGTTGTTGCCAAACAGTTTTATTGATCGTGCAATCAAGTATGTATGAAGTTTCGCTTCGGCGAGCTAGTAGCAGTGGCTGCGTTACCGATCAATCTGTTGATTAGTATTTGGGTCGATGGTTTTTTCTTCGCCTCCTGCTCCCTCTCCCTACCTTTCATCCTTGGTTCATCCCTTTTCCAGCTGCCTTCTAGCGCTCCCTAGGTCCAGAAAGCTGCATGGCTGAACGACCCTCGCTGGTGGCGTCAGGGCTTAGGGGACGCTTTCTGTGCTAGGCAGGGAGGAAGGGGGTTGGCCTCCCTTCCTTGCCTTCCTCCTGGGCCCGTGCTCAGGCCTTCGGCTTATTTGCCTCAGCCCTAGTCTGGCACGGGTGAGTAGCTGGTGAGCGGCCTGGACAGGTGTCCCTCCTTCCCACGGCGGGTAATCGTTGGCTACTTGCCTTAGTTTCTTTGGCGACTTGATTTCCTTCACTCATGCATCGCTACCATGCGCCTTCAAAAGCGTTACCTACCACCTGCCCCTTTCACCTCCTCCGTGTATTTACTGGCTCGTTGGGAATTCAGAGGCTTTGACGTTCGGTCCGGGCCATCGCTGTGCTACTTTTGGTGCTGGTCTATACACACCCGTTAGGTACATTTCATGTATAAATGCGCATGGACTCTGCCTCTGGTCGATCGCGATGCGTCGCCGCTGCGTAGTGAATTGCCCTGTAGGGGATCTCCTTGTTACAACAACTCCCTGGCGTCGTCATGCTCTCAGCACCCAGCGCATGAGTAGATTTGATTCGGTCATGACCAGATTTGAGCTTTGCAGCGTTTGGTTGCCTCATTGCTTTGGACGGACCAACGAGGTCAGCTTGTACGTGTTACCTAAGCTGCAGCGTGGTGGAGTTGGCCTAATTCATTTGTCTATTGGTCTATTCCCTTCAGTTGATGGACGCTCGCTTCCCTCGTGCGTATCTCATCTTTGCGATCGGCTAGAGGCCGCTTCCTTCCTACCCCGTTCGGTTCTAGACTGCCGATGGCTGGTGTCGTTCGGAGCATCACTGGCCGAATTCAGTCTTCAGCCCTGGTCCGATCGTACACCCAAGCACCCTGAAGCCTTCCGATCTCAGCTCCGTCGTGCACCAAACCGGTCCCATCTAAATCCATCTCAGTTTTTCTGGCCCCCCTGAATTCCTCAGTGGATGAGTTTAACGAATCTATTCTACCCCAACTACTGGGAACCTGGTGTAGGTGATACAATCCAGTCAAAAACCCTTTCTGACTATTTCCTTTTACTCAGCGGTTCACTTCCGCTACCATTCCGTCATGGATGATGGGGGGGGGGGGGCATGGAACGGCTGTCACTGCACCGCTTCCCTTGGTTATTCAGCACTCATGAGGTCACTGAAGCTCCAAATCATTCATTGAAATCGAACCTGGAGGCTGTGCGTTCTCTGCTCCGAAACCTTTCCGACCGGTTGGTCAAAAATCAACGCATGCCCATCGTTAGCTGTCGTTCACGTCGGGGTTCTGAACCGAGGCAACCGGTCCGATGCATCTTCATCTCGTTCCCCACATCAACTTTGACTTCCTACGTTCTTTATTCTATACGTTGCGAGCGACCCCTTTAAGATCGGCATGCTCCGCTACATTCCACCTTTGTCAAGGGCTGACTCGGCCAGGTTCTTTGCAAGTACTCCACAGCCAAGTAGTCCCTCTTCACAAACGAACACTTACACAGAATCATGATAGACGACTCGGTCATTTGCTGACGCACGTTTCTTAACCGATGATAGCTCCGACAGCGAAGCCAGTTTGCTGCCTTCGTTCTTGTCCCCCTGCATCCGCTCGTTCACATTGGGCCATGAAAAGGCAGAGGATCCCGATGAAGAAGAATCGAACATCGTCGACAAGGCGAAAGGCGTCCGACCTTAAAGGGGGGTCAAATAAACGGGATGACAACGACGAAAGGCCTGCTTGTTCCCCTCAGAGTAGACAATACGTTCGGACTGCGGCTCCTCGTGCTCGCAGCATCCTCAGTCCTCAAAATGACATGATCTCTGCCAGTCTCAACAACGCTTATCACGGGGACATAGGTAGGTGTCGGATGGCGATTCCATAACAATGCCGGAGGATGCTCGGCTCCATGCAAGGAAATTTTAACCGCTGCAGCAGCTACCACGGACAAATTTGGGCAGGGCGGATCAAGCTGGAATCGGGAAATAGTGCACTCATAGTCTCTGTCGGTGACCTTGATGATACCGTTACCAGAACTACCATGCTGCACATCTCACAATGATTGGGCTTCGTAATTGTAGTGTTGGAATTATTCGATCGACGCCCGAGAGGTGGGCGATGAAGTGGAGCGGTAGATCATGTAGTTCGGGAATTGCCCCTCACTTACCGTACCAAAATATCGCAATCCAACAGGATATTTGCTACAACTCCAGAACAGCCAAGTGTGCTTCCGTTATCACATTGTTGTACCACAGCTAGGAGAACTGCGAATAAGGAATGGAGCTGATCAACCGTCAGCTTGCAACTTGCAACTGATCGGGGTGTACATTAACCTGTTTCGTGTCGGTGTCACTTGTAAAATGTGTGAACACCCGTTTGCTCGGGGATCGATATCGATTGACTGATACATACAAAAAGCGTCCGAAAATAAGCACAGGCATCCTCACACCCTTCGCATCCGCGGTAGTCCTTCACGTATAAACCAGGGGGTTTTGAATCGATTTTATTTATAAAATCTGTGAGGCGAGCAAGAATCTATATAGGGTGCAGAAAGACAGCAGCAGGGTAACCGTCGAGGAATTTGCGAGCTATCTGGAGTTACATATTGAGTCAAATAGAGCCACCAATTCGGCCATTCGACTCTGGGTGGGGGTCAGGTTTCAGGCGAACAACAAGCATGGCGTCAACGGAGAACTGACTTGGAGTCCTCCCTACGGACCCGGTCATAATGCAACAAAGAAATAACCCGCTACGTCAAGACGTCGACGAAATAATGGGTCGGATTCACCCCGAAGCGTAAAATATCTTGACCTGTCGGCAGGTGGTCACAAGCAGAGATCCGTGGAAGTAACTGACCGGGAAAATTAATTAGACTATTTCCAACGAGTACGAGTATCTTACTCGGGCTCATTGCAGCGCACCATGGCTTCTTGAAATTTAGGATCCTTCCTGAGCCCCGTAATTGCCTCATATATCTCCTTTGGTAATGTCGAGGAGGTAACACTCATAGGGAGCCCCATAATGTATTCACGATGGCCTTTATCTTTATTATCTGGGTGAAGTGATAATGATAGATTTGGTATTGCTTGCAGAATAGCTTTGGCAGACTGAATCGTGTTAGAGAAGATGATCTCCTTGAATGCGATTCGCTCATCGTCGTTTAAACTTCCTGGGTAAAATGTCCTAATTTGCCTGAGAAATGCAGGCTGTGTCGGAGTAGAAGCGGCTTAGCTGCCCGGCGGTCAAGCAGCGAGCTCAGACCCTCGTCAGTGCCAAGTAGCAATACATGAACGATTTTCTTCCGGCTTTCCAGCCTGGTACATGTTTATCTGCCTCTCTAGCTCGCCACCGTCTGTGCAGGGAATTCAGTTGAGATGCGTTGGTGTATAGATGAACCAGCCTTGGCCCCGGCGTGGATGAGACACTTCCCATGGGTGTAACTCAGGCAACGGAACAGTACGGATTCCAGTACTCGGACTTTCGTCAGGAGACTTATTTGTCACGCCTAGCTTTTGAATTCATCCTATAAGGAATTGCGGTCATAGAGAGTCAAACAAGAATGGCGTGGCCTGAGTAAATACACAGCATGAGAAACAGAAGCATGAGTCATCCAAGCATAAACCAACCAAGTCGTTGAAGAGATACCCCCCCCCCAAAAAAAAACACGTTAAATAGCAGCGAACGAACGTGGCTAGTGTGTATCTGTATCAAAAAAAGCTGCCAATTTGGCCACCGGAATCTTTCTAGCTGAGGCAGCTGACGACACTGAGTTTTGTTTCATTTTGACCTCCATACTACGTCTCTCCTTCTCTTTTCTTCTGATAACAAGCGGGTCAACGAACGAGCCCTTGGAGAATACATCTACATCGGAGCATCGCTCGCCTGAACAGTCGGATGGGTTTGGAGAAGGGCGTTGTCCCCCTGAGGAAACAACGGAACTTTCGCCAAGACCTAGCCGGGCCAGACGGCTGCTTAGAGGTGGAAGACCATCCTGTACTGCACTTTGGGCGCGCTTCCTCGCTGCCCCAGGACTTGGACTGGCTGGGACCGGCGAAGGAACAGGACTTGTACTCTCCATGGTGGACTGCGTGCGCGTCCTACCAGTCATACGAATTGGGGAACTCAACCCGGGCGGTGAACCAAGAGATGGTGGAGGCGAAAGTGACAGCCGACTTAGATGGACAGGGGTACTACCAATAGCGGTATCTAGCTCGCGGCACTTGTGAAACTCAGGAGATGGCTCCGAAGTCGGAGCAGAGCTTCCGCTATCGGTGACCGACGAGTCATGCGAAGAAGTGGAAAATGATGTTAGCGATAACTGGTTCGCCAGTGGGGGCGGTGAGTCGGTAACCAATGCGGTGTGTACCTTTCTTGCGCCGATAATGTTTTGATGCTCTTCATCCGCGTTCAATGCTTTCCGGTCATCGTCATCATGTCGCCCCGAGAGAGCTACTGTGTATCTCTTGCGCGGTGTTGGACTCGGAGTTTTAGAGTAGACTCGAGTTTTCCCCTCGCCTTTGGTTAATCCTAGAGGAGATTCACTATCATCACGGACAGGGATTGACTGTGGCTTCCCAAAATCGACCGGTGGAAGCACCAACGGAGAGACAGAGCGCGGCGGTGGAAGAACGGGTGATGCAGTTTGAGAACGATCCATTACCGGAGACGAGAGCGATCTTGTAGATGACGCTGACAATTGATGAGAATCGGGCTTTGGTAAATCATAATAGTCGCCGGACGGGTACGGAAGTCGGTTTCTGAAGTTGATGGACCTCACTGTGCCCGTGGCCCCAGTGGTTTCCGAGCCACTTGGTGATCCATTGACTGATGATTCCATTTCGTCAACGGACGATTGTGAATTTCTTCGTGGCGTTGACGGACGCACAGCATCTTGACTAGGAGATGCTGTAGCAGAGTGGTATGACCTGCTAGTACTAGAACTAGCAATGCCCGTACTGGAAGCGGAGATAGACGTCATCGACATCGGACTCGCAGGTACAGGCGAGGGTGCCTGTAATGTGACCACCTTCCCCGTGGAAATCGGCTGTCTCGCACCGACAGGCTTTGGGGTTGGAAGTGTGGTTACCGATGTTGGTGCTGGCACAGGCACAGACGCAGCAACAGGAACGAGATAATTCCCAGCGGCGGTCGGACCTGGTGAAGGAGATGGCGGAAGATGTAGTGGGACGTATACAGGAGACGAAGCCGCTTGAATCTGTTGCAGTTCGCTCCTAATTTGCAGCATTGCTGTTTTTAGATTGTTGACATCTTTCTTGACGGCATCTTCACGACCCTCCCGGTCCACAAGATACCTGCCAAGAATGATAAGATACAAAACGCCACGTCAGAAGCCACCTTACCTTTCAACATCCTTCATTCGCTCCTCGAGCGCTCGGACGTGATTTACAGTCCAGCGCTCGAGTTTTTCGAATCGAGCGGTAACCGTGAGTAGTGTTGCGGGTATATCCAGAGCTCCGGTCTGGGGATTGAACTGGTTGTACATGGAATTCACATTATCGGACTCTGAAGGTCGCGAAATCGCAGAGGGTCTGGGACCTGATGGTGAAAAACTGAGATTGGTGGTAGATACTGCCTGTGGTACTTGCGGGGGTGTCATCGGAGAGTGAAGGCGCTGAGGCGAGTTAGATTGGATTGGACGTGGGGAACCATTAGGTGTCGATAATTTATTCTTGGGGGAGATGGTCTGTATTGCCGTGAGGGCAGGATCTGCAGTCTTAGCTTTAGGCGAGGCAGGCCACCCGTCACGATTTGCCTTCATTCGCCTCTTTCCCTCCTCTCCCTCGTCTTTACGTTGCTGTTGTTGTTTCTGCTGGGTTTCGCGGATGATCTCCTGCGCTGGCGTTAATTGAACATCTTCATCTCTACTGGGACTGAGTTTTTGCTTTGCGATATTCCACCATCTACTACCTTTGGAAGGGGGAGTAGACGGCGATTCATGACCCTTAGGGGATGCAGACGGCACGTCAATTGTGTCTCGGCGTCGATCAGGGCTTCTAGGATTAGGCGAGTTGTAAAACGCCTCACGACGGTCTTCGGCGCGACGTCGTTCCTCTGCTTCTTGTAGCAGAATGCGTTCAGCTTCACGTCGAGAATGTTCCCGTTCGCGAATTGCCTCAGCTTCTATTTCAGCATCGCTAAGATGCTGGCTTAGACCATCTGATTTGAGTGAGGGAGAGCGAGGCTGAGACGCAATATTTGAGACGGCAGTTGTCATACGAGAGGTGAGGTCAGCAAAACCGGCCGCTGCACTATATGAACGGTTGCGGCGAGGATCACCCCATACGTCAACATGCGGCTGGTTCGTGTCCTCCCCATCCTCGCTTGTTGGAGAGTCAGTTATGGAGCGACCACCGAAAGAGCCCGTCAACTCATTTAAGAAAGAAGGATTGGGGAGGCCCAGGGGACCGGCGGGGGGCACTGGTTTGCGTTCGCGTAAGTCCAAGAGAGCGGGAGACGCGCCACGACGTTGGCGGTTGAATGGGGATGGAGCGGCCATAATAATACCGGCACGAAACGTTCTTACAACACCCCAGCGGATACCAGCGCGCTTTCTCAGCTCTCCTTAGGTAAAGAAAGCGCGATTTCCCTATGTATATACAAACGAAGGAGAAGTTAGTGGGGTCAAGGTTGGACCGAGGCAATCAAAACAACCATAAACACAACCACATCATTCTGACAGCTTGCAATCCATTTAAGACATCTTGGGCAGTATCGGTTGAAAGGAAGGAGTTAGTGTGTTTAGCCTGCTGCGATGCCATACATACTTATTACGAGGCATATCTTATCTAGCTTGTTCCTTGCCTGGGCCATTTTCGTCACCACTCTGAGTTTAAAATTCTGCTGAAGGCGATGGACGGATATCCAAACGAGCGGAGAAACGGGCAGGGTCCCAAAACAGGCTCCAAAGCGAACCCTCACTTATCAGTCTCGGTTCCGTCCACCGTGGTTTCTGCTCCTACGTCTCCCTCCCCAACCACCAATCCCGATTCTGTGTTCGGACCGCCACCTAGCGCTAGTGCATTCCGTGCCAATTTTGAGGCACCGGGTAGCCCTTCGTTCGATGAAACAAACTTCACGTTTGGTGACTCTCCAACGGGTGTCTCTTCATGCTCAGCAGCCCAATTTCTTACACCCCCTGTTCAGCATATCCCACCAACGCCCAAGACTCCTGCTTTCGTGCCGCACACACACCAGAAAACTCTATCTGTGTCTCTTGCGCCACCACCTCGCTCTCCAAGGTTAAGGTCTGCCCCTGTCGCACCATTGCTCAATGCCTCCCCGACACGCCATTCTCGCATACATTCGCGAAATCTGTCTGTGTTCTTTCCCAGACCAGGTGTGGAGAAGGCGACCTCAATCCCAGAGGACGAAGATGTCGGTCAGATGCTTGAGTATCATGCGACAGATGCTCCCCCGCTTTCCGCACGTCTCGGTACCTTCAAGTTCGCAGGGCAACCAAGATCTGAAAATGGAGTCAATGGGACTGGTGCGCCAACTAAGAGACGTGGCCATCATCACAAACATTCGGTATCTCATAATTTCTTTAGTTTCATGGAGCCCGGGCAGACGCAGGAAGAACCATCACCTGAATCCCCATTCCCTTCCCAAGATTCTACACCTCACTTCTCGCCTGGAACATCGGAAAGACGTAGTTCTTTACGACCCCTCCCGATGTCTCATAAGCGGTCGCCGTCCGTGCACATTCTATCGAGGTATCTTGATAACCCAGAGCAAACCACCGCCCTTATCTTCTTTGCTGCTGAGACGGTGTTAGGTTCCTCCCTTTGGATAGCAGGTCAATCTCGGGGGAGCCTCGCTTGCACGGGGCTTGGCTATTGGATTGTATTCGATTCGCTCGGAGTTGCATTATCAAGTGCATTCCCCTCCCTTTGGTCTCTCAGCGCCCAGGAAGTTGATCTCCAGAGACCGTTCAGGTGCGTATTGTACCTTATCGCCACGACTTTCCCCAAGTTCATAGAACCACAGTACTAGACGGCTTGAAACTACCGTATCATTCGCTCAATCTATATACCTCATTTTTTCAGCTGTGTACGTGCTGAAGGAAGCTGTCGAGCACTTCCTCCTCTCCTCAGAAGGCGAAGCTGCTCATCCCCATCACAATCATTCAATAGGGTGAGGCCTTGTAGCTGTGTTCTGTCTTTCACTAACATTGATCATGCCCAGGATATCATTCCCTGCCTTTTTACTTTGGTTATCTCTCGCATCTTTATTGTTATCGAATTTTGCATACCGCAATCATTCCCGACTAGTTGACGGTAACGCTGATGCCATAGGATGTTATTTTAAGCTCACCTTTCTCCCCGTAGCTGTCGGTTCCTCGTTACCTCACCCCTCCACTGTCTTCGCTTCAATACCCTTTCTTCGTCGTTTGGCAAGAGTTGTGCTGAGCTCCCTAAACTCCTCACCGCTCGTCTCCCGCATTCTTTCAAATCCATTCACACTTGCTCCTACCACATTCGTTCTTCTCCTTCTCTATGCTTCATACTTTGCTGATAAGTGAGTAACACTTACATCTATACTACGGCCTCAGGGTGTCACCTTTGTCATATCTGCCGCTTACAGGTCTCAGCAAATGACCATCGATATGCTCGTGTCCTCTATTGAGACTGTATGGACATTCTCCATCGCTTACCCAAGCGCCGTTTCCCTGGGCAAAATCCTACTCCAAACTGCACCAGAGCGGACACTCTCCGGTGGTTCGCTTGAGTCTTTCCAGCGAGCCATAAGAGAAGTAAGAGCGTTTCTCCTTACATCGCAAATCCAGTCGCTTACACTTGTTTGCTTGCAGATCCGACGGGACCCACGTATCCTCGAAGTTTTAGACACCCATCTCTGGCAATTGACTCTCCCTCGATCCTCGTCTCTCTCTTCCAGTGATGCTGAAGAGCTAGTGGCGTCTGTGGAAGTACATGTCCAGGAGGATGCCTCAGACATGGACATCCTGGAGATAACAAGGTGGGCATCAGATAAAATCTCGATTGCACTGGGGAAACCTCGGGTGGGAAGTGTCACTGTTTCTGTTGTCCGTGGATAGAACCTCGTGATCAATGCTACCATTTGATTCGACGGAAACACACTAAGTAGTCTGGATACAGACCGTAGCTTGAGCCAGACTCGTACCCAGTCGTCGTCGCTCCGTGGACGCGCACTGCGCACACGCAATTTCAAGTTGGGTTTATATTAAAAGTCACAGTCACCTTTACATGATGCATGAGTAGTCATCTTTTGTATTGAACCCTTAAAGTCACATGTGCCGGAAATAGAGTTAAACCCGATCACCTACTCCGAAAACCAGCGCGCGACACTTCGCTCCAACGACTGGCACAAAAGTTGGGTGGCGGTGTTTTCCGGCAGCATCCGGGACTGAATTGTTGAGTCCACACAACTTGTGCGCAACAGATTAGGTTGTAGTCCGGTGCATTTTTAGTGTCAACTCACATAAGATTTGTACCTGACCCACCCCAAAGGGTATGAAGGGCTGCGGAGTCAATAACCTGAGCATGCAGAGAATCTAAGCCTTATATATTACTTTGAGAGCAATACTGTGTTGGTGCGAGTTAGTGCAGGTGGTATAGCGTTCGCTGAGGCTATGCACTTTTTTTGCTTGCTCGGGTTCGACTCCCACTTGGTAACCTTCTTTTTTTCATGCATCACCCCTTTCATACATGCGACAAATTTCCGTATACATCACCAAGAAGTGAGGAATGAATGAAAAAAGGAAGTTACCAGGTGGGAGTCGAACCCGAGCAAGCAAAAAAAGTGCATAGCCTCAGTGAACGCTATACCACCTGCACTAACTCGCACCAACACAGTATTGCTCTCAAAGTAATATATAAGGCTTAGATTCTCTGCATGCTCAGGTTATTGACTCCGCAGCCCTTCATACCCTTTGGGGTGGGTCAGGTACAAATCTTATGTGAGTTGACACTAAAAATGCACCGGACTACAACCTAATCTGTTGCGCACAAGTTGTGTGGACTCAACAATTCAGTCCCGGATGCTGCCGGAAAACACCGCCACCCAACTTTTGTGCCAGTCGTTGGAGCGAAGTGTCGCGCGCTGGTTTTCGGAGTAGGTGATCGGGTTTAACTCTATTTCCGGCACATGTGACTTTAAGGGTTCAATACAAAAGATGACTACTCATGCATCATGTAAAGGTGACTGTGACTTTTAATATAAACCCAACTTGAAATTGCGTGTGCGCAATGCGCGTCCACGGAGCGACGACGACTGGGTACGAGTCTGAGCTTGAGCTAACGTCATCACATTGAGCGGCGAAAATCTCATATTGAATGCCTATAGACTACCCCTTGTGCCTGAGGTGAGATGAAGGCCACTGGTTTCGCCGAGATTGAATGTAGGAGCACCCGGCTTGGTTGAACACTCATCCACAACCCAGATTATTGCGTCCTATTAAGCGAACAGTGAGTACACATACTTCCATTGTCCCTTGGGCAGAGTCTCGGGATACAGACGAAAGACTGTAAGCTAGAAAGTCGTTAGAATAAGTCCTCCAAGGCGCAGGAAAGTCGTCTGGTGCTTTGTTCGGGAGAGGCATCACCTCAAGCTGCTCCCATGTGCACCTATCGAGCAGCCGACAAAAAATCATCATTATTCAAGACAGTACTTCCGCAAGGTATAGATAGAGTTTGTTCGTGACTTGGAGCTAAGCTAATAACGTCACTACATCGATCAAATCTCTCTGCTAATATGGTGAGACGGTCTCCACTGAATGATCGTAGACCGCCTTCTGTCTTTCAGGTGTGATATGCAGGGTCTGAGGAGGCACTGGCTCGGCGTATTCGTTGAGGTGGAACGCACCCGATTCGAACGCGTCTCCAAGCAAGGGACAAAGCATCCATTCTGCACAATCCTATCGACAATCCCACCGTTATTTCTCTTAACTTTCCATAAACGCAATTAGGCGAGCACGGCGTACCTCTGCCTTCTTTAGGAAGAGTAATCTCATGATCCAAACGAAATATTTTGTAAGCCAGAAATTTGACAAGATCGGAGTGTCAACTAAACCCGGGTGTATATGCGTGAAAGAAATGGCTGGATTTCGTGCTGCAAATTCCTGTAAAAAAGGGGAGGGGGAATAAATATTCCGTTTTGAATGATGGTTAAAAAACTCTGAAACACTTCTTACCTCAACTGCCAATTCTGTGCAAGCTGGTCCATAAAATAGAGACAAGAAAGGTGTGTGTTTCTTCTTCAGTCCAAGATTGTCCAGATCCAAAGGCTTTCCATGGCCTGACGCGAGGACTACTACGACCCTCGCTGCCTCTCCCAATTGTTTGGCTTCCTGGAGCAATGGGAGGAATTCCTGAATGAACTTGAAACGGGAATAATACGTCACCGCCAATCTCTGATCGATCCCCTCAGACGTCGGCTTGAAGGCCTCCGTCGAGAGGTATCCCGTCGAAAGGAATAGATAGTTAAGTTTCGTAAGGCGAGAAGAAAGCGACCGAGCGAAAGAGGAGATGTTTGACATGAGGCTCACGTCACAGTGAACGAATTCGTAATTCGATTCAGGAGACTGTGGTAGTGAAGAGATGATTTGGTTTGCAGCAGTTTCGTTACGCCCAACGATGATGATATGGATGTTCCCTTTAGCATAACGAGCGAGTGCTTCGACGGATGCCTGAAGGGTTGGCAACGTAGGTGATTGCTGACGGTAGGATAGCCCCTTTTGTGCGTACCTTTCCAATGCCTGAGGTACCGCCAACGAACAAGGCTACAGGTTTAGGTGGTAGGGTCGCAGCCTCATTCTGCTGTTTAGCTTGAGTCAACAGGCGTGGCATGATTACTGAAGGAATATTGTTGTATGGCGCTTGATGACTTGAGTGACTTGGGCGTTGGTATCAACCAGTAGCACTGATGTATATATATGGAACCATTAATGTTATTCCATAGTTTCGTAATCAGGGCATGATAAACGCTTACGCGTCATGTATCGTACGTATGCTTTGGCCGACGGCATGCACTGTCGTAAGCAGAAAACAATTTATCTCGTGTCCCGCGTGGAGATACTCATCATGCACGTATGCTTTGGTGCCAACGGCACGATTGGATGCTAAGCTTATAATAGGAGGGCTAAAGCGGGAGCTCAGTCTCCGTTAATGAAGAACTGAATTACTACGGTTAATACTAACCTAAAGCGGGAGCTATAGTACAGAAGAGTACAGAGTAAGTAATGTAACAACTAGCTAAAAAACAATGATACTAACCTCAGTCTCCGTTAATGAAGAACTGAGGAGAAAAGGAAAGTAGACCCAAACAATTACCTATATACAATGCAGTCACGGTATCAATACAACGGAAACGAAAAGTAAGATCATGTGAATTTGGTTAGTGAGTCACGCGTCGTTGTAACTCCAACAGCTTAGAGCCTACATGGTGCGATGCATGCACATATACGGAAGTGGTCAGAAGTGGTCTCTTCGCACACCAACATGCGGTCGCCGACGGTGCCGAACATTTGCCCTGAATCTGACTACGAATTGCGGAGTAACGGTCTTAGTATTCAGGTACATATATATATCCGTCGGCCAACCCCGACATATTATTTGTTATTTAATGGAGGTACGAGATTAAATTAGGCTTGTGCGCACTCAGTCTAAACGCACTCATTGGTCTCTTTTCGCGCGTGGCATTTTTCCTGGTGGTGTTTAATCTTATGCGCCGTACCCGCTGTCGGCCTTACGCATACTGTGCCTTCCGAGGTTACAGTCATGCCGATTCAGGTTTTTGCCGCTGCATTCCTGGGTCGATTCTTCCAGACAATCTCATCCGTGAGTTTCGTCCGCCTATGCTACAGGGCTCTGGCCCTCTTATACCTTTCCTCTGCTGAAGGCGTGTTCTTTCTTAGTCTTTTCTTTTGTCCTGTATGCTGTTTTTTGACGAAGACATTCCTTCATCTTCCTTGCTTCCGGTAAGCCTTTCGGTCTCGCCGAGGGGGAGGTGTTGTGACCTTCGGTTACTCTCGGTGGGTGGGATCCCGATTGCTTACTTAGGTTTTTCTAGGTTTCCTTTTTTCGGTTGTTTCCTTGCTCGCTGTAACTTCTGTCTTTCTTTCCTTATTGCTCGTTGTCCTTGTCGTTTGCGAAACCCTCCTCCTTCCCCGGTCTCCTCCCTATTGTATATTAACCGGGTCGCCTTCAATTCCAGAGGTTCTGGCATTTGCCGGGACTGTTGCCCCGCTAATCGCTTGAGTCTCCTGCGTGCACACAAGCGGTAGCACTTGTTCGGTGACGCAATCATGTTTGTGAGCGCTTAGCGGGTTGGTTGTACGTTACATCATCCGTTAGAGTGCAGAGCTAGCTACCGCTCTCTTATCGCCCAGGCTCTCCCATCACGAAAATCGGACTGGCACTCCCAGGTGCTCCTGGCTCTGGAACCTCCTGAACACTCTAGACCAGGAGACTTTGCTCCAGTTGCTTGTGCGATTCTCGTGATGGCTCACTCGAGGGATAGCGTGGCAGCGGTCGTGCGCTGTCAACCCATAGGCACTAGTTATCTCTGCATTATTCCCGACTTCTGACTTAACAGACCGTAACTATGATTGAGTCAGGTTGATCCAGTTCGTCAATGAACCCAGTCTGTCTTGGTCATTTCGATGCGTTTCGTCTGCTGAGCCAATATCCCTAATGCATGGGACAGAGACGCTGCAGGAAGTACTCCATCATTTTGGCAATTGAAAATGCTATCAGCTGCCTCAGGTGCTCACGGCCTAGCACAACGTGCAATTGTGGGTCCTGCCATATTAAATGCCTCCATGAAGCCCAGCGCTTTTACGCTAGGTAGTCACCGACATCAAATGTAGTTCACGTATACCAGACCTAAAATTCTAATAACTAGTAGCCCGAACGACGTCTCTAGCTTCGGAACGAGGATCCTCTAATTCGTTGGATACAATTCTATTGGTAAGACGTGAGAGAAAATCCTTCGTTTACCTCTGCATGCCGGCACGGTTCATGACGTGTGTTCCGGAAATCGAAGACTCATTGAGCAGAACTCTCTTTGACTTGTTATCCCTTGTTCGATAGCGTCACCGCTGAGCGATGGTTGCGTATAAAAAGGACAGTTTTTGGACCTACTACCTTCCCACTCTATTCCAATAGAGGCTGGTAGCCTGCCTACCTTCCCTCATATATCTCCTCTACTACGAGACTGAGGTGAAAGCCGCTGCCCTCACAGAACGTTCATATTCGTAAGTTGTGTTACGTATAGAATCATACATACATAGGTGCAGTCAATTAATCTGATCCTCAACGCTCAATTGCAGGTAACGCCCAGGGCGCAATGGCGAAAATAATTGACTAATTAGGTAGATATAGGTTTTTGGGTATATTAACTTGTGGTACTGGGACGGGCTGCAAGCGCAACGTGATATTATGCATACGGGGGAAACTATTGCGAAGAATGCCATTTATGCGGTAGATAGTAGGAACTGATGGCGGTTGCCGAGTTTACCAAGAGTGACAAAATGGTTATATTTACTATATGTGTCAAAGAAAGGTGATGTGCTGTGGTTGTGTCCACTGTGCTTGAGTGTGCGATCATGTTCCTTGAGATGCGACTGGGGATAAAATCGATGTGATGGGCCTAATGTCATCCTACAGAATGCCCGTGAACCTCGCCGCCGTTTCGAGATGCAAATCAACCGGGACACCCGACTCGAACAGCCAATTGAGGGTGTCATGCCCACTCGGGCGCGACGCTGAGTAACAGCTCTGACGGGTGCCACGGATGCCGGAAAGGCTGCGCATACCGAGGGGGAGGGGAGTGGAGGGGCTCGGGACCCGAATGGATGACCCTTTCTCCTGAATACACCGCAGCATGAGTCGAGCAGTCATCAGAAAGAGAGGAGACATGCTTACGTCCAACATTCCATGGGATGATCTTGATGTGGCTGCGGGAGCCGGGTCAGTCGAATTTGGCGCCTTCAGGAGTACTTGTGGGTGGTACGGGGCCCTCACGGTAGTGGTAGTCTTGAAATTTAGGCGTGTCGAGATGTCGTGATTGTGCCGATCGCCAATAATGGTTTCGATCACTATGTCTCTGTTGATTGGGTCAGCCTTGCGACTATGTATGGTATCTTGCCTCCTACTTACCCAGGTGACGCATCAATATATCCTACAATGTATCCTCCATGCCACTCCAAAATCCACGGTAAGAAGCTGTGCTTCGTTGCACTGACATTCTAGAAGAATAGTGGGGGAAGGCTCCAGTTCAGCCAGAGGCATCCAGACGCTCCCGCTTCGTTGAGGGTCCCACCATAGCCGAATCATCATCCATCTTCCGCTTCTGAAAGGCTGCGCATACCCGTGGAAAAACTTGCAAGAGAACCTTCTGGATTATTCTTCGTCACCGAGTTCGCGGGGAGCCCTGTCACAACGGCGCATGGGCATAAACATGAAAGAAAGAGGAATGGTGCCTTACCTTGCTGCTCAGACGCCCAAGCCTCACCCGCCACCACCAAGCTCGAGAGAGGGCGGGAACGGCTAGCAGTGGGTTTGGGACAGGGCGAGGCGAGGCGAATGGGCAACCTTTTCTCCTGATTACACACCGCAGCATGAGTCTTCGCAGTCATGGGAGAGAGAGGAGACGCGCTTACGTTCAGTGGTCCCGGCGAAAAACATAAGACTGGCAGCTTCCTTCAATGGATTTCATGGTGGCGCGGAGGACGTTGATACGTCGCCTGGGTACAAATAATTTAAAGTAGGAGGCAAGAGACTGTACAATCTACCAACCTGACCCAATCATCAGAGACATAGTGATCGAAGGTGTTATTGACGATCGGCGCAACCACCACGTTTCAACACGCCCAAATCTAAAGGCCATCATCGTCGTGAGGGTCCCCTATCACGCCCAAGTTCTTCTTAAGGCGTCATTTTCGAGTGACTTGGCGGACCAAGAACCCGCAGCCCCATCAGGATCGTCCCATGTATTGTTCACTGAAAGATGGTGGGGGAAGGCTCTGGTTCAGCCAGAGCGATTCAGGGGATTTTATGCAGTTCCGAACAGCATACGTCATCATCTTGGATTTCATTTTACTCGGTGTTAAATGCCTAAAAACAAGTATTTACGTACACAAATCCGTCAGCCAACCCCGACATGTTCCGGTAGTGCTGGCTCAATGATCCATCTGTCAAGCCCTTGAAAGACACTAACTTGTCCTTCCTTTAATTCCACAATCAATAGAATATCAGTGCCAATGATACTTGACCATGGCCGTCACATTCCAGACGAAAGGGGACCAAACAGTAACCATATTTCACGCATCCTAGAGCCTTTCCGAACTGTCTATTGCATGCAGTTTTTAGTAAACGTCAATGCCTCGGCTAATTGGGAAGGCTACTTTCTCAACTGAATTTTCGGGCCTCGGTTGAACCGAAGTTTTGCTGTTTAGGATTTAAGCTGGTGTCTCCGTCCGCGTTGGGTTCACTTTAGCCATATATGGACGGAAATGACCTATCGCCTATACGTCATTGACCACATCGTTTACGTCAATGACAGGAATACGAATAGACCCCTGGAATTAGCCTTGGACCACACATGGAACTACATTGAGGGAAAGAATACCACTGCGCCCCCCCATCCAAAGACGAACATGAGGGCTGGGTGGTAGGTGATAGAAACACACGCAGAAGAATCTGGCTCGCTCTCAGCGAACCCGCTCAACAGGCAGTCTTCCGTCACTTCAAAAGTCCCGCTGCCACTCTATTCAAAGCGCTGAAGAGTGCGTATGGATACTCTGGTGCCTCCGCGGAATTCTACGCAAGACAGAAATATGATAACACCAAAATTAATAACCATGAATCCACAGCAGACTATCGGACAGACCTCGTAAACCTCGCTCACCACGTCAACAGGGAGATCACTGGCAACCAGGGGCGCATTGAAGATAGAACGATCGCCATGCATCTCATTCACTCCCTCTCTCCTTGCATGCGCACCTTGCAAACGATCCTCGTCAGAACCACCCCGACGGCATGTACAATCTTGGCGAACTTCGAAGAGCGAGGACGAAGGGGAGGAGAGACCCCAACAATCCAACTTGGATCACTCGCGAAAGCTGCTGGAGATGCGGGAAGACTCCCTGTTGGCACGCTTCCGGGATCCGCGGAAGAAATACGTTCAGGAGTGCTTTATCTGCCCACAACCTTAAGGATTCCCATATCGGTTTTCACAACCATCGCCCCTTTATGGCCCTCTCTCTACTTCTGCAGTGACCCCACCATTCTGGGGAGTGTTCTGGACACACAATTCCGTTGAGCGAGGATCCACTCAACGCGCGAACGGTCAAAATTACCAAAGAAAGTTAATAGGTGGGGTGCGCAGGAGGCCAAATTACGAAGCCTAATTATTGTGAGATGCGCAGCACGGTAGTTCTGGTAACGGTATCATCAAGCTCACCGACATAGACCATGAGCACACTATTTCCCGATTCCAGCTTGATCCGCCCTGCCTAGATTTGTCCGTGGTAGCTGCTGTGCCGATTAAGATTTCTTTGCATGGAGCCGAGCATCCTCCCGACATTGGTTGATGCACTCATGGAATCGCTGTCCTACACCCACCTATGGCCCAGTGATAAGCGTTGTTGAGACTGGCAGATATCTTGCCACTTTGAGGACTGGGGATGCTGCAAGCACGAGGAGCCACATTCCGAACAGATTGACTTCGTTCGGCATGAAAATTTGCACTTGGAATTTCCAAGCGGAACCACCAGGCCTTTCGTCGTTGTCATCCCATTTATTTGGCCCTCTTTAAGGCTAAATGCCTTTCGCCTTGCCGACGTGCAGGGGGACAAGAACGAAGGCAGCAAACTGGCTTCGCTGTCGGAGCTATCATCGGTTGAGAAGAAATGTGTGTCAGCAAATGACCGAGTCGGACCCGTCGCCTATCATGATTCTGTGTGAGTGTTCGTTTGTGAAGGGGGACTACTTGGCTGTGGAGTGCTTGCAAAGAACGTGGCCGAGTCAGCCCTTGACAAAGGTGGAACGTAGCGGAGCATGCCGATCTCAAACGGGGTTGTTTGCAACGTGTAGAACAACGGGTGCGGGAAGTCAAAGTTGATGTGGGGAACGAGATGAGGGTACATCGGGCCAGTTGCCTCGGTTCAGAACCCTGACGTGAACGACAGCTGACGATGGGCATGCATTGGTTTTTGACCAACCCTTCGGAAAGGTTTTGGAGCAGAGAACGCACGGCCCCCGGTTTCGATTTCAATGCATGATTTGGAGCTTCAGTCGACGTCATGAGCGCTGAATAACCAAGGGAAGCGGTGCAGTGACAGCCCTTCCATGTTCCCTCATCATCCGTGACGGAATGGTAGCGGAAGTGAACTACTGAGTAAAAGGAAAGAATAGACTCGTTAAACTCATCCACTAATGAATTCAAGGGGCCAGAAAAACTGAGATGGAATTAGATGGGACCGGTTCAGTGCACGATGGAGCTGAGATCGGAAGGCTTCAGCGTTATTGGGCGTACGATTGGACCAGGACTGAAGACTGAATTCGGCCAGTGATGCTCCGAACGACATCAGCCATCGGCAGTCTAGAACCGAACGGGGTAGGAAGGAAGCAGCCTCAGCCCATCGCGAAGATGAGATACGCACGAGGGAAGCGAACGTCCATCGACTGAAGGGAATAGACGAATAGACGAATGAATTAGGCCAACTCCACTATGCTGCAGCTCAGGTAAGACATACAAGCTGACCTCGTTGGTCCGTCCAAAGCAATAAGGCAACCAAACGCTGCAAAGCTCAAATCTGGTCACGACCGAACCAAATCTACTCATACGCTGGGTGCTGAGAGCATGACGACGCCAGAGGGAGTTGTTATAACAAGGGGATCCCCTACAGGGAAATTCACTACGCAGCGGCGACGCATCGCGATCGACCGGAGGCAGGGTCCATGCGCATTTATACATGAAATGTACCTAACGGGTGTGTGAGCAGACCAGCACCAAAAGCAGCACAGCGATGACCCGGACCGAACGTCAGAGCCTCTGAATTCCCAACGAGCCAGTAAACACACGGAGGAGGTGGAAGGGGAAGGTGGTAGGTAACACTTTTGAAGGCACATGGCAGCGATGCATGAGTGAGGAAAACAAGTCGCCAAAGAAACGAAGGCAAGCAGCCGATGGTTACCCACCATGGGAAGGGGTGAGTAATAGGGACATCTGTCCAGGCCGCTCACCAGCTACTCACCCGTGACAGACTAGGGCCCAGGCAAACAAGCCAAAGGCCTGAGCACGGGCCCAGGGAGAAGGCAAGAAAGGGGAGGCCAACCCAACTCCTTCCTCCCTACCCCCTCCAGAAAGCGCCCCCTAAGCCCTGATGCCACCAGCGAGGGTCGTTCAGCCACGCAGCTTTCTGAACCTAGGGAACGCTAGGAGCTGGAAAAGGGATGAACCAAGGATGAAAGGAGCAGGAGGCGAAGAAAGAACCTTCGACCCAAACACTAGTCAACAGATTGGTTGCATACTAATATGCAGCCACTGCTATTCGCCGTCATACTGTACTTGATTGCACGATCTGTTTGGCAACAACCACATGATCTAATGTAAAACGATGTTGCGTGACTTGTGTTCTCGGCGTTTGCGGAAGCATAGTTGCTATATAACGTAAACCTGCACCGATAGGTCATAAAAATCGGACTGGCGCTCCAGGTGCTCCCGGCTCTGGAGCCCCCGGACCAGAGGACTTTAGTCCAGTTGCTTGTGCGATTCTCGTGATGCCTCACTCGAGGGGTAGCATGGCAGCGGTCGTGCGCTGTCAACCCATAGGCACTAGTTATCTCTGCATTATTCCCGACTTCTGACTTGACGGACCGTAACTATGATTGAGTCAGGTTGGTCCAGTCCGTCAATGAACCCAGTTTGTCTTGTCCATGCCATTTCGATGCGTTTCGTCTGCTGAGCCAATATCCCTAGTGCATGGGGCAGAGACGCTGCAGGAAGTACTCCATCATTTTGGCAATGGAAATGCCATCGGCTGCCTCCAGGTGCTCGCGGCCTAGCACAACGTGCAATTGTGGGTCCTATCTCTTGCCCTCCTGTCATCGTATCTCACAAATATTATGTAGGCACGCAACATAGCCGAAGGGGCCGATATCATCATGGTCAAGGCAGCGTTACCTTGATGTTCTCTCCCAAGCTCGTGATCGGCTCGCCCCTTACCATCCCCTCGCGGCATACCAGGTCTACGGAGAGTATGCTATTATTGTGGCGGGTGCGCGTGCTGGGTGTACGGTTTAAAAACGATGGAAAGTGTGAATTGTATAGTTCGGGAGGTTGGTCGGTAGAATTTTTAAGCCGTTCGCGCTAGCATTCTTACTGCGTTTCTGATAGACTAGCTAGGCTCCTAATTACACGGAAACACGGTCCTTAGTAGGTCATGTCAATGTTAACGTCAAGTTATTGGCCTACGTTGTTGAGGGTGTGGCATAGCGTTACCGCTTATCCCAATTATCATGTTTGTGCGCTGCTCGGCCAGCGCTTCGCTTATAGAGCGGAAATTTTCTTGTTTAGGTCCATAGTTCATGTACAATGAAATAGAGGTGAGATATCTTTCTTGTTAAATGCCTCCATGAAGCCCAGCGCTTTCACGCTAGGTAGTCATTAACATTAAATATAGTTCACGTACACCGGACCTAAAATTCTAATAACTAGTAGCCCGAACGACGTCTCTAGCTTCGGAACGAAGATCCTCTAATTCGTTGGATACAGTTCTTATTGGCAAGACGTGAGAGAAAATCCCTCGTTTACTTCTGCATGCCGGCACGGTTCATGACGTGTGTTCCGAATACGAGGGAAATTATGATACCGAAGGCCCATTGCACTGCCATCAGACTGGCATTCGAGTTGGCACCGAGGCGAAGAAAAATGGGCAGAAATCTTTCTTCCTATATATATCTCCCCTGCGAAACTGAGGTGAGAGCCGCTGCCCTCACAGAACGTTCATATTCGTAAGTTGTGTTAACACTTAGGGCGCAATTATCACAAATGGCGAAAATAAAATTACGTGTATCCGGAGGGGTAATTAGGTAGATATAGGTTGTTGGGCACATGTAATGATATTAACTTGTGGTACTGGGACGGGCTGCAAGTGCAACGTGATGCTATGCATACGGGGGAAACTATTGCATTGATGCGGTAGATACAGAGGCTTGTTATAGCTGATGGCAGTTTCCGAGTTTACCAAAACGAATCAAGAGTGACAAACTGGTTACATTTACTATATGTGTCAAAGAAGGGTGATGTGCTGTGGTTGTGTCCACTGTACATTGAATGTGTGTCGGTTCAATCATGTGTGATGGACCTAATGTCATCCTGCAGAATGCCCGTCAGCCTCGCCGCCGTCGTTTCGAGATACAAATTGACCAAACCAACCGGGACACCTGACTTGGATAGCCGATCGAGAGTGTCGTACGCACTCTGGCGCGACGCTGAGTAACGGCTCTGGCGGGTGCCATGGAGGCCAGAAATGAGTGAGCCCCCACCATCCAGACGCGCTCGCTTCGTTGAGGGTCCCGCCGTCGCCGAATCGTCTTCTTTCTTCCGCTTCTGAAAGGCTGCGCATACCGCCTTTGCTAAGCCCGCAACATCGTGGCGTGGAAAAACTTGCAAGAGGACTTCTATCTCATCCTCGAGGTCTGATTCAAGAGCCATTGCGCTCTCCTGGAAACCTTCTGGGTTGTGCTTCGCCACCGAGTTCGCGGGGGGGAGCCCTGTCACAGCGGCGGGGGTGAGGGAATTGACACCCGCATGGGCATGAACGTTCGTGAAAGAAAGTGGAATGGTGCCTTACCTTGCTGCTCAGATGTCTGGGCTTCACTCGTCATCACCGAGCTCGAGAGGGGAGCGGGAGAAAGACTAGCAGTGGGTTCGGGCTCGGCAACAGGGGGAGGGGAGGGGAGGGGCTCTGTTTCATTCGCGGGACCCGAATGGGCGACCGTTTCTCCTGAATACACCGCAGCATGAGTCTACACGGTCATGGGAGAGAGAGGAGACACGCTTACGTCCAGCAGTCCAGGGGACGATCCTGATGTGGTCGCGGGATCCTGGGTCTACCAAATCATTCGAATTCGACGCTCTGAGAAGAAGTTCCGCATGGTAGGGGATCCTAACAACGACGATAGCCTTTAAATTCGCGCGTGTCGAGATGTGATGATCGTGGCGATCGTCAACAACGGCTTCGATCGTTATGTCTCTGATGATTGGGTCAGCCTTGGGATGACGTACGGTTTCTTGCCTCCTACTTTGGGTTTTCTGTCCCCAGGCGACGCATCAATGTCTCCTGCAAGGCATTTTCGGAGCCCATCCGAAATCCACGGAACGATACCGCGAGTCTGATGTTCTTATGAGCGGGCATGGTTCGGTTTGTGCAGACAGGTAGTGTACTGTGATGAACTGTGGTGAATTGGATCGTGGGGGAAAGCTCTGGTGTGTTCAGGGGATTATATGTAGTTCGAGATGCCATACGTCATCATCTTGGATTTCATTTTACTCAGTGCACGGAGGTGTAGTACGGAGGTGTAGTTGCCCAGTTGAATGCCTGAAAACAAGTATTTACATGCACAAATCTGCCGGCCAACCATGACTGTCCAGTCGAGATCGTTGTTCGTAGTCGCTATATCATCAGTTAGAGCGCAGAGCTGGCTACCACTCTCGTACCGCAGCGGCTCAATAGCCTCCATCACCTCGTCTGTCGAGCCCTTGAAAGACACCAGAGCACCGGCACTTGTCCTTCTCCGTCCGCGTCGGATTCACTTTAGCCATATATGGATGGAGACGTGGTGAAATGACGCACCTGTCAGTATACGTCATTGACCATTTCCCTTCGCAAGATTACGTCAATGACAAGAATAGGAATATCATCACATCCACGCCGATGTACAATTCTTGCGCGCTATGATAATTGCGAGGCATCCATTCTGCTAGTACAAGGTTTCAACTGTCCGCGGGGGTCAAAATCTCATGTCAGCAAGCATTTGATAATGTCTATATATCGATCTAGGATCGTATTCCCGTTTCATACTAGTCATTCCGATTATTCATTCTTCCACCTAGCTATCCACCCATTCGGAAACCAATCCCCCAGTGCATTTCCATTCGGCCATTCCTCTCTACCGGGTAGGGCTGCACGGACCTGCACGACAACACCAAATTTGAGTGGTGATAGTCACACAGCTGTCGAATAGCGAATGCCCCTCATTTTTCATAGCCAAAGGTATCAATTGCTCCCATGCTCCTCCAAAGGCGTATCGATTCCACAATTGAATATCAAACTCCGCGGCATCCGGATATCCGGGTCGTTCGAACACTCGCCGAGAGGGACGACCGGAAGATTTGCTCCTTCATTCAGCCTATATAGAAGACTGTCAGGCGTCCAATCACCTATCGTCCAACGGGCCTCGTCTCTATCCCAGAAGAATGCTGTTTGGCGCTACATTTAACAGCTGTTCCACGAGTAATCATATTCGACTTGAACCATTTGAACATCCCCAGCTTGACCAAAGTGCAAGAGAATCCTCTATACGCCGTCTGAAGCCTGGATCTGAGTGACCTTCAACCTTCCAAAGCCAGGAGAATCCGATAATTGTCTGGGTAGAGGAAGGAAGTCCAGGACCGAGTCATCGTTGCTCGCGGCTAGGCAGACTCATGCGAGGGCCATAAACAATGTTGAATTTTAGAAGCGACTAAAGAATGCTGTTTTTTTGTTCTGCTTCCACAGGCTTGTGGGGATTGATTCGAGTCAACACGGGCGCTAAATACGTGGGTGAGCTCACTGGTCGTCCCAACCCTCCCCCAACTCATTGCCCTTAGACAACGTCATTCGATTTTGGTAAACATCTTAATTCAACGATCGGCTCACCATCGCAGTTCATGGGTACACCCTGCTCGGTCATGAGTCGATGGGCTCGCGAAATAATCGACGGGTCTGCCACCATGAGATCGTCACACTCCTGGATGTCCTGCAGTCATCGGGTGGAACGGCGCTATGATGCATGGCTGATGGGTCTAATCCTAGTTTCTCGGTGGTAGGCAGGCCTGAAAGAGGAAGAGATTTCGAAAATAGCTCAACTTGAAGATCCAGATCGTTCAAAGTCAACAGCGGAAAGTTCGAGTCCAGATTCTTCATAAAAAGCGTCAGCTCATACATAGATGTGCCTCGAGCCGCACTGGAATTCACTGAATCAGTGTTGTTGAAGTGTTTCAGTCCACGCCAACCAACCTTCCGCCGTGAAAACATGTCGTCAAGATTCAAAAGCATGCCGAAAACGATAACAGTATACGCTCTGCATGTGTCATCATGAGAAAGGACTATTTTCCCGAAGATCGATTCATGCAGCATGCCGTGAATTGAATTCGAATTGCCACAGGTCCTCTCGTTTGAATGAATCTCCAAGGCCTCCATGCCAGGCATGGCTTCATTTCCTCACAGCGTTGCTACACAAACCGTCCCAGGCAAACTTGTAGCGGGAAGTGCCCTGGTTTGCCACTCCAACACGGTTCATGTATCGTTGATGTGTGTTCCAAATTGTACCTACTGTCCTCCCTCCAATTACGCGCAGCGTCCTAAGCGGGCCCAACCCAATCTCAGTACACGCTAACTACCCTGATCCCTGTCTGTGTGCTGCATTCTTTGATGTTGGAACAACTTTGACACGCGATGTGCGGCTGACATTGCTCCAAGTTCGGGAACAGCATACTCTCCAGTAAGCTTCCCAAGAACGAGGCAACTAGACAGGTGGGTGGTCCCCATGAGTTGCCGAAGCGCTGCTCAATGGCCATGTGTTGATAGATTTCATATTAAATTGTATGGACATCAGCTCAACTGCATAACAGCGAACGCGTATCCACCAATAATAGCTAGCCCCTTATTTCGTAGCTGAGATCAACTGGCAAGACTACGAAGGGTGAGATCATTCAGAAGCCCCTCTGGAGCATGGACAGCCGTAACAGTGCAAACATTCCACCGAGGGAAGCGTCTCTGGAACCAGACGCGTTGCGGTCTGCTTGGTAGTCAACATGCGCTAGAAGTTCAGCAAGACCATGAGCATACCCAGTGCGGAGCAAACAAACTGTCGTGTCTGCCGGGGGCTGAGTATCGGCTCGCTCAACTCTCCTGTTTTAGAAGTCCTCTAACAGGAATGAAATGGATCTGACAAAAGAAATATCTTAATGAAGCAAACTCCCGCACCGATCAAGGTAAATGTAATCAAACCAAAAGGAATATCTCAACAAAGTGAACAGTCGCACCCAGGCTCGTACCCAGTCGGAGTCGGTCGTAGAGTAACATGCAATTTGCTCTTTTCGCGCAAAAAAAAAAGCAAACCACATATTATTGCGCATCCACGATCGACTCCGACTGGGTACGAGTCTGTGTCGCACCTGTGAAAGAATGGGTCCAAAAGGAATCTCTTGACGGAGCGAACCCCTGCACCTGTCAAGGTAAGAACAAGGCAACCAGACGGGTGGTCCCTCACGAGTTGCCGAAGCGCTGCTCAATGGCCATGTGTTGATAGATTTCATATTAAATTGTATGGAGATCAGCTCAACTGCATAACAGCGAACGCGCATCCACCAATAATAGCTAGCCCCTTATTTCGTAGCTGAGATCAACTGGCAAGACTACGAAGGGTGAGATCATTCAGAAGCCCCTCTGGTGCATGGACAGCCGTACCAGTGCAAACACTCCGCCGAGGGAGGTGTCTCTAGAACCAGACGCGTTGCGATCTGCTTGGTAGTCAACATATCCCAGAGGTTCAGCAAGACCATGAGCATACCCAGCGCGGAGCAAACAAACTGTCGTGTCTACCGGGGGCTGAGTATTGGCTCGCTCAACTCTTTTGTTCTTGTAAGTCCTTTAGCACCAAGACCTTGTACATGCAATTTGCCGAACCCAAAGGTTGAGTGAAACACGTCCACATGAGCCATTTTCGCACTTTCGCGAAAGGTATGCACCATTCTGCAGTCAGTCAGTCGTAGTTTCACTGAGTTCGAATGTGTGTGGAACAACTTAACTGTGAACGCAGTGACTGCCATCAGTTCCTACTACTAATTCAAGTCTATCTACCACATGTTGAATGGCATTCTTTGCAATAATCCCCCCGTATGCATCATATCACGTTGCACTTGCGACCCGTCCATAACGTCCAAGCACCATAGGTTATATGTTTGCAGATATATTTTATTTTATTTCGTTATTGCGTTTGCGCTTTAAGTGCTGCCTGCGATTGAGCGCTGAGGATTAGGCTAATTATTGGCTACACACGTAATTCTGCGACACATGTATGTAACATATGAATATGAACGTTGTGTGGACGAGGACGATGAAAACAGTGGCTCTCACCCCAGTCTCGTAGAGGAGATATATCTGAGGGAAGGTAAGCCCAAAAATTCTCCACTTTATCGCTCAGCGGCCAGGCTATCGAGCAAAGGATAAAGATTAAATTTCTGCCTATCATTCCTTTCCTCATTGCCACTCGGATGCCAAGATTATCGTTAATATTCCTAATATTCCAACGTCATCGACGTCCTGTGCAAGTCTCATGGAAGTACAGTGAGTCTTGATTTCCCTCCGCAAGTGCAACGTGATATGATGCATACGGGGGCAAAGAATGGCATTCAACATGTGGTAGATAGGCTTAAATTAGTAGTAGGGACTGGTGGCAATCACTGCGTTCATAGTTAAGTTGTTCCACGTACATTCGAACTCAGTGAAACCACGACTGACTGACTGCAGAATGGTGCATACCTTTCGCGAAAGTGCGAAAATGGCTCATGTGGACGTGTTTCACTCAACCTTTGGGTTCGGCAAATTGCATGTACAAGGTCTTGGTGCTAAAGGACTTACAAGAACAAAAGAGTTGAGCGAGCCAATATTCAGCCCCTGGCAGACACGACAGTTTGTTTGCTCCGCGCTGGGTATGCTCATGGTCTTGCTGAACCTCTGGGATATGTTGACTACCAAGCAGATCGCAACGCGTCTGGTTCTAGAGACACCTCCCTCGGTGGAGTGTTTGCACTGGTATGGCTGTTCATGCACCAGAGGGGCTTCTGAATGATCTCACCCTTCGTAGTCTTGCCAGTTGATCTCAGCTACGAAATAAGGGGCTAGCTATTATTGGTGGATGCGCGTTCGCTGTTATGCAGTTGAGCTGATGTCCATACAATTTAATATGAAATCTATCAACACATGGCCGTTGAGCAGCGCTTCGGCAACTCGTGAGGGACCACCCGTCTGGTTGCCTTGTTCTTACCTTGACAGGTGCAGGGGTTCGCTCTGTCAAGAGATTCCTTTCGGACCCATTCTTTCACAGCTGCAACACAGACTCGTACCCAGTCGGAGTTGATCGTGGACGCGCAATAATATGTGGTTTGCTTTTTTTTTTGCGCGAAAAGAGCAAATTGCATGTTACTCCACGACCGACTCCGACTGGGTACGAGCCTGGGTGCGACTGTTCACTTTGTTGAGATATTCCTTTTGGTTTGATTACATTTACCTTGATGGGTGCGGGAGTTTGCTCCATTGAGAAATTCCTTTTGCTAGATCTATTTCATTCCTGTTAGAGGACTTCTCAAGCAGGAGAGTTGAGCGAGCCAATACTCAGCCCCCGGCAGACACGACAGTTTGTTTGCTCCGCACTGGGTATGCTCATGGTCTTGCTGAACTTCTAGCGCATGTTGACTACCAAGCAGACCGCAACGCGTCTGGTTCCAGAGACGCTTCCCTCGGTGGAATGTTTGCACTGTTACGGCTGTCCATGCTCCAGAGGGGCTTCTGAATGATCTCACCCTTCGTAGTCTTGCCAGTTGATCTCAGCTACGAAATAAGGGGCTAGCTATTATTGGTGGATACGCGTTCGCTGTTATGCAGTTGAGCTGATGTCCATACAATTTAATATGAAATCTATCAACACATGGCCATTGAGCAGCGCTTCGGCAACTCATGGGGACCACCCACCTGTCTAGTTGCCTCGTTCTTGGGAAGCTTACTGGAGAGTATGCTGTTCCCGAACTTGGAGCAATGTCAGCCGCACATCGCGTGTCAAAGTTGCTCCAACATCGAAGAATGCAGCACACAGACAGGGATCAGGGTAGTTAGCGTGTACTGAGATTGGGTTGGGCCCGCTTAGGACGCTGCGCGTAATTAGAGGGGGGACAGTAGGTACAATTTGGAACACACATCAACAATATATGAACCGTGTTGGCATGAGTGGCAAACCAGGGCACTTCCCAGGGGCTACAAGTTAATTTGCCTGGGATAGTTTGCGTAGCAAGGAGATGAAGCCATGTCTGACATGTGAGGCCTGTTTGCCAGCATGGAGTTGGGGGTTCATTCAAACGAGACTGGGGCCAAGGCTGGTTCATCTACACACCAACGCATCTCAACTGGATTCCCTACACAGACAGTGGCAAGCTAGCGATCTGAGCTTGCTCCTTGACTGAGCCTAAGCCGCTCATACTCCAACACAATCTGCGTTCCTTAGGCAAATTATTAGGACACTTTACCCAGGAAGTTGTTATTCTTCACTTCACCCAGATAATAAAGGCCATCGTGAATACATTATGGGGCTCCTATGAGTGTTACCTCCTCGACATTGCCAAAGGAGATATAAATATGAGGCAATTACGGCGCTCACGAAGGATCCCGAACCCCAAGAAACCATAATGAGTTTCGGCGCGGTGACTTGGCCCCCGAATTCATCATCCAGATACTCACTGAAAATAGCCTAATTTTTCCCAGTCAGTTACTTTGACGAGCTTCCACGGATCTCTATCTACTCGTGGCCACCTGCCGACGGATCTACGCTTTGGGGTGAATTCGACGTATCATTTTCCGTCGACCTGACGTACCGGGTTTTTGATGTCAGGGGTCATCGGTCGGAAATGCGGAAATGGCTTCACTTCTTCGAGGACTTGGGCGTCATTGCTTTCTTTGTTGCTCTCAGTGATTATGACCAGGTCCGTAGGGAATTAGTCCTTCCTTGACGTCATGCGTGTTGTTCGCCTGAAACCTGACCCCCACCCAGAGTCGAATGGCTGAATCGGTGGCTCTCGATATGTAACTCCAGATGGCTCTCCAGTTCCTCAATGGCTAGCCTGCTGCTCTCTTTCTGCACACCCATAGAGATTCTTGCTCGATCCAATACCTCAATAAGATCGATCTCTTGGTGGACAAAATCGATTCAAAACCTCTTAGTTTATACGTGAAGGACTACCGGGGCGCCTGTGGTTATTTTCGGAAGCTTTTTGTATCTATCGATCCCCGAACAAACGGGTGTTCACACATTTTACAAGTGACACCAACACGAAATGGGTTAAATGTACGCCCCAATCAGTTGCAAGTTGAAAGCTGACGGTTGATCAGCCCCATTCCTTATTCCCAGTTCCCCTAGCTGTGATACACAATGTAATAATGGAAGCTCACTTGGCTGCTCTGGAGTGCCAGGAGTGTGTGAATCAACAAATATGAATTTAGGAGCACCAGCAGTGCAGGAATCATGAGTATGGATCAAGCGGAATCAGGAGAACTGGGAAATCTGTCCCTGGCCCCAAAGTGATACATACAGTCAAGAGCTTGATTACAAAGTGGGCGGATTAAGAGACCTAGAATGGATCAGTTGGTCTGCCTGCTTCAGGTGGACCGAGCCAACCGGATCCATTTGAACCACCCAATTCCGATCAAGGGGATTTGCTGATTTACGACCGACAACCTCCACCCACTGAGCGCTCACAAAGTGTTTAATCCGCGAGTGTCCCACCAGAGGGCAAGATAGGGATGGACTGGACATGTCCTAGTACCGCAGGGATGGCCAGCAGATTTGTGTACATAAACACTTGGGCTAGTCATTCTTCTACTTTAGGCATTCAACTCCGCGCACACCGAGTAAAATGAAATCCATATGGCATTCGAAGTATCTAGAGCTACGTGAAATTCCCTGAATACCTCTGGCTGAACTCAAGCCTTCCCCCACTACCCTTCAATTCACCACAGTCCACCACCCAAACTATGTCCACTCAACGAAACATCGGAGTCGCGGCTTCATATTATGGATTTTGGGCTGGCACCGGAGATGCATTGCAGGAAACATCGATGCATCGCCTAGGTACAAAACCGTACATCGCCCCAAGCAGCAGTGTTTCATTGGCCTAGCACATGTGCAGGTAGTGCTCCAAGAAGTGAAAAGCAGAAGAAGGGAAATGTCAACCATTCTTCACGCCTGATGATCGAAGCCGTCATTGACGATCCACACACATCTCAACCTGAAGGCTATCGGGGTCACGGGAGTCACTTATCATGCTCAAATGCTTAAGGTGTTGAGCGAGCAACTTCATGGACCCTAAATCTCGCAATCCCATCAGGATCATCCTATGGACTGGGGGACGGAACCATGTCCCCTCTCTCTCCCAAGACTTTGAACATGTGAACACTCATGCTTCGATGTATTCAGGGGGAAAAATTACCCATTCGGTTCCCGCAAATGTAACAGCACCCCACCCCAGGGAGGCTGTTGGTTCTCGCGATCCTAAATGGTAAATCATTGACCCTTCCACCTACTAGCCTTGTTCCCGCTCCCCTCCTGAACTCAGTGATGATAAGTAACGCTCGGACGTTTGAGCAGGAGGGTAAGGCACCATCCGTCATTCTTTAATGTGCATACTGGTGTCCATTCCTTCGCCAACTCAGCTTTCAGCACTGAGAATCATACCGCCCCCAGCGCTGTGACCGGATTCCCCCCGTGAAGTATGGAGACACATTCAACGAGGGGGGTTGGAAACGCACCGCAGGGGCGGAAGGACGCTCCGCATTGAGTCCCTGATCAGCGACAGAAATATACCAGCAGCTACCTTATATAACGTCCAGCGAAGTGGAGGAACGTCACAAGCGGCACACGAATCGCCGAAAATTAGCCTTGTCAGCAAGCATTGGCAATAGGTGAGGTGGCCTACGAGACCGCAAATGTTAATCAATTTCAGAGTGGCGACAAGAAGGGGCTTACCGCAGGAGAACAGTGACGCCGCTAATAATGCCCGTACCCAGAGGCGCCGCAGCACCACATTGAGCCTAGCGGTAGCGCCAGTTGCGGGGGTCTGCGGTCTTCACGTCAAATTGAAAGTCGCCGAAAGGTCTTACCGTGGCACCATCCCGACCAGCGGTAAGAGCCTGAAACCGATACCGTTTCGGGGCGCAAGATCCCTTCAACCGCAACCTACAAAGGGGGATCAGGGGAAGAAAGACGATTGCAGAGTAGAGTAGATTTGACGTCATCAGCAGCCGCAATACGTCCGGCAGAGAGTACCTGGTTTATGACGGTAGGTTATTAACGGTCGAGGAGCACTGAAAGTGTAAAACCTACAGTGGTGGTGGTGGGGCTCCAACCGCGGCGTCGAGGTTGGCCTAAGATACGGAGTCAGACACACAGGGTGGGAGTGCAGAACCAACATACATGGAGGCTGTCGGCAGCACCACTCTGAGGCTTATTGGCTGGGCAGGCTGGATGCTCGGGTCCACCTGAGATATGAGGATTCAGCCAACCTTGCAGCAAAGGGCAGAATAGAATATCTGATAGAGAGGTTTACCTACGTTGACAGGAGCGTCTGATCCAGTGACATCGAGCGAGGTGACATTACGGCGACGCTGAAGGAGAGTACGACGAAATCATTAGTGGTGAAGAAACTGCGAAAATTATAAGCGAAAGCATCTGGGACCCATAGCTGAATGCACCGGCTCTAATATTGAGGAGAGAGGGGCAAAGATAGACAAGTTTTGGAATAGCGAAGCGTAGGAAAGGGTTGCGACTTACAAGCTGTTGCTAAGTTAAAAATATCCTGGGCAATTTACACAAAGGGTCGAACAAGACGGTTCATCAGTGACATCAAGGGTATCGGGGAGGGATGACGCGTCGAAACACGCAATCGAACATAGAAGAGGCATGTTGGGGTTTAATATTTCTTACTTTAGCGTCGTCAGTCGCGTTGAGAGGAGTGGTAGCTTTCGTTACAGCGGGAGTGTCTGCTCCCAAAGGAGTAGGCGCAGCCTGAACGGAAGGCGCAGTGAGGACAGTGAGGAAAGTAGCAGAAACCATGGTGCTGTAATAATAAGACTGGTTAGTGTGTGTGCGAATAGGCATTGGAGATGAAAACGAGAAAGAGGTGGAAGAGGGGGGGACAGTGCAGATACTTATATTTCAACAGTAAATCTAGAAGTAGGGGTCCTCTTCGGTTTTGTGGACCTCTTCTGTAGTTTTCAGGCGAGCCCTGGTTATTCATTTGAACAGTGTGTGTGAGGGTCCGGATCCGGCGCAAGGCGACAAGGCGGAGAAGATCATCCAGATCCAGATGACGGAGACCGAACAGCAACGGCATGAGCTGAGGCTTCCATATTTCGCTCGTCCTAGAGCCTTTCCGAATTGTCTGCTACAGATCGGTAATCGATCAGCACCTCTGCTTATTACGAAGTCATAGAGGTTGGAGCCCTGCCTACCTCTGCGCCTTAAAGGGGTTCAGCTGTTAGCTATATTGGATCCAATTAGCTCTATTGTTGGTTTCTCTGAAGAAAGCTGTGGCTTGGAACGTTCCTCGCCAACTTCCTCAGAGGACCCAAAGGGTGTCAAATTCTATCATGCAACGACGAAAGAGTTCATTGCGGGGGATCCGATTGGTAACGAGAATGACAGAGTATTCTTTATCAATGATGTGAACAAGTATTTCCTCGGACCACGGCTCCTCCGATTTTTCAATAACAGTTGTGAGCGGGATGTGTTTGGGGAGCCTGCCATTCTTCTCCCTTTAGGAGACAAACGAAAATGGGACGATTTTATGGAGAGAGAACTTCATAGCCCCCAGCATCTCCGATATACTCGTCCTCGTCGACATTTATTGAAACACTTGGCGGCGCGCTCCTTCCATTTCTCGATAATGGTGAGCTGGGTTAATGCCCAACCACTAGTCCTGATTTAGGAAATGAAAGAAAGCCTTCCTTGTGCGAAATTGGGCAACAATGTTTCTGGCTCATGTACATAATACCTGCAGAATTTCGTACATTTACATGGAACCTATTGATATCGCGCGTATTTTAACGATGCTGATGTCATTTTCTGATAGAATTGCGATTCATTCAAGCTCCGAGAGAAGCTCAAGAAGAATCGCGCATAATTCCAATTTCGGAACAGTCATCTTCAACTACCGAATCGTCGCTTGCTTCCCCCAACCCTATCACCTTCTTACGAACTGTACGGCCACCCCTCCGATTTGGTCCGAGTCTTCGCCATTTTCAATTCTGGACACAAAAATCCCGTTGAGTGAGAATTTACTCAATGCTCGAACGGTCATGGAAGCAAAGTTGCCAAAGAAGGTTGACAGATGGCCAATTACGATGCCCAATTCAATCATCGCAACAGTGTTGTGACATCATACATGTGTGGCACTTCTCCCCCTATGGTCATTATGTAGCCCTCGGTTTTGGTAACGGTATCATCGAACTCACCAACGCACCATTTCCCTGATTCCAGCTCGATCCACCCCCCATTGAATCTTCTCATGGCAGCCACTGTGTCGTTACCGTGGATTACATTGGTTTCAGACGACACGCACGTTCAGCTCCTCGTTTCCACTGTCCCGACCCTTCCATTTTCAGAGTTCGTATTTCATATATTCCTGATCCCATTTACTCGACTCATTCCCTTGGCTGAAGCACACGCGATAAACATGCATCATTCCGAAGTGGACGCAGAGCATCACCTAGATGGGTCCTGGACCAAGCATGCACGAAGACCTCAGTGTCTATTCACCTGTTGCCGGAAGAATCCCGCTATTGTGCACCGGAAACGTGAGTGAGCTACCAATATGGTCCAACTGCAGAACGCAATTCTCTGCTGCGGTGATCTTAGGGTGGCGACAACCGTCTGAGAGCTTGGGATGGTGATCGAGCGCCGTTCGATGCTACGAATCTGTACCGCCTTCGACGATCCAGCAAGGATGGGACTCCAAGGCGGGCTGACGGCTCCAATTGTCGTCGATATTAGTCAAGTCGTCTGGGATGTCCGCGCTCGTTGTCACCCCTAACCATGCTATGGTCCCCGTGAGTCTTGGTATCCCCCAACGGCCCCTTTCCTGCTGGGACATTGATGTCAGAGGTATGATAACATGACACTCATTCCGACTACCCGCATGTTCAGCCCCTCTTTTCTCCTTCTAGCCCTTCCACTCCATCCTTCCACCCGAACCCTTTGCTAGCCATTCCTCGTCATCGCGCGCTTGGGTTTCCTCCCGGAGCAATCTTGGCACTTTCGATGGAGTCAGCGCTTTCACTTAGTCGACCGAGTCGGGCGAGTTCACTGCGCGTTACAGCGTTACGAATGTCAGTTCTTTGGGTTATGATTCAGCAGACATGCACCTTTTCGGACCGGCAGCGTACACAACTCAGATGCGTCCCATTTTACGGCCTCCCGCCAAGCACGCACAAAGACCTCGGCGTCTATTCCTCTGTTGCAGGGAGAACCCGATGGGAAACATAAGCGAGGGGACTGTCTTCATGCAATACTCGCCGGTTAACTCCAGGGTGGGTCGCGCCAACCATCTGGAAGCCCCGTACGGCGACCGAGTGCCATTTAATGCTACGAATCACAAATATCTGTCGCCTTTGGTCCAGCAAGGATGGGACTCAATCTTTGCTCCAAGGCCGGATGACGGCTCCAATTGTTGTCGAAATCAGCAAGTCATTTAGGACGTCCGCGGTCGCTGCGATTCTTCCCTCCCGAGCGTTTTTCTGACATTGCATTATGTATTGTCCTTCAATTTGTACTTACATCACTGCGCTTGACATTAATGATAACGAATTGGTGGTGAAAGGGAACAACATCTTCTAGCTCTGAAGTCGGATGGCGAGGGCACCACCACCCCGAGCAAGGACCCGGACGCAATGGCATAGCTCGCACATATTCACATCAAAATTTCCTGGAATGAATCAGTTGAACCAAGCATCCTCCCGACTCATGGAATCCCCATCCGACATCCACCTATGGCGGACATCTTGTCACTTTGAGGACTGGGGATGCTGCGAGCACGAGGAGCCGCATTCCGAACAGATCGTCTTCGTCCGGCATGAGGATCTACACTTGAAATTTTTCTTGAGCGGAACTAGCAGGCCGTTCATCGTTGTCATCCTGTTCATTCGACCCTCTGTAAGGCCAAATACATTCCGGCTACGTTCGATGCTCTGGATAGATTCAGACAGTAATAGAAAGTGTCAAACTTTCTAGGTTGGAAGCAGAGTGGGTTGGCGGAAAGAAGAGACAAATCGCCTTTTGAACACTGCGGGACGCTTTCGGGTTGGTTCTGAGGAAGAAGCGGGAGAGCTAGTGACAGGAAGGGATGGACGGACGTCCAATGTGTTAAAGAGTAACAACCCGATGGAGCTATGTTGGCGCAATCACGCGGAGACACTGGAGTGACAGGACTCCAGATGAGCGGCAGAAACAGGGGGAATCGATGAAGCACAATTTCTAGGTAGGGGAGGGGCTGACAAGAAGTCCATTGTGGTGCTGTCTGAGAGCGCGCAGTCTGGTCGAGATATCCTGTGCGGATGGGGCTTCGCCATCACTCGAAGTATCAAATAACATCTTCCACCCACCCATTCTCAAGGAGGGAAGACTAGGTGATTCATGTTTTTAGAACGACAGCGAAATAGAATACCCCCGCTGCTTGGATACCCGGAGGTGCGAGGTCGCCGATTAGAGTTAGAAGCGGACGTTACGGAGAGTAGTCCGGCAGTGATAGAGTCTTGAAGCGCAAGATTGAAATATTATTTTTGCACATCAATGCTATGTATCACTTGGCCAGAACCCGACAAAATAGTGAATGCCCAGTAAGTAATTGCTGCTGAAATTCCGTCCAAGTTTGTGTCGGCGTCACACAAAGACAGCCCACCATCAATAGCTTGGATCCTTATGCGAGGGGCGAAAAGGTCATTTAGAGCTGTTCTGGTATTCTGGTACGACTCAGAGCATTGGAATCGAAGGGACCAGGTTGAAGCATATTGCTGAAGAGCGAATAACCGAGAGGAGTGACAAGGCGGACACCAGACGAGACTCTGATGTTCGTGTGTGCGCTGTGGCAGGAAACAACAAGGCCGCGTTTGGTGGTCCGAACCAAATAACCGTCAACGACGGAGACCATGTCAAAAAATCGCTGGAAAAATACTCAAGAGAGCGTACTAAACACGGGTGGGTTTTTTGGAGTCTATTATCGACCCTAATACTTTCGGTAGCGTAGTTTACAATCCATCGCCCACAGAAGGGGACACTTGAATATTTGTAGTCCTGATTTGGCAGTGGTTAGGACAGTACTGCCTTATATGTCGGTGGTTGAGGGCGGTTCGACTCTCCTCTCTGCCCACAACACCCTCTGTTGCTGATACACGATGTTCGATCGATTTAAGTTTTCTAAAAGAGGACACTCTCCTGCGCCTCCCGGTGGCCCATCGCGACCCTCGACCTCTGTTCGCGACCTCCAGATCACTACTGCTCCAACTGAAAGTGATGCAACAACTAGCACAGATCGCGGCGGATCTGATAGACCCCGTCTTAAGTCTCTTACTACTACTAGCGATAGTTCTCGAGGCCGGGGGCAGCGGTGGTCTGTTCGGCACACTATAGCCAAGTTGTTGAGCAGAAGTCCCAGTCCCAATCCCACTCATGTCGACCAATCGAAATCCTCCAATCCCAGACAATCTGATCCATCTATGCCTGATCCTCCATCCCCTATTCTATCGCCATTTCCCGTTCTCCCTGAGGGGGCCATTGATATCAGCGAGCGCATCATCCACGGCAACACTGAGACTCCCCACCCACCACCAGGACGCACGGGCATGAACTTAGACACCCCATCGTCAATAGATCGAACACCATCATCTTCGGCCGTCCCTGCTGGTGACGGAAAGAAAACAATCATCGCCACCACAAGGCTCGTCCTCCAGACTGCGGCCTCTGCTCTTAAGTTCGTCCCCATTGCGAATCTTGACCAGATACCAAATATACTCCTATCGTGGCTCCAAGTTTATGAGGTTCGCAGTGCGTCGCGATTTTGCGATCTAATGATAGAACCCCGCGTTTTTATGCAGACCATCGACAACAATGACGAAAATCTCAAAGGATTAGATGATGAAGTCCGAGACGCTCATGAAACGATCTTTAGGCCTCTCCAGTTGTGGACTGGCAAAGTTCCTCCCGAAATAGGTGATCTGATTCAACGATTTAACTCGTATGTGCATTTACTTCATTGTCCACTTGTTCAAATCTCGACTCTCGGTCACAGTGCTCTAGAACAACAATTAAAGCAAATTGAGGCACTCAAACGTCAAAAGCTTGCCAAGAGGGTAATTTTAGCGACTGAGATAACCCAGGAAATAAGCAATGTGAAGTCCTGTATCCATGATGCTGTCTCTCGCTTTACGGTTCGTTTCGTTGGTGTTCAAAGTTCGATGACTGACTCGGGTATACCCCACAGACCGCTGCGACGACTTTGAATCTCCTCCACACAATTCAGTCATCGGTGGACCGTTCGTTGTCGTTCCCTGATTTCACTGTTTAGGATTTAATGATATTTCAGGTGAACTCTCGAAACTCTACAAGGCAAAGGCAGAATACTTTGCAGTGAAAAGCAAGTCGAAATGCCTGGAAAACACGCGTGTCCAGATCCAGGAATCGATACTCGATCATCTGGAGAAACGGGAGCACCGATTTGTCTGGCTTCGTGGTTCTCCAGGTACTGGAAAGACTGCTATATCGATGAGCGTTGCCTCGGCTCTCAAAAAACAAGGTCGCTTGGCTGCATCTTTCTTCTGGGACAAAAATCGGAAGGGAGAGGGACTTGCTTCGATTGAACATTTTCCCTCTACTCTTGCACGTCAGCTCGCCTCGTTTAATGCCGAGTATGAGGGTCTTCTTGTCACTCATCTTCGACAGACCTTGGCACTGAAGGACCTCCCAGATTCCACTCTGGAGGAGCAGATGCGATCCTTGATTGTCGATCTTATGCATAAACTCTTATCTTTGGGTGAGGGGCGCTCCGTCATCATTTTGGATGGATTGGACGAGTGTGGGGATCAGGAGGAACTTGAGTCCTTGATGAAGCTGGTACTTATCCTTGGCGAGCTGCCATCCACATTTGCCGTGTTGGTGAGCTGTCGGCCAGAGTCATCTGTCGTGTCGGCTTGGGTTGGAGGCCGGGCTCAGGGTCTTGTCATCCCATATGAAGATGTGGACATTGTCACTGAGGAAGAGAAGTCCAACACTATCCACCGCATGGTGGAGGAAGGCCTTCGGGGTTGCATCGATAAGTCTTCCTGGAAACCATCAAAAAAGGATATCGATGTATTTGTCTCAGCATGTCGTGGACTGCCTATTATCGCCTCAATCCGAGTCCGGGATGTCTGCATTCGAACTCGTCGTGGTGCAACCCTTCGATCCGAGTTCAAATACTTCCGTGACCTCATCAATGCCCCTGTTGATGTCAATTTGGAGTACCTGCGCATACTTCGCCGTGCCTATATATTCGACTCATCTGGAGTTCCTCCACATGTAGTGGAGAACTATCGCCAAGTGATTGCCACAATCAATGTGGCATTTGAGCCACTGAGTGTGTTTTCCATGTCTCAGCTATTAGGAATTGGCGAGGAAGAGGTCTTAGCCATATTGGATCCAATTAGCTCTATGGTTGATTTCTCTGAAGAAAGTGGCTTGGAACATTCTTTGCAAACTTCCTCCGAAGACCCAAAGGTTGTCAAATTTTATCATGCAACGATGAAAGAGTTCATTGCCAGGGATCCGATTGGTGACGAGAATGACAAAATGTTCTTTATCAAGGATGTGAATAAGTATTTCCTCGGACCACCGCTCCTCCGATTTTTCAATAACAGTTGTGAGCGGGATGTGTTTGGGGAGCCTGCCATTCTCCCTTTAGGAGACAGACGAAAATGGGGTGATTTTGAGGAGAGAATACTTGATCACCCCCAGCATCTCCGATATACTCGTCGACATTTATTAGAACACTTAGACCCCTCACAGCTCTTTGCACAAGGGTCCAATTTGCAGAACGAGTTTAATACATTCCTCATGCAAAACTTGGTTACATATATGCACTTGGTGTTACATGATCCATTGCCTCGCAGTGGATTACCTGATGGATTTGATGAATTCAAGGTAAATAAAATTGTTGTGTTGCCATTATTTTGATAATGATGTCATTTTTAACAGAATTGCGATTCATTCAAACTATTGAAAGAAGCTCGAGAAAAGCAATGCGTGGAGTGTCTGGGTGTGATTACCCCAAACCCATGGGACCTCCATCGATCGACCCTTCCTTTCACCTCATCCTCATCGCCTTTGTACAAACTCTATGGCCACCTCTCTGATCCCGTCCGGATCTTCACCATTTTGTCAGGGTTCAGCACCCTGCCTTAGGGTGCCCCGGACTCCCCACCTACTTTACCCCCTTTTATTCTTTGACTGTTGCCTTGTTGTTGCCTTTGTGTGTTGTGTACACGCGCGCACAGGATAGCGCGGGAACTTTCTGAGCGAGCAGCTCGCCCAGAATGTTCCCATGGGTCACAGCCACAGTTCTGGGCGAGCAACTCGCCCAGAACGTTCCCACACTTACTGGGCACTGCCACCTGGATGTTCCCTCCGGGTCACACTACACAACTCTAGGAGCTGTATAGTTGTGGGCATGTGACCCATTCCTTTATATAGCAACCATGCGGGGAGATGAGACCTTTACCCTTCTTCTCATCTCATGCCCCGCATAGGCAAGTGTATATATTCCCTTTCTTTTACTATACATCTCATGCCCCGCATAGTGTGAGGACAGGCTAGATGGGGGTTGAGGTCAGGGAGCCTCCGAGTCCGAGGCCGGGCCCTGACACATTTCTGGTGAGTTTTCCAGGCACAGAATCCCATTGAGTGAGGATTTACTCAATGCTCGAATGGTTATGGAGGCAAAGCTACCTAATTTGCCAAAGGAGGCAGTTAGTGAGGATGTTAGTGAGGATGTTGAGATCATTGATTATGATGCCCAATTCAACGACCTTGACGTTCGTAATGGTATTGTGACATGTGCGGCACTCTCCCTTGATGGTCGCCATGTAGCGCTTGGTTTTGGTAGCGGTGTCATTGAGCTTGCCGATATCGACCAGCAGCACACGATTTCCCGATTCCAGCTCAATCCACCCAATCATCCAGTCTGGATTGAATTTGTTCATGGCAGCCACCGAGTTGCTGCCAAGGACAATGAGGGAAACATCACCATCCTTAGACACGATATGACCCCCATTAATCTTGGTACTCTTCCCAACGGTTCTCCTGCTATAACTCAAGTATCAGATAATGGATTGTTTATCATACGGGTTCCATGGAACACTGATAGCCCTTGGTACGACAGCCTGACTCTCATATCCATTTTGGGTGACCCGCACATGCAGCACCTTGCACCCCCTTCTTCCAATAATTTCATTTCAACTTCCTACCCTCCTATCTTAGCCTCTGAGTCTTCTACTTCTGTAGTCAACAAAGTGCTCGCTATTCCTCACCGTCGCACGATTGGGTTTTCTCCGGGAGCACGTTATATCGGCATTTTCGATGGCCTCAGGGCTTTCACCTGGTCGACAGATTCGGGTGAGCTCATTGTGGGTTATCATGTGATGGATTTCAATTTTTGGATTATGCATCCTGCTGTTCCTCCCGCCTGCTTTCATCGCATCCCTGATCCTGTATCTGCTCGACCTACCCTTCCTTTGACAGAAGGTGGAGCAGCAGATCAACATCATTCCGAAACAGATGCAGGGCATAACTTGGAAGAGTCCTGGATTAAGTGTCCATTTTATGTTCTCTTGCAAAGTGAGGAGGATGACTGGAACGAGTGGAACAAGAAATGGCAGCAGTTAATAATCCATTCGTCTGCTGCCGGAAGAACCCCATTGTTTGCGACCAATGGACGCGCTGGGCTACCAGTTCTCTTCGATGGCGAATTAGAATTCGTTATTCCCAAGGAGTATCAACCAGCTGTTTCTTTTGGTGCCAAAGGCCTAGGTGCTTGGTATGGTGATCAAGTGCCGTCTGACCCTACCCTTCTGTACAGCCCTCGGTCCAGCAAAGATGGGACTCGAATTCTCTTTCAAGGCTGGCAGACAGCTCCAATTGTTGTTGATCTCAGCCAAGTCATTTAGGATGTTCGCGGTCAATTTCAATGTCTCCCTATTTACCTTGTGCGTTCTATCGGCTGTCAAAAAGGGGGAATCGGAAAGTTTCGCTAGGTTGTTCTTCCATCTTTCTGAACTTCCCTCGGACGAGGTTCCTTTTCCCTAGGGTGCAGTGGGTATAACTACAGCTCGGAAACTTCAACAGATCTACGATCATTCTTTCCTTGCACTGTCGTTTAGTCCCGGGTCGGACAACATGAATGCTCATCAACATTGCGATCAGACTTTTTGATTTATAGTTCCTTGATTCACCTTCACCCCGCATCAGAATGAAGGTATCCTATCTGTCCATTTGAGCCAACCTGTACCGCTAAAAGGCTTGGCCGAAACGAATTACTTCTTTGAACGTAATAAAAAATCGGTATCTCTTTTGCCAATTCCATCGTTTCGCCCGGCGTTCATCCTCAGCTGTTCATAATGTGACCAGGAACTAACGTTGTATAATTAAACGCTAGACATGTGTGTATGCGAGTGTTTAGATATCGGGCCAACGTGTGGGCAACCCCAGCGCGCCTAATCGCGCTGAAACCTGTGGCCAGCGAAAGCTGCAGAATTTGTGCCGCATTCGGATTAATCCCGAGGCAGCACCAGCCTGGGGCGGCCATCGATTCACATACTCCATCCGATCCCCGTAGCCCTACCTACAGAATAACACATCTGCACGATTTGGAATAATTTCATCGAAGGTGGGCAGCCTGGGTCCAATCATCTGCAGCTGGAAGGGCATTGATAGCATGCTACAAGTAATTGCACGCTCACGCATCATCGTACAAGGACACTCACTCGGCAGAGTGTGTAGGTCCACTTGATCGTTCCAATGTGTAATGGTAATTGTGAAAGCATATCTGAATATCTGTAAGTGGGAAATAGTTTGACGAAGGAGGATGAGCAATTTTGGCCTATTGTTATTTTCTACGCCCACCGGAGCCTGCATCCTGTGAGACTAAGGAGCGGAGAGCGAGAGACAAGCAACCTCGATGTGCGCGTCGAATACTCTCGCGACAAATGTCGCTAGTATTTCGATGGGATAATAAATTCCCGGGGTTCGGGACTGCACAGATAGGCTTCTGGCTTACTAGGCTAAAGCAGCCTCTGCAGTAACAAATAGAACGATTATTTAATTAATATCATCTGCTGTACAATGATAGCAGTCAGCTCTCCACTGTGGGAAGTCCTCCCATCAGATTGTACTGGGTTGTACCATCACCTAATCGAAAATGCCGGGAGTCCCTATCAGCTTTTTGGAAATGCTCAGTCGTGTGTAGTACTGGGGCTACCTAGCATCTGGATTCTGACGTACATATTGATACCAAAAGACAATTTCGCACATTAACTTAGAGGATTCCAATCCCTCATTCTCATCATCGCTGAGTTCCACGTCCTCCCTTTTCAAGTCTGTCCAGGTGTGGGAAGTTCCCCGTCAGATTGTACTGGGTTTTACCATCACATTAAAATACTTATCATTTTCTTCGAAATGCGGCAGCTGCTCAGTTGAGTGGAGTACCAGGGCTACCGTAGGCATGTGATTGTTGGGAGCGAGGAGACCATTGGGAAGAGTGGAAGCGCGGGGTGCTAATGTTGGTTTTGGGTTCCTTTCGTCAGTTCGGGAGTTGCCATTTACTTTGGAACTTCGTCTCACCTGTCATCTCTCTTATCTCTGTGTTCCCCCCACACTCATCCAATCGACGCTGGATATCCGTAATATGCGCAGCCATGTTTTTCTTGGCTGGCCCTCTGTTTTCTGCATCCTAATACGTGCTTCAATGCTTACTATTGCCAATCCAGGTTGAGCGATCTTGCACAATCAGCTCATCCGATCTTGGCGATCAAGCCTGCATTGCACCCTTGGGTGGGAGCCAAATGTGTCTCTGCTATTTCGTCTCTTCAATTCTTGAGTCCGACACTGTGGGCCCATGCTCTGTTGCACCATGCACGCATGCCAGTGCTTCCATTCCAATATTCAGGCTTGTACAATTGGACATGTTTCCACACGTTTTGACGTGTTCTTCACTCATTGATGCCAAGATTTTGGGCCAACCGACATGGAAGGACGCAGACCAGATGTGTTATCATGGCATTGCCCAATGCGCTGTTGCAGAGCCTGCACTGGTGCCTAACCACAAAGTGTGCCTACTACTACGCTCTTAACTTTCCTCCCCTTCCCATTTCCTTGCTAACTTTCTACTCCAGGAAACAATCAAACTTCCCAAAAGTGACCGGAATTGGAAGACAATAGCTTCCTCCGCGGCTAAAAGGCGAACTCCCGTTGGTGAGGTACAAAGAGTGCTGGAACCCCGCGGGTCGGGTTTCACGGATGAGCAAACTATGTGTTCCCCACCGTTCACCCCACCGTTCACCCCACCATTCACCTCATCATTTGCTTTGCGATCTACCTGCCATATTTACCCCACTGATTATTGTCATCCGATCTTCGAAACCGACTTGCTCTTGGGACCTACGCCGGCCCCACAGACCCCGAGGGGTTGTCCCTGCAAAGGTGTGTTCAAGCGCGAGGTTTAGCGCGAGGTTTTCTCTGCACCTTCAGTATAGCCTTGGGGTATTATTTTCTCCGACACTCACAATGACAAGCGCCAGTGTATGCGTGTATTACTATATACCAAATGAATATATTATGATTTACTATTAAAACAGGCGGGGTTACCTATCAATAACTTCCAGGGAACCCTGTCAGTATTTCCGGGGTACCCCGTCAGGATGGCCCCGTCAGACTGCGCATATCTGATAGGAGGCCCCGGCACTCGAAATCTGATGGTTGGCCCCGTCAAATGGCAATGGGGCTACCTAGCAGGGCTGGTACCGGGGCAACCCTACACTATCTACCGGGGTTACTTCCCACTGTGTCTCGAAGAACCGTGTGCATTGCTTCCGCGCTCCTGTTCTTGAACTCTCACATCCGCACATAAGCTCGGCCAACGTTCCCTTAGAGCATCGGGGCCTTGTTCGTCATGCTCCCCATTTACAGGCTTGCTCAGAGTTCTGCTTTTCGCAACGCGCAATCAACTCACACCGAGAATTATCCCTTCTGGTCGTCTCGTCTTTTGCCACCCACCGCACCGAGTGCTCGTTCTTTGTGAAATTCTTCTGTTTGCTGTGTCTTGGTTCTCTCCTACCGCGTTTCATGGAGGTTGGCATCCACTCCACTTAGGTGCCTTAGGCCTTGCCACGACCTAAGCTCTACTTACGAGAAATTTCCTTCGCAAATGTGGAATGATTGCTCTGTATCAGCGAAAGATACATTCCTGTCTGGGTGGTACGAGAACGCTGGTTTCGAATACGTTGAGCTCCCGCCAACTTCAAATGACATCATTCAGAATTTCAATAGTAGGTGGAGTGACGATCTACAATTCTCTTGCTTCATCATGGGCCTCACAGACTCTGAAGAGTACACGCGCGCGGTGAAGCATGTCGCCAAAAGACCATGTGAGTCCGAACCATCATAGATTTGTGAATTACAATAGTGTAATCTTATCTCTTCCTGCTCAGAATGGCGAAATCCTTTTCTTCGAAACAATCATCATTCGCTATGTACTTAGGTCCGCCTATGGATTTGTCGGAAAAGGCCAGTGGGGGTAGTATGTATTGAACAAGTCCCTGGAAAGCTGTGACCAACATCCAATCTCCGCTTGGAGAAACCCTGCTTCCCATGCACGTTCAAATTGGCTTCAGGCCTCCATTATCGTAGCTATGACCCAACCGGGTGCGTCGAGACACGCTATCCGTATTCTCTGGCATCGCTGACCAACTTATCATTAGCATCATATTGGTCAGGAACGGTACTCCTTGCAGAGGTGCCTCGCGCATCTTACTGGACGAAAGGAGTATTCCATAGACCAGATAACGACATCGGCCTTCTGCAAGAGACACAGACGAAGGATGGGTTGTAGAATACATTTTGGAGGTGGAAAGCGGTACTAAGTGTGTTACATATTCCTTTATCCAACTGGGCTTGAAGACAAATGCTGTGATCTGGACTAGCCCACTACTCCGTTGACGGTATGGCAGACAACGAGGTAAGCGATAACCTCATCCCATAGTGGCACTTCTGATTAACTGAGGTGCTTTTCCAATTTCAGTGCGAATATCTGCTGGAAGGTTACCTCCTCTCTCGCAAGTCCGAAAAGCGTGTCGTTATTTACAACCCTTCATAAAAGACCCATAAACTGCGATTTAGATCTCACATTCGTTGAAGGCGCTATCAACAATATGCTAACTCTCGCGATCTCCTCTACGTCACTTCCAGGGAAGCGGGACGTCCCCACCACTAATTCGAACACGTTACGTGGGCCTCCTCGCGCTCGGCGTGGAGACACTTGGTTCGGGTCTCACTCAGACCTGCACCGCTGGGCCACTGAAGGACTGGCGACTTCGTGATACCTGGTATACGCGAAAGTGGAGAGTGGTTTGGGCACCGAGGGGGTGTAGATGAGGATTGGCGTGAAGACGCGGCTCATAAAGGTAGTAAAAGAGTGGAAGATCAGTGGACATCCAGGAAGGGTCCCATCGGATGTGAAAGCTACGGTGAGAACTATAGCTCTGGCGCTCACGGATAACCATATAAGAATTAATGTAGGAATAACTGAGGAGCTAGGTCCTAGTGACATGGGGGACCAATTGGCTCACTTGTCGCCACTCGGATCGTTCCCTAGGAATTTCTTGGGGGAATGCGAAGTGCGTCACATTCTATCACACAGCGATGAAGGGATTCATAACAGGGAAGATCCAATTGATAGTGAAAACGACAGAGTATTCTTTTCAAATGGTATTTCCTCGGACTGCTGCTCCTTCGATTCGACAATAATGACGTATTTGGGATGCCCACTACCCCCTTTTAGGAGATGAACAGGAACGGAAGAATGCCTTCCTTGTGTGAAATTGGGCGATGATGCTCAGTTCGACCTACATCAATTTCGTCCATTTAATGTGAGTGGAACGTATTAATAACGTATTTTAACGATGCTGATGTCATTTTCTGATAGAATTGCGATTCATTCAAGCTCCGAGAGAAGCTCAAGAAGAATCGCGTATAATTCCAATTTCGGAGTAGTCATCTTCAACTACCGAACCGTTGTTTGCTTTTGCCCCCATCCTCATCACCTTTTTACGAACTGTACGGCCATCTCTCTGATCCTATCCGGGTCTTCATTTCCGGCGATTATTCTGGGTATGCGAATCCCGTTGAGTGTTGAATTTACTCAATGCTCGAACCCTCATGGATGCAAAGTTGCCAAAGAAGGTGATAGATCATGGTGTGTGGAAGCGCAGCGACCAATTACGAAGCCCGATTCGATGTTCGCAATGGTACTGTGACATCATACATTTGCGGCGCTTCTCCCACCGATGGTCGTTATGTAGCCCTCGGTTTTTGGCAACGGTATCACCGAGCTTACCGACATCGACTGAGTCAGCGCACCATTTCCCATTTCCAGCTCGATCCACCCAAGTTTCCTGCCCCTTTGAATTTGCTCATGGCAACAACTGTCGTTACCGAGGAAAATGAGGAAAACGCCAGTCGTCGGACCCCCGTAAATCTCGGTATCAATGGCCCCTTCCCTACGTATACTCGTACTTTAGTGTCGGGTAATGGATTATTTGTTGCACGAGTCCCACCGAAGATTGACAGTCCTGTGACAACATAACACTTACATCGGCTTCAGACGACCCGCGCGTTCAGTTCCTCGTTTCCCCTCCTTCCAACCCTTTCATTCTGATCAAATTCTTTGTTGGCCATCTGGGTTTTCCGCACCTCATCGTGTTACGAATTTCAGTTCTGGGATTCGTCAGTCTCCACCCCTTGCTCGTATCTCATATATTCCTGATTCCGTGTCCACCCGATTCACTCCCTTGGCTGAAGATAGACAACTATCATTCCGAAGTGGACGCAGAGCATGACCTCGATGGGTCCTAGATCAAGCATGCATGAAGACTTCGGCCTCTATTCATCTATTGCCGGAAGAATCTGCAGAAGAGAATTCCCTGGCCGCCCGCAGTGATCTTGGGGTGCGTGGCGACAACCGTCTGAGAGCTTGGTATGGTGATCGATCGCTGTTTGATGCTACAAATGTCTACCGCCTTCCATCCAGCAAGGATGGGACCAAGGCCGGCTGACGGCTCCGTTCGTCGTCGACATTAGTTAAGTCGCCTAGAGTGTCCGCGGTCGTCATCGCCCTTAGCCATGGTATGGTCCCCGTGAGTCTTGGTACTCTCCCCAACGGCGCCTTTCCTGCTGGAACACTGATGTCAGAGGCCTTGGTACGGCAACATGATGCTCATGTCGACGACATGCACGTTCAGCTCTTCCCCTCTCCTTCTAACCCTTCCACTCCATCCTTCCACTCGAATTCTTTGCTAGCCATTCCTCATCGTCGCGCGCTTGGGTGTCCTCCCGGAGTAATTTTGGGGTTTTCGATGGAGTCAGCGCTTTCACTTAGTCGGGCAAGTTCCACTGCGCGTTACAGCGTTACGAATGTCAGTTCTTTGGGTTATGAATCTCACGGTCCCCGCCGCTTGCTCATATCTTATCCGTGGTCCTGTATCCCCCGGCTCATCCTCCCTGGTAATGTAGCAGACATGCACCCTTCCAGATCGGATACACGACTCAGATGCGTCCCATTTTACGGCCTCCCACCAAGTACGCACACCTCGACGTCTATTCCTCTGTTTCAGGATGGGAAACATAAGCGAGGGGACTGTCTCCATGCAATACTCGCCGGTTATATCTTCAGGGTGGGTCACATCAACCATCTAGATGGCGATTTAATGCTACAAATCACAAATCTCTGTCGCCTCCGGTCCAGCAAGGATGGGACTTGACTTCTGCTCCCAGGCCGGATGACAGCTCCAATTGTCGTCGAAATTAGCAAGTCATTTAGGACGTTCGCGGTCGTTGTGATTCCTCCCTTTCCACTTGTTAGTCACCTAGCTCGAGCGTTTTTCTGTCATTGAATTATGTATTGTCCTCCGATTTGTACATCACTGCGCTTGGCACAAATGATCGCGAGTTGGTAGTAAACGCTGGTGAAAGAGAACAACATCTTCTAGCTCTGGAGTCGAACGGCGAGGGCACCACCACCTCGGACAAGGACCTGGACGCAATGGCATAGCTCGCACATATCCACATCAAGATTTCCTTGCATGAATCAGTTGAACCAGTCATCCTCCCCGACCCATGGAATCCCCATCCGACATGCACCTATGGCAGACATCTTGTCACTTTGAGGACTGAGGATGCTGCGAGTACGAGGAGCCGCATTCCGAACAGATATTGTCTTCGTCCGGCATGAAAGATCAGTACTGAAATTTTCTTGGGCGGAACTAGCAGGCCGTTCATCGTTGTCATCGACGCTCTGTAAGGCCAAATACATTTCGCATTGCCGGCTATGTTCGATGCTCTGGATAGATCAGACAGTTATCGAAAGTGTTCAAACTTCCTCCCCACCGGGCTGGAAGCAGAGTGGGTTGACGGAAAGAGGTGACAAATCACCTTTTGAACATTGTGGGGCGCTTTCAAGTTGGCTCTGAGGAATAAGCGGGAGAACTAGTGACAGGAAGGGATGGACGGACGTCCAGCGTGTTAAAGAGTAACAACCCGATGAAACTATGTTGGCGTGTCACGCGGAGACACTGGAGTGACAGGACTCCGGATGAGCGGCAGAGACAGGGGGAATCGATGAAGCACAATTTCTAGGTAGGGGAGGGGCTGACAAGAACGTCCATTGTGGTGCGCTGATTGCTGTCTGGGAGCGCGCAGTCTGATCGAGATATCCTGTACGGATGGGACTTCGTTATCACTCGAAGTATTAAATAACATCTTCCACCGAGGGAAGACTAGGTGTTTCATGTTTTTAGAACGGCAGCGAAATAGAATACCCCCGCTACTTGGATACCCGGAGGTGCGAGGTCGCCGATTAGAGTTAGAAGCGGACGTTACGGAGAGGAGTCCGACAGTAATAGAGTCTTGAAGCGCAAGATTGAAATATTTTTGCACATCAGTGCTATGTATCACCTGGCCAGAACCCGACAAAATTGTGAATACCCGGCAAGCAATTGCTGCTGAAATTCCGTCCAAGTTTGTGTCGGCGTCACACAAAGACAGCCCACCATCAATAGCTTGGATCCTTATGCGAGGGGAGAGGAGGTCATTTAGAGCTGTTCTGGTATTCTGGTACGACTCAGAGCATTGGAATCAAAGCAACCAGGTTGAAGCATATTGCTGAAGAGCGAATAACCGAGAGGAGTGACAAGGCGGACACCAGACGAGACTCTGATGTTCGTGTGTGCAATTAATTTGAATATTCGTGTATAGGATAGCTCGCTGTGGCAGGAAACAACAAGGCCGCGTTTGGTGGTCCGAACCAAATAACTGTCAACGACGGAGACCATGTCAAAAAATCGCTGGAAAAATACTCAAGAGAGCGTACTAAACACAGGTGGGTTTTTTGGAGTCCCTAATACTTTTGGTAGCGTAGTTTACAATCCATCGCCCACAGAAGGGGACACTTGAATATTTGTAGTCCTGATTTGGCAGTGGTTAGGACAGTACTGCCTTATATGTCAAGTGGTTCGACTCTCCTCACACCCTCTGCGATGTATAGATATTCCCCCCCCATGTACGCTCCGGTGTTATAGCCGCACTGCCACGTCATCACGAGGCCGCGGACCCTCTGCGATTGCTGATACACGATGTTTAATCGATTTAAGTTTTCTAAAAGAGGGCACTCTCCTGCGCCTCCCGGTGGCCCATCGCGACCCTCGACCTCTGTTCCCAACCTCCAGATCACTACTGCTCCAACTGAAAGTGATGCAACAACTAGCACAGATCATGGCGGATCTGATAGACCCCGTCTTAAGCCTCTTACTACTAGCGGTAGTTCTCGAGGCCGGAAGCAGCGGTGGTCTGCTCGGCACTCTATAGCTAAGCTGTTGAGCAGAAGCCCCAGTCCCGATCCCACTCATGTCGACCAATCGAAGTCTTTCGATCCCAGACAATCTGACCCCTCTACGCACAATCTGCCATCCCGTGGTCTATCGCCATCTCGCGTTCTCCTTGAGGGGGGCATGGATATCACACACGTGATGCCCAGTGAGCGCATCGTCCATGGAAACACTGGGACTCTCCACCCACCACTAGGACACATAGGCGTGAAATCAGATACCCCGTCGTCAATAGATCGAACATCGTCTTCTTCAGTTGTCCCTCCTGGTGGCGGGAAGAAAACAATCATCGTCGCCTCAAGGCTCATCCTCCAAACCGCCGCCTCTGCTCTTAAGTTAGCCCCCATTCCGAATCTCGATCAAATACCAAAAATACTCCTATCGTGGCTCCAAGTTTATGAGGTTCGCAGGGCGTCGCGATTTTGCGATCTAATAATATAAGGCAACCTCACGTTTTCATACAGACCTTCGACAACAATGACGAAAATCTTAAGGGATTAGACGATGAAGTTCGAAGCGCTCACGAAACGATCTTTAGGCCTCTCCAGTTATGGTCTGGCCAGGTTCCTCCTGAAATCCGCGAGCTAATCCAACAATTTCACTTGCATGTACCTCCACTTTATCGCTCCCCCATCCGAATCTCACCTCCCGGTGACAGGGCCCTAAGACAGCAATTGACGCAAATCGAAGCACTCAAACGTCAAAAGCTTGCCAAGAGGGTAATCTTAGCGACTGAAATATCTCAGGAGATAAGCGCTGTGAAGTCCTGTATAAGTGATGCTGTCTCCCGTTTCACGGTTTGTTTCATCAGTGTTCAGACTGCCCGTTAACTGACTGGGCATGCACCATAGACTGCGGCGACAACTCTGAATCTCTTCCACACAATTCGGTTATCGGTGGACTGTTCGTTGCACTCCCTTGTTTTTCGCTGCCTAGAATTATTCAATGATATTCCAGATGAACTCTCGAAACTCTACAAAGCAAACGCGGAATACTCTGCTGTGGAAAGCAAGTCGGAATGCCTGGAAAACACCCGTGTCCGGATTCAGGAATCCATACTCGATCACTTGGAGAATCGGGAGCACCGATTTGTCTGGCTTCGCGGCTCTCCAGGAACTGGAAAGACTGCTATATCAATGAGAGTCGCGTCAACTTTTGACAAACAGAATCGCTTGGCAGCATCTTTCTTCTGGGACAAAAATCGGAAGGGTGCAGGACTTGCCTCGATTGAAAACTTTCCCTCTACTCTTGCACGTCAGCTTGCCTTGTTTAATACCGAGTACGAGGGTCTTCTTGTCAGTCGACTCCGACAGCCTTCATTATTGAAGGGTGTTCTTGGCTCCGCTCTGGAGAAGCAAATGAGAGCTTGGATTATTGATCCCATGCACAAACTGTTATCTTTGGGTGAGGGGCGCCTCGTCATCATTTTGGATGGACTGGACGAGTGTGGGGATCAGGAGGAACTCGAGTCCTTAATGAAGCTAGTGCTTTTCCTTGATGAGCTGCCCGCCGCGTTTTCGGTGTTGGTCAGCTCTCGGCCAGAGTCATCCGTGGTGTCGGCTTGGGCTCGAGCTCGGGCTCAGGGTCTTGTCATCCCATAAGAGGATGTGGACATTGTCGCTGAGGAAGAGAAGTCCAACACTGTCCGCTGCATGGTGGAGGAAGGCCTTCGGGGTTGCATCGATAAGTCTTCCTGGAAACCATCAAAGCAAGATGTCGATGCATTTGTCTTAGCATGTCGCGGACTGCCGATTATCGCCTCAATCCGAGTCCGGGATGTTTCCATTCGAACTCGTCATGGTGCAACCCTTCGATCCGAGTTCAAATACTTTCGTGATCTCATTGATGCCCCCGTCGACGTCAATTTGGAGTACCTGCGTGTACTTCGCCGTGCCTATATATTCGACTCATCTGGAGTTCTTCCACATATAGCGGAGAACTATCGCCAAGTGGTTGCCACAATCAATGCAGCATTCGAGCCACTGAGCGTGTTTTTTATATCACAGCTGTCAGGAATTGCTGAGGAAGAGGTCCTAGCTATATTGGATCCAATTCGCTCAATTGTTGATCTTTCTTCGAAAAGTGGCTCGGAACGTTCTTCGGAAAGTCCTCCAGAAAGTTCCTCAGAGGAAATGCAGGGAGTCAAATTCTATCATGCTACGATGAAAGAGTTTATAACGGGGGATCCGATTGGTAATGAAAATGACAAAGTATTCTTTATCAGGGATGCGAATAAGTACTTCATCGGACTGCCACTCCTCCGAATTTTCAATAATAGTTGTGAGCGGGATGTATTTGCGGACCCCACCAGCTCCCCTTTAAGACATGAACGGAACTGGCATGTTGTGGATGACAGAAAACATCATCGGCCCCATCATCTCCAATATGCTCGTGAATACTTATTAGAACACTTAGACCCCTCGCAACTCTTTGCACAAGAGTCCAATTTGCAGACCGAGTTTAATACATTCCTCACACGAAACTTGGTTACATTTATGCACCTGGCCTTGTTTGCTGAAGCAGGCAAAGGATTCCCTGATGGATTCGATAAATTCAAGGTAAATACAAATATCGTTGCGTCAATTATTTTTAATAATATGATGTCGTTTTTAACAGAATTGCGATTCATACAAACTTTTGAAAGAAGCTCGAGAAAAGCAATTTGTGGAGTATATGGATGCGATTTCCTTGTCACCATGGCACCTCCATCGATCGACACTTCCTTTCACCCCATCCTCATCACCTTTGTACAAACTCTATGGCTACCTCTCTGATCCCGTCCGGATCTTCACCATTTCTGGCGAGTTTTCAGGGCACAGAATCCCATTGAGTGAGGATTTACTCAATGCTCGAATGGTCATGGAGGCGAAGCTACCTAATTTGCCAGAGAAGGCTGGTGGTCGGGTTAATTATGATGCCCAATTCAACGACCGTGATGTTCGTAACGGTATCATAACATGCGCGGCGCTCTCCCTTGATGGTCGCCATGTAGCGCTTGGTTTTGGTAGTGGTGTCGTTGAGCTTGCCGATATCGACCAGCAGCGCATGATTTCCCGATTCCAGCTCAATCCACCCAACCATCCAGTCTGGATCGAATTTGTTCATGGCAGCCACCAAGTTGCTGATGAGGACAATGAGGGAAACGTCACCATCCTTAGACACGATATGACCCCCATTAATCTTGGAACTCTTCCCAACGGTTCTCCTCCTGCTATAACTCAAGTATCAGATAATGGATTATTTATCATACGGGTTCCATGGAACACTGATAGCTTTTGGTACGACAGCCTGACTCTCATATCGATTTTGGGTGACCCACACATGCAGCACCTCGCACCCCCTTCTTCCAATAATTCCACTCCAACTTCCAACCCTCCTATCTTAGCCTCCGAGTCTTCTACTTCATCCTCTACATCCATCAATCTTGATGTCGTGCTTGCTGTTCCTCACCGTCGCACGCTTGGGTTTTCTCCGTCAGCACGTTATATCGGCGTTTTCGATGGCCTCAGCGCTTTTACATGGTCGACAGATTCGGGTGAGCTCATTGCGAGTTATCTTGTGACGGATTTCGATTTTTGGATTATGCATCCTGCTGTTTCCCCTGCCTGCTCTCATCGCATCCCTGATCCTGTATCTGCTCGACCTACCCTTCCCTTGACAGAAGGTGGAGCAGCAGATCGACATCATTCCGAAACAGACGCGGGGAATGACTTGGACGAGTCCTGGATTAAGTGTCCATTTTACGTTCTCTTGCAAAGTGGGTGGGACGAGTGGGGCAAGAGATGGCGGAAGTCTAAAATCCGTTCGTCTGCTGCCGGGAGAACCCCACTGTTCAGAACCAGTGGATACGCTGGGCTACCAGTTCTCTTCAATGGTGAATTCGAATTCGTTATTCCCAAGGAGTATCAACCAGTTGTGTCTTCTGGTGCCAAAGATTTAGGCGCTTGGTATGGTGATCAAGTGCCGTCTGATCCTACCCTTCTGTACAGCCCTCGGTCCAGCAAGGATGGGACTCGAATCCTCCTCCAAGGCCGGCAGACAGCTCCAATCGTTATCGATCTTAGCCAAGTCATTTAGGACGTTATATTTACTTGTTCGTCCTCAAGCTCGAATGTTTTTCTCACAGAATTGGAATTGTGGAACAATGAACTAACGGAGTGAGCAGGCCCCCATTAGCATGCACGGAGGTCGCTTCACCCTACCTGCATCCGCGACACTATGACTGTGCCTTGCGCGTGCTATCTGCTGTTCAAGATCAAGGGGGAAGCGTCAAGTTTCGCTAGGTCGTCCTTCCATCCTTCTGGACTTCCCCTCGCCGACTTTCCCTCTCCCTAGGACGCAGTGCACATAAATAACCCTGGGACTTCAATGGACCCATGAGCGTTCCGTCTCTGCGCTGTCTTTTGAGTCCCGGTCGGGCAAAATGAATGCTTAGTATCGCAAACGCGGAGACTTCTGATCTTGCTCTTTTCGCAGTTCCTCAATTCCCTCTCACTCCACGTCAGAATGAAGGTTTTCTTTGAACGTACTAAAAGATTAATATTTCCTTCGCCGCTTCCATCATTTCACCCGACATTTATCCTCCGCTGCAGATAATGAATAGCGTCACACAAGCACCAGCTATGTACATACGATCGAAGACTTCAACAAGATGAATTACATTCCAAGGGCTCCCAGAAGTCGCTCAGCATATCAAATCTAAATACATAACCTCAAAGAAAGTATGGAGTTAAATAACGTCCCTATAGGTGACCTGTGCCCCGACCTAGCCCAAGAACTTATGGAGCTCGAGGAGTATCCTGGTTCCGCCCCTATTCATCCCGACTGCCTGGTTGCACTCGGACCTGTGGCCAAGGAGGGATCCGATGCGAACCCAATTAGAAGTCGTGCCGCAATCAGTTTCCGGAACCAGTGCGCAAAGAAACGGCTCACGATGGGACAGGCTCTGTCATCCAAGCCCTCTTGCCTACGACAACGGTTTGATTCTTGATTGCAGAATTACGAAAGCTAGGAAAGGGTGTTGCGTTCGGAATTGGGAGTCAACACCCGAGAGGTGAGGTGCACGTACTCAAATCGTTGCAAACAGTGATCGCAGTTGCGAAAGTTCGATTACGTGGAGTAACAGTGAAGAACACATAATGAGAGCCGAACAATATCGATCTACACAGCAGAATTGTGGTGGGTATCGCCCTCGAATACCGTTGGTTGACCGCATGCATTCGGCGATTTTTTCGAAAATGTTAAAGGGTGATAAATTCCCAGGTTGGAGTGGCCTCTGCAGAAATATTTAACTGCCTGCCATGCAGTAAACAATCATGCTACTCATCGATGATTGACATCTACAGCGAGGGCTTGAAACAGTGGCATGTACTGTATTGAATGATCACATGCATCCGGATCTGGGCTTCCGCTAGCTTGTCCTTGAAGACATTCCGATTTTCGTCTTACAGCAGTGCACATAAGTTCCCATAGAGCAATGGGGCCCTGTCCCCCAATTACAGGCTCGCTCACTGGAGTCCCTCCTTTTTTGTAACGCAAATCAACATACACCAAGAAACATCCCTTCTGGGGTCACCTCGTTTTGCCACCCGAGTTCTCGTCTGTCGTGGTATTCTTTTGTTTGCTATATTTTGGTTCTTCTCCTATCACATTTCATGGTCGCCCAACCCACGATGGCAAAAGGCATCCTCCCCCCCCCCCAGCATGCCTCCCCGCAACTGTATGGAACGATCGTTCTTGGGCAGTGGAAGGATGCATTCCTGTTTGCGTGGCACGGCTACGGAAATGCCGCTTTCGGATATGATGAGCTCCTGCCGACTTCAAATGGCAGCATTCAGAATTTCAATGGTTGGGGAGTGATGCTCCATGATTTTCTGAAGACCATGCTTCTCATGCGCCTCAAAAACTCTGAAGAGTACAAGCACGCGATGGAGCATGTTGCCAAGCAGACCTTCAAAGACCATGTGGGTCGGAACCGTCATAAGTTTGCGAATTACAATGGTGGAATCTCTTTCTTCAAAACAACCATTCGCTACTTAGGCGGATTGCTGTTCGCCTGTGGATTGTCGGGCGACTTGGTACTTGGAAAAGGCCAACGAGGTATGTATCGAACAAGTCCCTGGAAAGCTGTCACCGACAATCCAATCTCAGCTTGAAGAGACACTGCTTTCCACGTTCAAATCGGCTTCAGGCCTCCCTTACCATGGCTATGACCCAACCGGGTGTGTTGAGGCGCCTTATTCATATTATCTGGTGTCGCTGACCAACTTATCACATCAGCAATCACACGACGTATTGGCCAGTAACTAGGAGTGTTTCTTTAGATCAGATAATGACATCGACCCTCTGCAGGAAACGCAGACGGTGGGTGGGATGTGGAGTGCATTTTGGAAATCGGTACTCGCTCGGTCGTAAGTCTGTTATATGCGCCTTGATGACCAATCGGTTCTAAGGAGAAGTGGTGTGATGCAGACTAACCCACCACTCCGTCGGCGGTATGGTAGACAGTATGACAAGTGAGAGCCTCATCACAGAGTGACATCTCTCATTTGTTGAGGCGCTTTCCAATTCCAATACGAATGCATCCTCTCTGGCAAGTCCGAAAAGCGGATTCAGGACACGTGTTGCCATTTCAACACTTTCGTTGTTCGCGGCCTCGAATTTAGATCTCAATCCGTTGAAGGCGCCATAACCAATATGCTGTTCCTCTCAGGCTTTCAGATGCGTGATCTTCCCTATGTCTCTTCCATGGATCTCGTGTGCCCCTACACGAGCCTCATCACGCTCGGCGTGGAGGCACTTGGCTCGGAACTCACGCAAGAACAGTCAGATCTGCACCACTGGGCGGCTAGGCGGCTGAAGGACTGACGACTTGGTGCCACCTTGGTCCTTGTGTACGCGGAGGCGGAGGGTGGTTTGGGTGCTGAGGTCTGGCGTGAAGATGCGGCCCATAAAGCAGTAAGGCAGTGGAAGAACAGTGGAGCCAAAAGGAGTTCCACTGGGTCTGAAAGGCGTAGCGAGATTTATGGTTCGCGCACAGGGATTATTATATAGGAGATACATAACGTAGGAATAGCCGAGGGGGAGGTCATGATGACATTGGAACCAATTGTTGATCTTTCCCCGGAACGTTCCTCAGGAAACGCCAAGGGGTGTCACCTACTATCACGGAACGATGAAGAGTGGATATTTCCTCTGACTCCGGTTGCGCTCCTTCCATTTTTCGGCAATGGTTGAGCCGGGCGTCTCCCGTTTTAAGAGATGATGGGAATGGAAGAATGCCTTCCTTGTGCGATATTTCGTCCATTAAATATGTGAGTGAAAATCCATTGGTATCGCGCGTATTTTAAGGATCTGATGTCATTTTCCGATAGAGTTGTTATTCATTCAAGCTCTGAGAGAAGCTCAAGAAGATTCGCGCATAATTCCAATTTCGGAACAGTCATCTTCAACTACCGAACCGTTATCGATCGGTTGTTTCCTTTCACCCCATCCTCATCGCCTTTTTACGAACTGTAAAGCCATCAGTCTCTCTGATTCTGTCCAGGTCTTTATTTCCGGCGATTATTCTGGACACAAATCCTGTTGAGTGAGAATTTACTCAATGTCCGAACGGTCATGGAAGCAAAGTTGCCAAAGGTTGTTGATAGATGGGTGCCGAGGCGCGGCGACCAATTACGAAGCCCGATTCAGTGGTCCCAATGTTCGCAATGGCACTGTGACATCATACATCTGCGGTGCTTCTCCCCCCGACGGTCGTTATGTAGCCCTCGGCTGTATCATCGAGCTCACCGACATCGACCAGAGTCAGCGCACCATTTCCCGATTCCAGCTCGATCCACCCAACTACCCCCCCCCCCCCCCCCCATTGAATTTTCCCATGGCAGCCACTCTGTCGTTACCGAGGATAACGAGGGAAATGCCAGTCCTTAACCCCCGTAAATCTCGGTATCCCCAATAGCACTGGTGCCTTGATAATGAATTATTTGTCGTACGAGTTCCACGGAAGATTGAAAAGCCTTGGTACGATAACATGACCTTACATCAGCTTCAGACGTTCAGCTCCTGGCCCCGCTTCTCCTTCGAATCCCTCCATTCTACCCTTCTGCTTAATTCTTCGTTACCCTTCCCCCATCGCCGCACGCTTGAGTTTTCTCCCTGTGTACAGAGTCGGCTGCGTGCCATCCTATTACGAATTTCGGTTCTTGGACTATGAATCCCACAGTTTCTACTCCTTGCTCGCACTCCACATATTCTTGATCCCATGCTAGCCGACGCACTCCCTTGAAGGTGACGCAGTGCGTGACCTAGATAGGTCCTAGATCAAGCATGCCTGAAGACCTCAGCGCCGATCCAACTGCAGAACAGAATCCTCTGGCCACCCGCAGCGATCTTAGGGTGCGTGGCGACAACCGTCTGAGCTTCATGACGGCTCCATTATCTTCGATGTTAAGTGGTCTGGTCATTGTCACCCTTAGCCATGGCATGGTCCCCGTGAGTCTTGGTACTCTCCCTTTCCTGCTGGAGCATTGATGTCAGAGGCCTTGGTATGACAACATGACGCTCATACTGTCGACCCGCACGTTTAGTCCTTTCTCCCTCTGACCCTTCCACTCCATAATTCTTTGCTAGGCATTCCTTGCCTTCGGGCGCTGGGTTTCCTTCCGAAGCATGGTATTTTGGCGCTTTCGATCAGCGCTTTCACTCAGTCGACCGAGTCGGGCGAGTTCATTGCGCCTTCCAGTGTTACGAATGTCAGTCCTTGATTCATGAATCTCACAGTCCCCACCACTCGCGCAGCTCGTGTGATTGCCGTCTGAGAGTACATACACTAATCGAGGTATCCTGTACGGGTGGGACTTTGTCATCACTCGAAGTATTAAATAACATCTTCCACCCACCCATTCTCAAGGACAGTAGCGCTTGATATGTGGGGAAGGCTAGGTATTCCATGTTTTAGAACGACAGCGAAATAAAATACCTCCGCTACTTGGATACCCGGAGGCGCGAGGTCGCCAATTAGAGTTAGAAGCGGACACTACAGAGAGGAGCGCAACAGGGATAGAGTCTTGAAGCGCAAGATTGAAATATTTTGCGCAACAGTGCTATTACTAGCCAGTAACCCGACAAAATAGTGGATGCCTAGCAAGTGATTAAGTTTGTGTCGGTGTCACACAAAGACATCCAGCCAGACACAGCCCACCATCAATAGCTCGGATCCTTATGCGAGGGGCGAAAAGGTCATTTAGAGCTGTTCTGGTACGATTCAGAGCATTGGAATCAAAGTAACTAGGTTGAAACATGTTGCTGAAGAGCAAATAAACGAGAGGAGTAGACTCTGATGTTCGTGTGTGCAATTTGAATATTCGTGTATAGGATCGCTCGCTGTGGCGGGAAACAACAAGGCCGCGTTTGGTGGTCCGAACCAAATAACTGTCAACGACGGAGACCATGTCAAAAAATCGCTGGAAAATACTCAAGAGAGCGTAGTAAACACAGGTGGGTTTTTTGGATTCCATTAATTATCGACCCTAAACTTTTGGTAGCGTAGTTTACAATCCATCGCCGACAGAAGGGGTACTTGAATATTTGTTGTCCTGATTTGGCAGTGGTTGGGACAGTACTGCCTTATATGTCGAGTAGTTGAGGGCGGTTCGACTCTCCTCTCTGCCTGCGACACCCTCTGCGATTGCTGATACACGATGTTCGATCGATTTAAGTTTTCTAAAAGAGGACACTCTCCTGCGCCTCCCGGTGGCCCATCGCGACCCTCGACCTCTGTTCGCGACCTCCAGATCACTACTGCTCCAACTGAAAGTGATGCAACATCTAGAACGGATCACGGTGGATCTGATAGATCCCGTCTTAAGCCTCTCACTACTACTGGCGGTAGTTCTCGAGGCCGGGGGCAGCGGTGGTCTGTTCGGCACACTATAGCCAAGCTGTTGAGCAGAAGTCCCAGTCCCGATCCCACTCATGTCGACCAATCAAAGTCCGATCCCAGACAATCTGACCCCTCTATGCCCGACCCACCATCCCCTAATCTATCGCCATTTCCCGTTCTCCCTGAGGGGGCCATTGATATCTCTCACATGATACCCAGCGCGCGCATCATCCGTGCCAACACTGGGACTCCCCACCCACCACTAGGACGCACAGGTGTGAACTTGGATACGCCATCGTCAATGGATCGAACACCATCATCTTCAGCCGTCCCTGCTGGTGACGGAAAGAAAACAATCATCGCCGCCACAAAGCTCGTCCTTCAAACCGCCGCCTCTGCCCTCAAGTTAGCCCCCATTCCAAATCTCGACCAAACACCAAATATACTCCTATCGTGGCTCCAAGTTTATGAGGTTTGCAGGGCGTTGCGATTTTGCAATCGAATAATATAACCTCACGTTTTCATACAGACCTTCGACAACAATGACGAAAATCTTAAGGGATTAGACGATGAAGTTCGAAGCGCTCACGAAACCATCTTTAGGCCTCTACAGTTATGGACTGGCCAGGTTCCTCCTGAAATCCGCGGGCTAATTCAACAATTTAACTTGTATGTACCTCCACTTATCGCTCCCCCATCCGAACCTCACCTCCCGGTGACAGGGCCTTAAGACAGCAATTGATGCAAATCGAAGCACTCAAACGTCAAAAGCTCGCCAAGAGGGTAATCCTAGCGACTGAAATATCTCAGGAGATAAGCGCTGTGAAGTCCTGTATATGTGATGCTGTCTCCCGTTTCACGGTTTGTTTTGTCAGTGTTCAGACTATACATTAACTGACTGGGCGTGCACCGTAGACTGCGGCAACAACTCTGAATCTCTTCCACACAATCCGGTTATCGATAGACTGTTCGTTGCACTCCCTTATTTTTCGCTGCTTAGAATTATTCAATGATATTCCAGATGAACTCTCGAAACTCTACAAAGCAAACGCGGAATACTCTGCCGTGGAAAGCAAGTCGGAATGCCTGGAAAACACCCGTGTCCAGATTCAGGAATCGATACTCGGTCACTTGGAGAAACGGGAGCACCGATTTGTCTGGCTTCGCGGCTCTCCGGGAACTGGAAAGACTGCTATATCAATGAGAGTCGCGTCAACTTTCGACAAACAGAATCGCTTGGCAGCATCTTTCTTCTGGGACAAGAATCGGAAGGGCGCAGGACTTGCTTCGATTGAACACTTTCCCTCTACTCTTGCGCGTCAGCTTGCCTTGTTTAATACCGAGTACGAGGGTCTTCTTGTCAGTCGACTCCGACAGCCTTCATTATTGAAGGGTGTTCTTGGCTCCGCTCAGGAGAAGCAAATGAGAGCTTGGATTATTGAACCCATGCGCAAACTCTTATCTTTGGGTGAGGGGCACCTCGTCATCATTTTGGATGGACTGGACGAGTGTGGGGATCAGGAGGAACTTGAGTCCTTAATGAAGCTAGTGCTTTTCCTTGATGAGCTGCCGGCCGCGTTTTCGGTGTTGGTCAGCTCTCGGCCAGAGTCATCCGTGGTGTCAGCTTGGGCTCGAGCTCGGGCTCAGGGTCTTGTCATCCCATATGAAGATGTGGACATTGTCACTGAGGAAGAGAAGTACAACACTATCCACCACATGGTGTCGGAAGGCCTCCAGGGCTGCATCGATAAGTCTTCTTGGAAACCATCCGAAGAAGATGTCGATGTATTTGTCTCATGGTCCTCGTGAGTCTTGGTATTCCCCCAACGGCCCCTTTCGTGCTGGAACATTTATGTCAGAGGTCTTGGTATAATAACATGACGCTCATACCGATGACCCGCATGTTCAGCCCATCCTTGCTCCTTCTGACCCTTCCACTCCACCCTTCCACCCTTACCCTTTGCTGGCCATTCCTCGTCGTCGCGTGCCTGGGTTTCCTCCAGGAGTATGGTATTTTTAAGTCTTTCGATGGAGTCAGCACTTTCACCTAGTCGACCGAGTCAAGCGAGTTCATTGCCCCTCACAGCGTTACGAACGTCAGTTCTTGGATTATGGATTCCACAGTTCCCACCACTTGCTCATATCTCTTCCCGCATCTCCCCCACCAAGCACGCACGAAGACCTCGGCGTCTATTCATCTGTTGCGGGGAGAACCCCATTGCTCTGGATGGGAAACATAAGCGAAGGGCTACCAATATAGTTTGACGGCAGAACAGAGTCCGCTGTCTCCATCTCTGCGGTACCCGCTGGTTAACTTCAGGGTGGGTTCCGTGAACCATCTAGGGGCCTCGCATGGTGATCGAGTGCTGTTTGATGCCACAAATCACGAATCACTATCACCTCCGGTCGAGCAAGGATGGGACTCCACTTCTGCTCCAAGACCGGATCACGACTCCAATTGTCGTCGAAACTAGCAAGTTGTTTAGGATGGTCGCAGTCATTGCAATTCCTTCTTCACTTGTTAGTCGCCTAGCTCGAGCGTTTTTCTGTCACTACGTTATACATTGTCCTCCGATTTGTACCTCATTGCGCTTGGCATTTTATAGTATTAACAATAACGAGCTAGTTGTGAATGCAGGTGAAGGGGAACTAGCTCTGAAGTCAAACGGCAAAGCGCCACCACCCCGAACAAGGATTACATATCCATCGAGATTTCATCCACCTGTGGCCCATCGATAAACATTGCTCCTACGATACTGGCAGAGATCTTGTCAGAAGACCGAGGGTGCTTGCGAACACGAGGAGCCGCATTCCGAACAGATTGCCTTTCGTTTATTTGAACCTCTGTAAGACCAAATGCTTTTCACCTTGCCGGCGATGTTCGATAGATTCAGATTCATAGTAATAGAAAGGAGTACCAAACATTCTCCCCACCAGGTTGGAAGCAGAGTGGGGTGGCGGAAAGAACAGGAGACAAATCACCTTTTGAACATTGCAGGACGCTTTCGAGTTGGCTCTGAGGGAGAACTAGTGGCAGGAAGTGATGGACGGACCTTTAGCGTGTTAAAGAGCAACAACCTGATGGAGTTATGGTGGCGCATCACGCGGAAACACTGGAGTGACAGGACTCCGAATGAGCAGCAGAGACAGGGGGAATCGACGAAGCACAATTTATAGGTAGGGGAGGGGCTGACAAGAAGTCCATTGTGGTGCGCTGATTGCTGTCTGAGAGCGCGGAGCCTGATCGAGATATCCTGTACGAATGGGACTTCGTCATCACTCGAAGTATTAAATAACATCTTCCACTCACCCATTCTCAAGGAGGGAAGACTAGGTGTTCCATGTTTTAGAACGACAGTGAAATAGGATACCCTCGCTACTTGGATACCCGGAGGTGCGAGGTGGAGTTAAAAGCGGACATTACGGAGAGGAGTCCGACAGTAATAGAGTCTTGAAGCGCAAGATTGAAGTATTTTTGCGCATCAGTGCTATTACTGGCCAGTAACCCGACAAAATAGTGGATGCCTGGTAAGTGATTGCTGCTGAAATCTCGTCCAAGTTTGTGTCGGCGTCACACAAAGACATCCAGTCAGACACAGCCCACCATCAATAGCTTGGATCCTTATACAAGGAGCGAGGAAGCCATTTAAAGCACGACCCAGAGCATCGGAATCAAAGCAACCAGGTTGAAGAAGCATACACCAGACGAGACTCTGATGTTGATAGGATAGGAATGGTGGTCGAACCAAATAACTGTCAACGACGGAGATCATGTCAAAAAATCGCTTGCAAAATACTCAAGGGAGCGTAGTAAACACAAGTAGGTTTTTTGGATTCCGTTATCGGCCCTAGGTAGCGTAGTTAACATTCCGTCGCTGACAGAAGGGTGCTTCAATATTTGTTGTCCCGCTTTGGTAGTGGTTAGGACCGTACTGCCTTATATGTCGTGTGGCTGAGGTAGCTCAACTCTCCTCTCTGCCGGCAACACTCTCCACGATTGCTGATACACGATGTCTGATCGATTGACGTTTTTTGGAAGGGGGCAATCTTCTACGCCTCCCGGTGGCCCACCGCGACCCTCGAACCTTGTTCCTGACCTCCAGATCACTACCTCTCCATCTGAAAGCGATGCAACAACTAGCACAGATCACGGTGGATCTAATGGATCCCGTCTTAAGCCTCTTACTACTGGCGGTAGTTCTCGAGGTCGGAAGCAGCGGTGGTCTGTTCGGCACTCTGTAGCTAAGCTGTTGAGCAGAAGTCCCAGTCCCAATCCCACTCATGTGGACCAATCGAAGTCATTCGATCCCAGACAATCTGACCCCTCTACGCCCAATCCGCCATCCCCTGATCTATCGCCATCTCGCATTCTCCCTGAAGGGGGCACCGATATCTCTCACATGATGCCCAGCGAGCGCATCGTCCATGGAAACACTGGGACTCACCACTCACCACTAGGACACATAGGCGTTGAATCAGATACCCCGTCGTCAATAGATCGAACACCGTCCCCTGCAGTTGTCCCTGCTGGTGACGGGAAGAAAACAATCATCGCCGCCACAAGGCTCATCCTCCAAACCGCCGCTTCTGCTCTTAAGTTAGCCCCCATTCCGAATCTCGATCAAATACCAAATATACTCCTATCGTGGCTCCAAGTTTATGAGGTTCGCAGGGCGTCGCGATTTTGCGATTTAATGATATAACCTCACAGTTTTATACAGACCATCGACAACAATGACGAAAATCTCAAGGGATTAGACGATGAAGTTCGAGACGCTCACGAAACAATCTTTAGGCCTCTCCAGTTGTGGACTGGAAAAATTCCTCCCGAAATAGGTGATCTAATTCAACGATTTAACTTGTATGGGCATCCACTTCATCGTTCTCTCGTCCAAATCTCAACTCTCAGTCGCAGAGATCTAAAACAACGCTTACAGCAAATTGAGGCACTCAAACATCAAAACCTTCCCAAGCGGGTAATCTCAGCGACTGAGATAACCCAGGAAATAAGCGCCGTGAAGTCCTGTATCCGTGATGCTGTCTCCCGCTTTACGGTTCGTTTCGTTGGTGTCTAGAATGTCCAATGTCTGACTTGGGGTATACCCCATAGACCGCTGCGACGACTCTGAATCTCCTCCACACAATTCAGTCATCGGTGGACCGTTCGTTGTTGTTCCCTGATTTCACTGCTTGGAATTTAATGATATTTCAGGCGAACTCTCGAAACTCTACAAAGCAAAGGCGGAATACTTTGCAGTGAAAAGCAAGTCGAAATGCCTGGAAAACACATGTGTCCAGATCCAGGAATCGATACTCGATCATCTGGAGAAACGGGAGCACCGATTTGTCTGGCTTCGTGGTTCTCCAGGTACTGGAAAGACTGCTATATCGATGAGCGTTGCCTCGGCTCTCAAAAAACAAGATCGCTTGGCGGCATCTTTCTTCTGGGACAAAAATCGGAAGGGAGAGGGACTTGCTTCCATTGAACACTTTCCCTCTACTCTTGCACGCCAGCTTGCGTTGTTTAATGCCGAATACGAGGGTCTTCTTGTCAGTCATCTTCGACAGACCTCGGCACTGAAGGACCTCCCAGATTCCACTCCGGAGGAGCAGATGCAATCTTTGATTGTCGATCTTATGCACAAACTCTTATCTTTGGGTGAGGGGCGCTCCGTCATCATTTTGGATGGACTGGACGAGTGTGGGGATCAGGAGGAACTTGAGTCCTTAATGAAGTTAGTACTTATCCTTGGTGAGCTGCCGGCCACATTTGCCGTGTTGGTGAGCTGTCGGCCAGAGTCATCTGTGGTATCGGCTTGGGTTGGAGGCCGGGATCAGGGTCTTGTCATCCCATATGAAGATGTGGACATTGTCGCTGAGGAAGAGAACTCCAACACTATCCACCGCATGGTGTCGGAAGGCCTCCAGGGTTGCATCGATAAGTCTTCCTGGAAACCATCAAAAGAAGACGTCGATGTATTTGTCTCGGCATGTCGTGGACTGCCTATTATCGCCTCAATCCGAGTCCGGGATGTCTCCATTCGAACTCGTCGTGGTGCAACCCTTCGATCCGAGTTCAAATACTTTCGTGATCTCATCGATGCCCCTGTTGACGTCAATTTGGAGTACCTGCGCATACTTCGCCGTGCCTATATATTCGACTCATCTGGAGTTCCTCCACATATAGCGGAGAACTATCGCCAAGTGGTTGCCACAATCAATGTGGCGTTTGAGCCACTGAGTGCATTTTCCATGTCGCAGCTATTAGGAATTGACGAGGAAGAGGTCTTAGCCATATTGGATCCAATTAGCTCTATTGTTGGTTTCTCTGAAGAAAGTGGCTTGGAACGTTCCTCACAAATTTCCTCAGAGGACCCAAAGGACCCAAAGGGTGTCAAATTCTATCATGCAACGATGAAAGAGTTCATTGCGGGGGATCCGATTGGTAACGAGAATGACAAAGGATTCTTTATCAAGGATGTGAATAAGTATTTCCTCGGACCACCGCTCCTCCGATTTTTCAATAAAAGTTGTGAGCGAGATGTGTTTGGGGTGCCTGCCATGCTCCCTTTAGGAGACAAACGAAAATGGGATGATTTTATGGAGAGAGAACTTCATCACCCCCAGCATCATCTCCGATATACTCGTCGACATTTATTGAAACACTTGGACCCCTCACAGCTCTTTGCACAAGGGTCCAATTTGCAGAACGAGTTTAATACATTCCTCATGCGAAACTTGATTACATTTATGCACTTGGCGCTACATGATGAATGGCAGCACAGGGGATTCCCTGATGGATTTAATGAATTCAAGGTAAATAAAATCGTTGTGTCGCGATTATTTTAACATGATGTCATTTTTAACAGAATTGCGATTCATTCAAACTTTTGAAAGAAGCTCGAGAAAAGCAATTCGTGCGTTATCTGGGTGGGATTTCCTTTGCACCATGGAACCTCCATCGATCGACCCTTCCTTTCACCCCATCCTCATCGCCTTTGTACAAACTCTATGGCCACCTCTCCGATCCCGTCCGGATCTTCACCATTTCCGGCGAGTTTTCCGGGCACAGAATCCCATTGAGTGAGGATTCACTCAATGCTCGAATGGTCATGGAGGCGAAGCTATCTAATTTGCCAGAGAAGGTTGGTAGTGAGGCCGATAGTGAGGCCGATAGTGAGGCCGATGTTGAGATTGATCCTGATGCCCAATTCAACGACCCTGATGTTCGTAACGGTATTGTGACATGTGTGGCGCTCTCCCTTGATGGTCGCCATGTAGCGCTTGGTTTTGGTAGCGGTGTCATTGAGCTCGCTGATATCGACCAGCAGCACATGATTTCCCGATTCCAGCTCAATCCACCCAACCATCCAGTCTGGATCGAATTTGTTCATGGCAGCCACCGAGTTGCTGCCGAGGACAATGAGGGAAATGTCACCATCCTTAGACATGATATGACCCCCATTAATCTTGGTACTCTTCCCAACGGTTCTCCTGCTGTAACTCGAGTATCAGATGACGGATTACTTATCATACGGGTTCCACGGAACACTGATAGCTCTTGGTACGACAGCCTGACTCTCATATCCATTTTGGGTGACCCGCACATGCAGCACCTCGCACCCCCTTCCAATAATTTCACTCCAACTTCCAACCCTCCTATCTTAGCCTCCGAGTCTTCTGCTTCGTCCTCTGCATCCATCAAAACTGACCCAGATGACATTATGCTCGCTATTCCTCACCGTCGCACGCTTGGGTTTTCTCCGGGAGCACGTTATATCGGTATTTTCGATGGCCTCAGCGCTTTCACCTGGTCGACAGATTCGGGTGAGCTCGTTGCGAGTTATTGTGTGACGGATTTCAATTTTTGGATTATGCATCCTGCTGTTTCCCCCACCTGCTCTCATCGCACCCCTGATCCTATATATGCTCGACCTACCCTTCCCTTAACAGAAGGTGGAGCAGCAGATCGACATCATTCCGAAACAGATGCAGGGCATAACTTGGACGAGTCCTGGATTAAGAGTCCATTTTATGTTCTCTTGCAAACTGAGGACGATGAGTGGATCTGGCAGAACAAGAGATGGCAGAGGTGTTTAATCCATTCATCTGCTGCCGGAAGAACCCCACTGTTCAGAACCAGTGGACGCTATGGGCTACCAGTTCTCTTCAATGGCAAATTAGAATTCGTTATTCCCAAGAAGTATTCACCAGTTTTTTCTTTTGGTGCCAAAGGTCTAGGCACTTGGTATAGTGATCAAGTGCCAGCTGATCCTACCCTTCTGTACAGCCCTCGATCCAGCAAAGATGGGACTCGAATCCTCCTCCAAGGCCGGCAGACAGCTCCAATCGTTATTGATCTTAGCCAAGTCATTTAGGACGTTATATTTACTTGTTCGTCCTCAAGCTCGAATGTTTTTCTCACAACATCATTCAGAATTGGAATTGTGGAACAATGAACCAACGGAGTGAGCAGGCCCCCCATTAGCATGCACAGAGGTCGCTTCACCCTACCTGCATCCGCAACACTATGACTGTGCCTTGCCCGTTCTATCTGCTGTTCAAGATCGAGGGGGGGAAGCGTCAAGTTTCGCTAGGTCGTCCTTTCATCCTTCTGGACTTCCCCTCGCCGACTTTCCCTCTCCCTAGGACGCAGTAGGCATGAATAACCCTGGGACTTCAATGGACCCACGAGCGTTCCGTCTCTGCGCTGTCTTTTGAGTCCCAGTCGGGCAAAATGAATGCTTAGTATTGAAAACGCAGAGACTTCTGATCTTGCTCCTTTCGCAGTTCCTCAATTCTCTCTCACTCCACGTCAGAATGAAGGTTTTCTTTGAACGTATTAAAAGATTAATATTTCCTTCGCCGCTTCCATCATTTCACCCGACATTTATCCTCCGCTGCAGATAATGATTAGTGTCGCACGAGCACCAGCTATGTACATACGATCGAAGACTTCAACAAGATGAATTACATTCCAAGGGCTCCCAGAAGTCGCTCAGCATATCAAATCTAAATACATAACCTCAAAGAAAGTATGGAGTTAAATAAACAAAGCTAACGTCCCTATAGGTGACCCTGTGCCCCGACCTAACCCACAAACTTATGGAGCTCAAAGAGTATCCTGGTTCCGCCCCTATTCGTCCCGATTGCCTGGTTGCACTCGGGCCTGTGGCCAAGGAGGGATCCGATGCGAACCCAATTAGAAGTCGTGCTGCAATCGGTTTCTGGAACGAGTGCGCAAAGAAACGGCTCACGATGGGACAGGCTCTGTCATCCAAGCCCTCTTGCCTACGACAACGGTTTGATTCTTGATTGCAGAATTACGAAAGCTAGGAAAGGGTGTTGCGTTCGGAATTGGGAGTCAACACCCGAGAGGGGAGGTGCACGTACTCAAATCGTTGCAAACAGTGATCGCAGTTGCGAAAGTTCGATTACGTGGAGTAACAGTGAAGAACACATAATGAGAGCCAAGCAATATCGATCTACACAGCAGAATTGTGGTGGGTGTCGCCCTCGAATACCGTTGGTTGACGATAATGCATTCGGCGATTTTTTCGAAAATGTTGAGGGGTGATAAATTCTTGGCGTCCCAGGTTGGAGCGGCCTCTGCAGAAATATTTAACTGCCTGCCATACAGTAAACAATTATGCCACTCATCGATGATTAACATCTACAGCGAGGGCTCGAAACCGTGGCATGTACTGTATTGAATGATCACATGCATCCGGATCCGGGCTTCCGCTAGCTTGTCCTTGAAGACATTCCGATTTTCGTCCTACGGCAGTGCACATAAGTTCCCATAGAGCAATGGGGCCCTGTCCCCCAATTACAGGCTCGCTCACTGGAGTCCCTCCTTTTTTGCAATGCAAATCAACATACACCAAGAAACATCCCTTCTGGGGTCACCTCGTTTTGCCACCCGAGTTCTCGTCTGTCGTGGTATTCTTTTGTTTGCTATATTTTGGTTCTTCTCCTATCACATTTCATGGTCGGCCAACCCATGATGGCAAAAGGCATCCTCCCCCCCCAGCATGCCTCCCCGCAACTGTATGGAACGATCGTTCTCGGGTAGTGGAAGGATGCATTCCTGTTTGCGTGGCACGGCTACGGAAATGCCGCTTTTGGATACGATGAGCTCCTGCCGACTTCAAATGGCAGCATTCAGAATTTCGATGGTTGGGGAGTGATGCTCCATGATTCTCTGAATACCATGCTTCTCATGCGCTTCAAAAACTCTGAAGAGCACAAGCGCGCAATGGAGCATGTTGCCAAGCAGACCTTCAAAGACCATGTGGGTCGGAACCGTCATAAGTTTGCGAATTACAGTGGTGGAATCTCTTTCTTCGAAACAACCATTCGCTACCTAGGCGGGTTGCTGTCCGCCTGTGGATTGTCGGGCGACTTGGTACTTGGAAAAGGCCAACGAGGTATGTATCGAACAAGTCCCTGGAAATCTATCACCGACATCCAATCTCAGCTTGAAGAGACCCTGCTTTTCACGTTCAAATTGGCTTTAGGCCTCCCTTACCATGGCTATGACCCAACCGGGTGTGTTGAGGCGCCTTATTTATATTCTCTGGTGTCGCTGACCAACTTATCACATCAGCAATTACACAACGTATTGATCTTAATGACATCGACCTTCTGCAGGAAACGCAGACGAAGGACGGGTTATGGAGTACATATTGGGGGTGGAAATCGGTATTCGCTCGGTCGCAAGTCTGTTATATGTGCCTTTATGGCCAATTGGTTCTAAGGAGAAGTGGTGTGATCTGGACTGGCCCACCACTCCGTCAGCGGTATGGTAGACAGTATGACAAGTGAGAGCCTCATCACAGAGTGACATCTCTCATTAGTCAGGGCACTTTCTAATTCCAATACGAATGCATCCTCTCTGGCAAGTCTGAAAAGCGGATTCAGGACACACGTCGCCATTTCAACACTTTCATCGTTCACGGCCTCGAATTTAGATCTCAATCCGTTGAAGGCGCCATAACCAATATGCAGTTCCTCTCAGGCTTTCCGGTTCGTGATCTTCCCTATGTCTCTTCCATGGATCTCGTGTGCCTCTACACGAGCCTCATCGCGCTTGGCGTGGAGGCACTTGGCTCGGAACTCACGCAAGAACAATCAGATCTGCACCGCTGGGCGGCTGGGCGGCTGAAGGACTGACGACTTGGTGCCACCTTGTATATGCGGAGGCGGAGGTGGTTTGGGTGCTGAGGTCGGCGGCCTGTAAAATGAGTAGAGGGAGTAAGGCAGTGGAAGAACAGTGGAGCCGAAAGGAGTTCCACTGGGTCTGAAAGGCGTAGCGAGATCTATGGTTCGCGCACAGGGATTATTATATAGGAGATACATAACGTAGGAATAGCCGAGGGGGAGGTCATGACGACATTGGAACCGATTGTTGATCTTTCCCCGGAACGTTCCTCAGGAAACGCCAAGGGGTGTCACGTACTATCACGGAACGATGAAGCCATAACAGAGTGAGTATTTCCTCTGACTCCGATTGCGCTCCTCCCATTTCTCGGCAATGGTTGAGCCGGGCGTCTCCCGTTTTAGGAGATGATGGAAATGGAAGAATGCCTTCCTTGTGCGATATTTCGTCCATTAAATATGTGAGTGAGAAACCATTGGTATCGCGCGTATTTTAAGGATCTGATGTCATTTTCCGATAGAGTTGTTATTCATTCAAGCTCTGAGAGAAGCTCAAGAAGATTAGCGCATAATTCCAATTTCGGAACAGTCATCTTCAACTACCGAACCTTTATCGATCGGTTGTTTCCTTTCACCCCATCCTCATTGCCTTCTGCACGGCCATCGGTCTCTCTGATTCTGGACACACAAATCCCGCTGAGTGAGAATATACTCAATACCCGAACGGTCATGGAACCAAAGTTGCCAAAGGGTGCTGAGGCGCGGCGACCAATTACGAAGCCCGATTCGATGTTCGCAATGGTACTGTGACATCATACATTTGCGGCGTTTCTCCCCCCGACGGTCGTCATGTAGCCCTCGGCTGTATCATCGAGCTCACTGACATCGACCTGAGTCAGCGCACGATTTCCCGATTCCAACTCGATCCACCCAACTACCCTGTTCTATTGAGGATGATGGATTATTTGTCGTACGAGTTCCGCGGAAGATTGACAAGCCTTGGCACGAGAACATGAACATAACGCTTACATCGGCTTCAGACGACCCGCAAGTTCAACTCCTGGCCTCGCGTCTCCTTCGAATCCTTCGAATCCACCCCTCCGCTTAATTATTTGTTAACCACCCCTCATCGCCGCACGCTTGGGTTCTCTCCCAGTATACAGAGTCGGTTGCGTGCCATCCTACTACAAATTTCGGTTCTTGGATTATGAATCCCACTGTTTCTACCCCTTGCTCGCACCCTACATATTCCTGATCCCATGCCAGCCGACGCACTCCCTTGAAGGTGATGCAACAGCCATGCATCATTCCGAAGTGGACGCAGTGCGTGACCTGGATGGGTTCTAGATCAAGCATGCCTGAAGGCCTTGGCGCCGATCCAACTGCAAAACAGAATTCTCCGGCCACCCACAATGATCTTAGGGTGCGTAGCGACAACCGTCTGAGCTTTGTATGGCGATCGAACGCCGTTTGATGCCATGAATCTCTACCGCCTTCCGTCCAGCAACAAGGCTGGATGACGGCTCCATTGTCTTCGATGTTAGTTAAGTCGTCTGGTCGTTGTCACCCTTAGCCATGGTATGGTCCCCGTGAGTCTCGGTACTCTCCCTTTTCTGCTGGAGCATTGATGTCAGAGGCCTTGGTATGACAACATGACACTCATACCATCGAGCCGCACGTTTAGCCCCTCTCCTTCTGACCCTTCCACTCCAGCCTTCCACCTAAATTCTTTACTAGGCATTCCTCGTCATCGCGCGCTTGGGTTTCTTTCCGGAGCATGGTATTTTGGCGCTTTCTATCAGCGCTTAGTCGACCGAGTCGGGCAAGTTCATTGCGCCTTCCAGCGTTACGAATGTCAGTTCTTGATTCATGACTCTCACAGTCCCCACCGCTCGCTCATATGTCATCCCTAGTCCTGTATCCCTCGATCCAATCCTCCCGGGTGATACAACAGACTTACACCCTTTCCAAACCAAATGCATGACTCAGATGCGTCCCATTTTACGGCCTGCCACCAGGCACACACGAAGACCTCAGCGCCCATTTGTCTGTTGCAGCGAGAACCCCATTGCCCTGGATGGGAAACATAAGCGAGGGACCACTAATATGGTTTGATGGCAGAACAGAGTCCACTGGCTCCATGTACGCGGTACCCGCTGGTTAATCTCAGGGTGGGTTGCGTGAGCCATCTAGGAACCTCGTATGATGATCGAGTGCCGTTTGATGCGAATCTAAATTATTTTCCGGTCCAGCAAGGATGGGATTCGACTTGACCGGATGGCAGCTCCAATTGTCATCGAAATTAGCAAGTCGTTTAGGACATTCGCGGCCGTTGCAGTCCCTTCCTCTCCACTTGTCAGTCACCTAGCTCGAGCGTTTCCCCGTCACCGCGTTATATATAGTCCCCCGATTTGTACATCACTGCGCTTGAGATTTTATAATATTAATAATAACGAGTAAGTAGTAAATGCTGGTGAAGGGGAACATCCTCTAGCTCTGAAGTCGAACGTCGAAGCGCCACCACCCTGAACAAGGATCCGGACGCAATAGCATAGCTCACATATATCTACATCAAGATTTCCTTGGGATCAGTTGAGCCAAGCGTCCTCCCGGCATTGGTTGCTGCACTCATGGAATCCCCGTCCGACATCCACCTATGGCCCCATTGATAAACATTGCTCCTACGAGATCTTGTCACTTTTGAGGACCAAGGATGCTGCGAGCACGAGGAGTCGCATTCCGAACAGATTGTCTTCGTTCAGCATGAAGATCTGCACTTGAATATTTCTAAGTGGAACCAGCACGCCGTTTGTCATCATAACTGTCATCCCAGAAATTGACCTTCTTTAAGGCCAAATGACTTTCACCTTGCCGGCGATGTTCGATGCACTCGATAGATTCAGATACATGATAATCGAAACTTTCTCCTCAACCAGGTCGGAAGCAGAGTGGGTTGGCAGAAAGATGAGGAGACAAATCGCTGTTTGAATATCAGGGGATGCCTTCGAGTTGGTGGCTCTGGGGAAGAAGCGGGAAGTTTAGCGTGTTAAAGGGTAACAACCCGATAGAGCTGTGTTGATGCATCACGCGGAGACATTTCAGGGGAGGGACTAACAATAAGTCCATTGTGCTGCAGCTCGTGTGATTGCTGTTTGAGAGTATGTACACTAATTGAGATATCTTGTACGAGCGGGACTTTGTCATTCACTCGAAGTATCAAATAACATCTTCCACTCACCCATTCTCAAGGACAGTAGCGCTTGATATGTGGGGAAGGCTAGGTATTCCATGTTTTAGAACGACAGCGAAATAAAATACCTCCGCTACTTGGATACCCGGAGGCGCAAGGTCGCCAATTAGAGTTAGAAGCGGGCGCTACAGAGAGGAGCGCAACAGTGCTATTACTAGCCAGTAACCCGACAAAATAGTGGATGCCTAGCAAGTGGTTAAGTTTGTGTCGGCGTCACACAAAGACATCCAGCCAGACACAGCCCACCATCAATAGCTCGGATCCTTATGCGAGGGGCGAAAAGGTCATTTAGAGCTGTTCTGGTACGATTCAGAGCATTGGAATCAAAGTAACTAGGTTGAAGCATATTGCTGAAGAGCGAATAACCGAGAGGAGTGACAAAGCGGACACCAGACGAGACTCTGATGTTCGTGTGTGCAATTAATTTGAATATTCGTGTATAGGAGCGATAGCTCGCTGTGGCAGGAAACACAAGGCTGCGTTTGGTGGTCCGAACCAAATAACTATCAACGACGGAGACCATGTCAAAAAATCGCTGGAAAAATACTCCAGCGAGCGTAGTAAACACAGGTGGGTTTTTTGGATTCCATTAATTATCGACCCTAATACTTTTGGTAGCGTAGTTTACAATCCATCGCCCACAGAAGGGGTACTTGAATATTTGTTGTCCTGATTTGGCAGTGGCTAGGACAGTACTGCCTTATATGTCGAGTAGTTGAGGGCAGTTCGACTCTCCTCTCTGCCTGCGATTGCTGATATACGATGTTCGATCGATCTAAGTTTCCTGAAAGAGGACACTCTCCTGTGCCTCCCGGTGGCCCATCGCGACCCTCGACCTCTGTTCCCGACCTCCAGATCACTGCTGCTCCAACTGAAAATGATGCAACAACTAGCGCAGATCATGGTGGGTCTGATAGATCCCGTCTTAAGCCTCTTACTACTACTGGCGGTAGTTCTCGAGGCGGGAAGCAGCGGTGGTCTTTTCGGCGCACTGTAGCCAAGCTGTTGAGCAGAAGTCCCAGTCCCGATCCCACTCATGTCAACCAATCAAAGTCCTCCGATCCCAGACAATCTGATCCCTCTATGCCCGACCCGCCATCCCCTAATCTATCGCCATTTCCCGTTCTCCCTGAGGGGGCCATTGATATCAGCGAGCGCATCATCCACGGCAACACTGAGACTCCCCATCCACCACCAGGACGCACAGGCATGAAATCAGACACCTCATCGTCAATAGATCGAACATCATCATCTTCAGCCGTCCCTGCTGGTGACGGGAAGAAAACAATCATCGCCGCCGCAAGGCTCATCCTCCAAACCGCCGCCTCTGCTCTTAAGTTAGCCCCCATTCGGAATCTCGACCAAATCCCAAATATACTCCTATCATGGCTCCAAGTTTATGAGGTTCGCAAGGCGTCGCGATTTTGCGATCTGATGAAATAACCCCCATGTTTTCATGCAGACCATCGACAACAATGACGAAAATCTTAGGGGATTAGTCGATGAAGTTCGAAAGGCTCACGAAACGATCTTTAGGCCTCTCCAGTTGTGGACTGGCCAAGTTCCTCCCGAAATAGATGATCAGATTCAACAATTTAACTTGTATGTGCATCCATTTCATTGTTCTCCCGTCCAAAACTCAACTCTTAGTCACAGAGATCTAAAACAACAATTAAAGCAAATTGAGGCACTCAAACGTCAAAGGCTTGCCAAGAGGGTAATTTTAGCGACTGAGATAACCCAGGAAATAAGCGCTGTGAAGTCCTGTATCCGTGATGCTGTCTCCCGCTTTACGGTTCGTTTCGTTGGTGTTCAGACCATCCGATGACTGACTTGGGTATGCCCCACAGACCACTGCGACGACCCTGAATCTCCTTCACACAATTCGGTCATCGGTGGACTGTTCGTTGCTTTCCCTGATTTCGCTGCTTGGAAGTTAACGATATTTCAGATGAACTCTCGAAACTCTACAAAGCAAAGGCGGAATACTTTGCAGTGAAAAGCAAGTCGGAATGCCTGGAAAACACGCGTGTCCAGATCCAGGAATCGATACTCGATCATCTGGAGAAACGGGAGCACCGATTTGTTTGGCTTCGTGGTTCTCCGGGTACTGGAAAGACTGCTATATCGATGAGTGTCGCCTCAGCTCTCGATGAACAGGGTCGCTTGGCGGCGTCTTTCTTCTGGGACAAAAATCGGAAGGGAGAAGGACTTGATTCGATTGAACACTTTCCCTCTACTCTTGCACGCCAGCTTGCCTTGTTTAACGCTGAGTATGAGGGTCTTCTTGTCAGTCGACTTCGACAGCCCTCAGCACTGAAGGGTCTCCACGGTTTCACTCTGGAGAAGCAAATGAGAGCTTGGATTATTGATCCCATGCACAAACTCTTATCTTTGGGTGAAGCACGCCTCATCATCATTTTGGATGGACTGGACGAGTGTGGGGATCAGGAGGAACTTGAGTCCTTAATGAAGCTAGTACTTATCCTTGGTGAGCTGCCGGCCACATTTGCCGTGTTGGTGAGCTGTCGGCCAGAGTCATCTGTCGTGTCGGCTTGGGTTGGAGCTCGGGCTCAGGGTCTTGTCATCCCATATGAAGATGTGGACATTGTCGCTGAGGAAGAGAAATCCAACACTATCCACCGCATGGTGGAGGAAGGCCTTCGGGGTTGCATCGATAAGTCTTCCTGGAAACCATCCGAAGAAGATGTCGATGTATTTGTCTCAGCATGTCGTGGACTGCCTATTATCGCCTCAATCCGAGTCCGGGATGTCTGCATTCGAACTCGTCGTGGTGCAACCCTTCGATCCGAGTTCAAATACTTCCGTGACCTCATCAATACCCCTGTTGATGTCAATTTGGGGTACCTGCGCATACTTCGCCGTGCCTATATATTTGACTCATCTGGAGTTCCTCCACATATAGCGGAGAACTATCGCCAAGTGGTTGCCACAATCAATGTGGCATTTGAGCCACTGAGTGTGTTTTCCATGTCTCAGCTATTAGGAATTGGTGAGGAAGAGGTCTTAGCCATATTGGATCCAATTAGCTCTATTGTTGATTTCTCTGAAGAAAGTGGCTTGGAACATTCTTCGCAAACTTCCTCAGAAGACCCAAAGGTTGTCAAATTTTATCATGCAACGATGAAAGAGTTCATTGCAGGGGATCCGATTGGTGACGAGAATGACAAAGTATTCTTTATCAAGGATGTGAATAAGTATTTCCTCGGACCACCGCTCCTCCGATTATTCAATAACAGTTGTGAGCGGGATGTGTTTGGGGAGCCTGCCATTCTCCCTTTAGGGGACAGACGAAAATGGGACGATTTTATGGAGAGAGACCTTCATCACCCCCAGCATCTCCGATATACTCGTCGACATTTATTAAGACACTTAGACCCCTCGCAGCTCTTCGCACAAGGGTCCAATTTGCAGAACGAGTTTAATACATTCCTCATGCGAAACTTGGTTACATATATGCACTTGGCGCGACATGATAAACGGTTTAGCTGGGGCCGATTACCTCATGGATTTTATGGATTCAAGGTAAATAAAATTGTTGTGTCGCGATTATTTTAATGTGATGTCATTTTTAACAGAATTGCGATTCATACAAACTTTTGAAAGAAGCTCGAGAAAAGCAATCTGTGAAGTATCTGGGTTGGACTTCCATTGCACCATGGAACCTCCATCGATCAACCCTTCCTTTCACCCCATCCTCATCGCCTTTGTACAAACTGTATGGCCACCTCTCCGATCCTGTCCGGATCTTCACCATTTCCAGCGAGTTTTCCGGGCACAGAATCCCATTGAGTGAGGATTTACTCAATGCTCGAATGGTCATGGAGGCGAAGCTACCTAATTTGCCAGAGAAGGCTGGTGGTCGGGTTAATTATGATGCCCAATTCAACGACCCTGGTGTTCGTAACGGCATTGTGACATGTGCGGCGCTCTCCCTTGATGGTCACCATATAGCGCTTGGTTTTGGTAGCGGTGTTATTGAGCTTGCCGATATCGACCAGCAGTGCACGATTTCCCGATTCCAGCTCAATCCACCCAACCATCCAGTCTGGATCGAATTTGTTCATGGCAGCCACCGAGTTGCTGCCGAGGACAATGAGGGAAACGTCACCATCCTTAGACACGATATGACCCCCATTAATCTTGGTACGCTTCCCAACGGTTCTCCTGCTATAACTCAAGTATCAGATAATGGATTATTTATCATACGGGTTCCATGGAACACTCATAGCTCTTGGTACGACAGCCTGACTCTCATATCTATTTTGGATGACCCGCACATGCAGCACCTCGCACCCCCTTCTTCCAATAATTTCACTCCAACTTCTGACCCTCCTATCTTAGCCTCCGAGTCTTCTACTTCATCCTCAGATGATGTCGTGCTCGCTATTCCTCACCGTCGCACGCTTGGGTTTTCCCCGGGAGCACGTTATATCGGTGCTTTCGATGGCCTCAGCGCTTTTACATGGTCGACAGATTCGGGTGAGTTCATTGCGAGTTATCGTGTGACGGATTTCAATTTTTGGATTATGCATCCTGCTGTGTCCCCCGCCTGCTCTCATCGCATCCCTGATCCCATATCTGCTCGACCTACCCTTCTCTTGACAGAAGGTGGAGCAGCGGATCGACTTCATTCCAAAACAGACATGGGGCATAACTCGGACGAGTCCTGGATCAAGTGCCCATTTTATGTTCTCTTGGAAAGTGAGGGGGACAAGTTGAAAATCCATTTGTCTGCTGCCAGAAGAACCCCACTGTTCGAAACCGATATACACCACTCTGGGCTACCAGTGTTCTTCGATGGAAAAATCGAATTTGTTATTCCCAAGGCATATCAACCAGTTGTTTTTTCTGGTACCAAAGGTCTAGGCGCTTGGTATGGTGATCAAGTGCCGTTTGATCCTACCCTTCTGTACAGCCCTCGGTCCAGCAAAGATGGGACTCGAATCCTCCTCCAAGGCCGGCAGACGGCTCCAATCGTTATCGATCTTAGCCAAGTCATTTAGGACGTTATATTTACTTGTTTGCCCTCAAGCTCGAATGTTTTTCTCACAGAATTGGAATTGTGGAACAATGAACCAACGGAGTGAGCAGGCCCCCCATTAGCATGCACAGAGGTCGCTTCACCCTACCTGCATCCGCGACACCATGACTATGCCTTGCCCGTTCTATCTGCTGTTCAAGATCGAGGGGGGGAAGCATCAAGTTTCGCTAGGTCGTCCTTCCATCCTTCTGGACTTCCCCTCGCCGGCTTTCCCTCTCCCTAGGATGCAGTGGGCATAAACAACTCTGGGACTTCAATGGACCCACGAGCGTTCCGTCTCTGCACTGTCTTTTGAGTCCCTGTCAGGCAAAATGAATGCTTAGTGTTGCAAACGCAGAGACTTCTGTCTGATCTTGCTCCTTTTGCAGTTCCTCAATTCCCTCTCACTCCACGTCAGAATGAAAGTTTTCTTTGAACGTACTAAAAGATTAATATTTCCTTCGCCGCTTCCATCATTTCACCCGACATTTATCCTCCGCTGCAGATAATGATTAGCGTCGCACGAGCACCAGCTATGTACATACGATTGAAGGCTTCAATAAGATGAATTACATTCCAAGGGCTCCCAGAAGTCGCTCAGCATATCTAAATACATAACCTCAAGGTAGGTGACCTGTGCCCCGACCTAACCCACAAACTTATGGAGCTCAATCCTGGTTCCGCCCCTATTCGTCCCGATTGGCTCGTTGCACTCGGACCTGTGGCCAAGGAGAGATCCGATGCGAACCCGATTAGAAGTCGTGCTGCAATCGGTTTCCGGTACCAGTGCACAAAGAACGGCTCATGATGGGACAGGCTCTGTCATCCAAGCCCTCTTGCCTACGACAACAGTTTGATTCTTGATTGCAGAATTACGAAAGCTAGGAAAGGGTGTTGCGTTCGGAATTGGGAGTCAACACCCGAGAGGGGAGGTGCACGTACTCAAATCGTTGCAAACAGTGATCGCAGTTGCGAAAGTTCAATTACGTGGAGTAACAGTGAAGAACACATAATGAGAGCCGAGCAATATCGATCTACACAGCAGAATTGTGGTGGGTGTCGCGCTCGAATACCGTTGGTTGACGATAATGCATTCGGCGATTTTTTCGAAAATGTTAAGGGGTGATAAATTCTTGGCGTCCCAGATTGGAGCGGCCTCTGCAGAAATATTTAACTGCCTGCCATGCAGTAAACAATTATGCCACTCATCGATGATTGACATCTACAGCAAGGGCTCAAATCAGTGGCATGTACTGTATTGAATGATCACATGCATCCGGATCCGGGCTTCCGCTAGCTTGTCCTTGAAGACATTCCGATTTTCGTCTCACGGCAGTGCACATAAGTTCCCATAGAGCAATGGGGCCCTGTCCCCCAATTACAGGCTCGCTCACAGGAGTCCCTCCTTTTTTGTAACGCAAATCAACATACACCAAGAAACATCCCTTCTGGGGTCACCTCGTTTTGCCACCCGAGTTCTCGTCTGTCGTGGTATTCTTTTGTTTGCTATATTTTGGTTCTTCTCCTATCACATTTCATGGTCGCCCAACCCATGATGGCAAAAGGCATCCTCCCCCCCAGCATGCCTCCCCGCAACTGTATGGAACGATCGTTCTCGGGCAGTGGAAAGATGCATAAAGTAATATGAGATTGCTAGCAAAGCGGGCAACTCAGTCTCAAGCAAGTAATGCGAAAGAGAACTAAGAATATATTACCTAGCAAAGCGGGCAACTAGAGGTAATATACAGTATATAAGTGTAGATTGAAATGAAGGAATGATGTTACTAACCTCAGTCTCAAGCAAGTAATGCGAAAGAGAACTGAGGGAAAAAGTTATTCAATGAGCGGTAATTCCCATGTAGTTTAGGAGCAGGATAGTCCGAAATGAATACAAAAGAATGAATAAATAGATGTGGCTGGCCGGGCGAGTTCCTCGCTCGGCCGTGGGAATGTGGCTGTACGAAAACTCGCACGGCTGCGCTAGCGCGCTGTTTTCCAACAATGCATTCCTGTTTGTGTGGCACTGCTACGGAAATGCCACTTTCGGATATGATGAGCTCCTGCCGACTTCAAATGGCAGCATTCAGAATTTCAATGGTTGGGGAGTGATGCTCCATGATTCTCTGAATTCCATGCTTCTCATGCGCCTCAAAAACTCTGAAGAGTACAAGCACGCGATGGAGCATGTTGCCAAGCAGACCTTCAAAGACCATGTGGGTCGGAACCGTCATAAGTTTGCGAATTGCAATGGTGGAATCCCTTTCTTTGAGACGACCATTCGCTATCTAGGCGGGTTGCTGTCTGTCTGTGGATTGTCGGGCGACTTGGTACTTGGAAAAGGCCAACGAGGTATGTATCGAACAAGTCCCTGGAAAGCTATCACCGACATCCAATCTCAGCTTGAAGAGACCCTGCTTTTCACGTTCAAATTACCTTCAGGCCTCCCTTACCATGGCTATGACCCAACCGGGTGTGTTGAGGCACCTTATTCTTATTCTCTAGTGTCACTAGCAATCACACAACGTATTGGACAGTAACTAGGAGTGTTTCTTTAGATCAGATAATGACATCGACCCTCTGCAGGAAGTGCAGATGGAGGGTGGGTTGTGGAGTGCATTTTGGAAATCGGTACTCGCTCGGCGTAAGTCTGTTATATGCGCCTTGATGGTTCTAAGGAGAAGTGGTGTGATCTGGACTTGTCATATCCATCCCTGGCCATTGACTTCCGACCCCTCCGATCCCTCTGGTCTACTTCTGCTCCTTCTTCACTAACCTCGGAGCTCCCGTATTCCGCAATCCCCTCGGTACCCCTCGATGGTCACCACCCCCTCCTTTCAATTTATTACCTATGCCTCCCTAAGTACGGAGCCCTGAAGGCTTCCGGACAGCTCTGACGTCCGCTAGCGCACTCCCACCTCCACTGGACAATACACTTGCTTGCCCTGCAAAGCCCACCTTCAGGCCTATCCCTCCTTTCTGTTTCTGGGTTATCGCCTGCCTTTCCGTTAACCCCATAACCCGACACGTCGGTAATATTCAATCGGCTAATGTCTAACCCCGTTAGCTCTGCTCCGCTCAGCTCCGCCATTTGCAGACCCACCCTCGCTGTAACTATATATACTTAACTTGTACATAGGTGTCAGGGCGTGGGAAAACGTTACCGTGACTCGCCGTCGGCGACCGTTAAGGTCCGCTAACTCGGCGTAACAGCCCATCAAGGGCGGGGATGACAATTGCAGCGGAACGGGGTTTCGGCTTCAACGACTCATCTGTGAGCGTTGCGCCTCGTACTTGACGTGGCCCCGATATTTCAGGAGGCAGGAGGTGCGACTGGGTCAGACAGAGGGTGCAGGGGGTAACCCTAGTTGATTTTTGAACTCAAGTACAAGGTAGTGTACAACCGGTATTTAAGTATAACGGAATGAATGGAATTAAGTCGCCAGATCTCACGGAGATTGCGGGCGGGGTTAAGAAGAAACGAAAACAAACAAAGAGTGTGGGAGAAGGACGGCTGTGTACGGCCGTCAAGGAAACAAGCGTGATAAAGAAAGACTAGTAGGCCCGTGACAGGCCGTGGAAACAGGTAGGGGTGACAGGGAAGGGTGACGGGCTTGTTCAGGTGGCGTTGGGCAGGCAGCGGAGTTGACGGGGTCGAAGCGGGGGAGGGAGAAGGTGTGGGGAGTGATCACCTGACCGTGGGAATTGCCGGGTCGTGACAATAGGTTACACTCCAGTAATAAAATCGACTAGAGTTTACCCTCTTCAGTTCTGGTTGCCAGTTTAGTAAGTTAGGGCATGGACGTGTTACTTGGCACAGCGCTCCTGGCACAAGTTGCTGAGGCCGAAGCCCTCCGCCATGGAGACACTCCTTCATCTCGACCTGGTCTCTGTCAGGGCACGCCCGCCTGACCCGGCCCCACCTAACCCGGTGCCCCACCATCCACTCCTCCCGACCTCCCCCCTCTTCCCCTTTTCTCCCTTCCCTTTCTCCTTCTCCTTCTTTTCTATTCTCTCTCCCCTTTATTCCTTTCTTATCACACGGACGACTTCCTTTGTATCAATGTACCATTGACCCGGCTGCAGCGTAACGCGCCCGAACCCGGACACACCGGACAACCCCCCGCACACCGGATGCTCCTAGGACCTCTTACAGAGGTACCCAGACGGAGGTGGCTGTGTGCTCGGATGACGTGGCGCTTCCCACATGGCCTTCAACCACATGTATATAAACATAGCCTAAGTGGGAACTGAGAAGCAACCTTCTTCTCACATTTCCCACTTTAGGCAAGTAGCTTACACCTCCCTTGATAATGACAATAACACATTTCCCACTTTAGTCTTAGTGGCCAGGGACCCTTGTCTGCTTCGGGCCCGTTGCTACGCGTGCCCGCGTCATACCTACCGGACCCTCAGCCTCGGGCGATACACCCAGGCGCTCTCGACCCCGGGTCGGTCCCTGACAGTCTCTGACAGTATTTTATTACTCCCTGACTAGTACACATCTTGTATGGCACCAAAAGCTCCTCGCACTCGTTCGCAACTACGCACATTAGTTCCCAACTCTGCCTCACCATCCCCAGAACCCTCACAGCCTGGTCCTAGTCGATTGGTGAGAAACCCAGTTGAGTTTCAAAGCTTTTCTAATCTTGAAACCCCTCTCCCATCGACTCCGATCATGCATCCTGTTAGGAATTGATCACCAGTTGCAGATTCCGACTTCGGAGACACCACGGAACAACCCATAGACCCCATCCACTTCTGTGGACTCGGTTCCGAGGTCCCTGACTTTGTCAACCCTCCTCCTGCTGATCCTCCCATCCCCACTGTCCCAACCACCGACGATGCCGAACCCATCCCCAACGTGGCTATTGCACAATTAGCCCAAGCCATTGCCAGCTTGGCTCGTCACACTGGTTGTCCACCACCTCCACCATCCTCTGCTCTCCAGACCAAGGTCCGTGAGCCCGAACAGTTCGATGGGAAAGATCCCCGAGAACTCCGAGTATTTCTGGTCCAATGTGAACTCAATTTCCAGGACCGTCCCCTCGCTTTTGCTAGCGACCGCGCTAAGGTCATCTTTGCACAGTCCTACCTCAAGGGAATGGCCCTCGATTGGTTCGAGCCGGATCTATTATTCAACCAAAATTCTACGCTTCGTCCGCAATGGATGAATAACTATCAGGAGTTCGTCAACGAACTTCAAACCAACTTCGGTCCTCACGATCCTGTGGGCAACGCCGAAGTTCAACTAATGACCCTGGACATGAAGGACGGGCACCACATCAATAAATACGTTGTCGAGTTCAACTGACATGCCTCTCAACTTCATGGTTACGGAGAAGCCGCGCTTCGTCGTTTTTTCTATAACGGATTGCCGGAACGTATCAAGGACGATATTGCCAGAGTAGGTAAACCTTCTACTCTTTTGGAACTTCACACCTTGTCACAAACTCTCGATGCGCGCTATTGGGAGCATAAATCTGAAGTTACACATCATGCGAAACCTTCCTTGTTACGGGGATGGGGGGAAATCCCCTTTCCTTGATCTGTTCTTATAATGGGATGACGAACGTCATATCTAGTCTGTACCATAACGGGATATGTAATTGATGAGTGATCCCAGTCTTGCATGGGAGTGGACGATCGAATTCCTATTGATCGTGATTGGTGATGTAGTGAGCTATTAAGGAATTGATGGTAGGTAGTCGGAGACATCAGGACAGACGGGTCAGCCACAGGTACTTGGCGCTCCTCAATGGAGCGTACCGTGTGTGAGGTTGCGACTTGTGAGGTGGGTGAGAACTTCGTATAACTGCCATCGGGTACTTGGCATTCGCAGCACGAACGTACCGGTAGCAGGTTGACATCATGAGCGTGCAATGAGGATTGACTAACAGGGCCTTCGGTGACTTGGCATTCCCAGAGGGAACGTACCGTTGGCAGGGGAATATGATGACTGACGAAGGAGGGAACAGACGGTGGATGGGTGGCTACTTGGCATTTGCATAGCGAACGTGCCGGCATCACGGGAAAGTGGACCTCAGAGTATTCACGATCTCCAAGATCGTGATGTGACGTCGTCTGTCGAGCACTGGGGGGAGAGCGGAGTGATGAAGTCCCATAGGGTACAGATTCCATAGGATGATACACATGTCGCAAGTCTTCGACTCGCGACCTCGAGTTCTCATGGCGAGGACCGTTAGAGGACTCAACATAACCAGACTTATAAGACATGTTGTGAGTTGTACAGTCACACAGGTTCAGTTGAGTCACAGGAAGGGTTGTTACAGAAGATGACACACAAGACAGTTGTAGAGAGTAGTTGTTAGTTAGCGGGACCCGCCTTTGGTGGTTTCCATACAAGACGCGTGACTATCTACAAATGGTAGGGTCATGGGAAATCCCGCGAAACACAAGTAACCTCGGCCAGCACCAAAACCCCAATGGGGAAAGCTTTGCACGAGGGGGGGGGAAAAGGGTAGAACGAGTAAGGAGGGTAGGGTATCGGGATAGAGGACGAAAGGGAGAAAGAGGGAGAGCGATAGAGAGGAGAAGTCTTTGACTATGCGATGGATATGGTCATTGGAGACTCCGTATCCGTAACATCGCCCCCCAGTCTCCTAACGACCATGATGCAGTCCCCAAGGGGCATATCTCCGTGGGTCGTCTCTCCAGGGCGACCGGCTTCTCAAGCACTCGTGATAGGAATCCGGATGGAGGGAATCGTACTGAGCTCCACCGGAGGAGGAGGATGGGTGCGGATCCAATCCCGGGTACTGCACGGGTGGGGGGTAGGGCTGGCTCATAGGAGGAGGATGAACAGTCATTGGAGGAGCTGCCAGGTTGACGATGAAGGTGGGCACGGCGGCGTTGGTGTTGCTGTCCACCACCCATGTAGGATTGACCGGCATCGCGAAAGTTGGCGTCCGCGGAATTGACTGTGACCCTCCGGCGCTATATGGTACCATACTAGAAGGGGAAGGATCGGGATTCGAGTCTCTCGGGTTAGGACGGCTGTCCCTTCGAGCAATCGATTCCCGAGATGTAGGTCGAGAAGACCACCTTCTATCTGCATCTCTGTCGTAGTCAGATCGACTAGGTTCGGGGTGATATGAGTCCATCCGAGTTCGACAGGTTTCGTTCCCCATTTGCCAACGAGCCTGTCCCAAATGACCTGAGACTGATCCTTCTCTTCGGCTGGGATATGGATGGGACCTTCTCTCTTCTCGAGGCAATTTCCTCCAGCGATTATGGTTCGACGAACCCGAGGGAGAGGATGAGGCGGAAGAGTTGTCAGTGGAAAGGGCAGATGGGATGTTGGTAGGATGAATGCTTGGTTGCAGCACCACCACATTCGGAGGGGGTAGGAAGACCGAACTCCCCGCACCTGGCCAGTTGGGAGATTGTCAGGGCTCGGTCCTCGATCAGGGACAGCCCGACCTCAGGCCTAGGTGTGTGCGGTGTTCCGGGTGGTTGGGCGCTAGACCCGGTCCTTAGCTCCTCAAACTCACTGAAGGGACTAAGCGGGGATTGAGTTGTCATGTATTACAGAGGGTAACTACAACTTGCCTAAGCGGGGATTGAGTTGAGAAGAAGGGTAAGTTTCCCTATTCCCCGCTTGGCTACTATAAAAAGGAAGTGTACT